ACTTCTCAACTACATCTATCTGCTCACCATCCAGGGTGAGTACAGGATTAGAATCCTGCCAGTCTTGTAGAAGTACTTTGCACTTCGAAGGTGCAAAGCACATACCATACCTACGGACACTGATTGCCAACTGATTAAGTGCGTATTGCATGCCTTGGGCATTATCGCACAGTAAGACAATGTCGTCCGCATACTCAAGGTCGAGAAGTCTTTCTCCAGGCAACAGATCCACACCACCATTACTTACATTCATCAGAGCTGTTTCCAGAATGTCATCGATGGCAAAGTTGAAGAGGAATGGTGAGATTGAGTAACCCTGTCTAACCACACTGCTTGAATGGAACAATGGAGAAAAATGGTTGTATACCCTCACTCTACCTGAGGTGTTTGTATATAGGGCCTTTAGGATGTTAATGAACTTCTCAGGCACACCCTTCTTCAATAGACAATCCCAGAGAACAGTCCTATCCAATGAATCGAAGGCAGCCCTGATGTGGAGAAACACTACGATTGTTGGTCTGTGATGAGTATGACGGTGTTCTAACATTTGGCGGAGGGTGAAGATATGATCAATACATCCTCGACCAGAACGAAACCCAGCCTGCTCCTCGCGAGTCAATCTTTCTCGGGTTTTGAACAACCTACGAAGAATGACGGAAGCTAATAGCTTGGACGCAATCGGAAGTAAACTTATCCCCCGATAGTTGTTACAAGAACGACGTGAACCCTTTTTAAAGATAGGGACAACTATCGACTCATTCCATGACGTTGGTACACTCTCTAGTTCCCAAACCTTTGTAAACAACGTCGTCAATTCCTTAGTCAAAAAGTCACCACCATCTTTAAAAAGAGCCGGAGGTAAGTGATCTGGGCCAGGTGATTTGTAACGCTTCAAGAGTTGGAGTTCCTTGCGGACTTCCGCCTCAATTGGTGGATCAGTCGTCACCGGCCATGGAGGGCAGAACAGTTTGACCGAAGTTGCCGGAGCAGCAGTCCAGTTGAGCCGTCCGGTAGTTACCAGATGCAGCTGCTACTTCCAGCTCATTAGCACGCTCCGACCACCAGGCTTCTAGGTCCTTACACAAGCTTTGCCCGGTTTCATTACGTAACAGCCTTCGTTTGTAGTCAAACTCACAGTCACCCGGAGTAGACCGGCAGGCTTCAATGAGTTGTAAGGAGCCTGAAAAAACCCAGTGCTTGTAAGCGGGACGTTTCGCGAACCCACAACTGACTTTACTCGCCATTTTCATGGCGTCATGCAATTGCAACCAATGCTCATCTATACTTTTCGGTGGAGTGGTAGCTAGCCTAGAGGCTAGCTCGGTTCGATACTTACTTGCAACAGAAGTTGCAACCAGCTTGCTAACATCAATCTTTTGGTGGTGGTCACTTCGTTGGCCACTGAAAAGTAAGGCAAGATTGGCGCAGACCAAGGCATGGTCAGAGTCCAGATAGGTACTCCAAAAGGAGCGGCAGTCTTTTACACAACCACGCCAGCGGTAGCTGATCGCGATGTGATCAATCTGAGTCCAGGCTTGAGATGCAGAAGGGGGACGCCAGGTGGCACATCGGCGATGACTGTGCCGAAAGTTAGTGCTAGCCAGAAACAGGTTGTGGTCTGTGCAAAGTTGCAGTAGACAGTCCCCGTTATCTGACCTGCGACCAACGAGTCCCCATCGGCCACCTAAACGACTCTCTTCTGTGCCTAGACGCCCGACCTGAGCATTCAAGTCTCCGGCTAGTACTACAATATCTGTCGAACGCACTTTCTGGAGAAGAACTGATAACTGGTGGTAAAACTCGTCCTTGATTGCATCCGGGCTGCAATCTGTCGGGGCATAGGCGGAGATGACGAAAAGACATCGTTTCTCACGCCGATTTCTTCTCACTTTGATGGAACTTTCTAGTCTAACAGCACATAACCGACTGTTAATGGGGATCCAATCGACTATTGCTGCCTCAGCTCTAGCGCTTAGTGCGACACCAAAGCCAGCAAGACCAGACGAAGGTGCCACAGGGTCCCCGGATAAGCGCACGTAAAACAAGCTTTTCGAAGCGACAGATGGAGAGCGAATTTGCAGTACTTCACCAGAGTCTTGAATACGGGTCTCGGATAGACAGAAGACATCGATATTAAGACTTTCCAAAGACATAGCCAGCCCTATCTGTTGTCCGACCTGCATAAATGTGCGAACGTTGGAGGCAGCCAGTTTGAATGGTGCGCGTGGTTTCAGAAAAACTGCTTCAGTCCTCGTATTCGGTGGTAGCATACAATTTTCAACCGGACAGTGACTCGAGAACGTTTAGATACAGTCGGATTTCCACCAAAGCCGAGCCGCTGTATAAGTATGAAAGAGGGTGAATAATGTGGAAAATAATAATAATAATGATAATAATAACAATAATGACAATAATAGTAGTAATAATAATGTTAGTATTAATAATGACAATAATTGTAATGATAATAATCTGAATCAATTGTTTGTTTTTCAAAGCGAGAAATGTAATTTCCATAGGCATAAAGAGTTCATCAATTTGTGTGTGGGCTGTGATACTGCCCGGGTGCCCAAACCGAAGCAGGTGGTTGGTTATCTTAGGGGGCCACTCCCCGAGCCTTTGACCTAAAGGTCTAACCCACAAGGCAGTGGAGCATCGTAAGGTGATGCAGTCCCATGGTAGCCGGTGACCAACGATTGGTTCATACGCCATTTGTTCCCGCAGGATACTGGAACCCATGTGCACCATTGATTTGGAATCCGGTTAAAGCGCCGGACATTCGCTTTTCGTCCTCTCATTTTCGTAAACAACACCCCCGCCACGAGAAGGCAATGAGTAGGACTTCCCTGGCAGAGGCTGTATACGCGTGGCCGTGTGAGAGTATTTTGAGAGTGAGAGCGGACTCTCCCCACTCTCGGCCGTACCAGGGCATTCAGGGGGGCCAGTTCAGTATCCTTAGCTGGAAGAAATACCATTTAATGTAGTTTATATTTAACTGCGGTAGTTAACTTGCAGCATTGATCATATATCGTACACGTTTCTTTATTAAAATAATGAGTGGACGCGGTAAAGGTGGTAAAGTTCGCAGTAAGGCTAATACAAAGTCATCGCGTGCAGATCTTCAGTTCCTTGTTGGTCGTGTAGATCTTCTACGTAAAGGCAATTACGCTGAGATTTGGTGCTGGTGTTCCAGTCTATCTAGCTGCAGTTCTCGAATACCTGGCTGCAGAAGTTTTGGAGTTAGCTGGTAATGCCACTCGTGATAACAAGAAGACTCGCATTATATTTAGTTTGAAAAGGACTAGTTGCTTTTTGCTCTCTTTATTCTTCTATGCTCTTTTCTAGCTTTTTTGCAATCAAGTAGGTTCAGGATTTAAAACTTTACCTTTAGATCGCTGAATTAACTTAACAAATTTAAGTGTATTGACTTTTACCCTAACTCAAATTTCACATTTATGGACATAAATAGTCGGTGTACTGTATTACTTTCAAAAGCTGCTGGTACACAAATCAGGTTTCACTGTAAATGATGCAATAATTTGCCAGTGTTAATTTGATTTTCTTGTGTTCTCGATTTTGGGATCAGCAGTATTTAGGCTTTTAAATTATTATGACATAATAGCAGATCGTTGATGAAATCAGGAGTACAGGTTTCTAAAAATAGTTTCGTATAATGGGTTTTTGTATTTCAGGCAGTTAAACTCATGCGACATATTCAGGTTCTTTCTTACTGCTCAGTGCACTTCTCAGCCTACTGCATTTCGCTTTTAAATTTAACAGCACAGTATTAAATGCAATAAATTATTGTTTAGATCTGTCGATATTATCACAGTATAACTGGGGTTTCTCGAAAGTTTCGAATCAGATACTAATTAGCTTCTTCATATTTTCATTCTTAAAATTAATTATTTGATGAGATACTTGTGCCGCAAATCGATATTAGGGTGTTTACAATACTGGTCTCTGTGCATATTACCACTTTATTTTTAGATTTCTGTTTTCACTAAAAATAACAATCATTTATCATTTGGATTGTATTCATTGGTCTTTGAATTAAATAAATTTTCAATAAGAATAATGCATGTTAAGCCTCAATCAGTTGTAATATAATTCGTGTTATTTTCCAGTTCCCATACATATCACTAATATCAGAGTACACTAATTTTACTCTGAAAGCAAATATTCATTAATAAAACTGCCTACATAATAATTCACACTCTACTGATCACCGTCAACTTTATTTGACACGTTTAAGATTTGTGTTAAATATATCGTTTCCTTTTTTATAGAAAAAACAATCAAATTGTTTTTTCCTCTTGTTTTGGGATCTTTTTGTTTTCTAGTTTCATGATTAAAAAGTTGCATGCATTTGTCTCTGGTTTATGTTGTGAAGAAAGCAATGACAATCCAATGTTTCAAGAAGTTTTATTACCGTCTACTTTATATCTCCAAGTATTACGTGTAAGTATAATGTATGTTTCATAAAAATTAGCAAAATATTTCTGTACCATAAGCAGCTAACATTTGTACACAGTTGGAATGTAAAAAAGCATTTTTCAATTCTGATTTATATTCGAACGTATGTTTTCTAATGTTTCACCATCTATGTATTGATGCTAAGTGGTTAGAGAATTATAACCGATATTGTGCCAAGTTTCTAAGAACTGAATAAAATCTACCAACGAAATAATTTATTTTTTATTTGATTTCATTTTATTTGAACATATAAATATTAGTACAAGGCGGCACCAAATATATATGCGCCACGCAAAACAAGGAGAATGGGGAGAGAAAAAGAAGGTAAGGTGTGTATAAGAAAAAAAAAGAATGATAAAGATTACAGATTAGTGTAAGGTAGTGTAATAATACTAGTGGTAATAATGAGGGAAGCGGAAAGGTACAACCAGAAGAATTTCAGTTAAGGAAGATACAACCAATTTTATGAAGAAAATAAAAGGTTACAGCAAGATCGCCACTGGCTTATATTCTCAGCCATATCTGATAACGTCTCTAGCCACTGTGTAGCACCATCTCTCGGACCCCAACCAGGGAGTCGTGAAGGACCAACAGAAGCCAGTCCTTTGCAGCTTTCTTTCATACCACGACACCATGTCATATACTGACCACCTCTCCGCTTTTTCCAACCAGTTCTAGAGTCGGCAAATAATGCACGACGTGGAATTCTCTGGGACGACATTCGTAGAATATGTCCAAGCCACCGAAGTCGGTGTTTCAAGATGGTCACACCAATTAGATCATCGTCTCTGTGCCCAAACAAACGATGCCGAACCTCTGCATTACTGACATGGTGTTGCCACTAGATGTCAGCAATCCTTCGGAGACAGCGATGATCGAACACAGAGAGTCGTCTAACGTCCTCAACTCGGAGAGGCCAGGTTTCACAAGCATAGAGCAAAACTGCTCTCACCGACGCGTTGTAGATCCGACCTTTTACAGCCAGACTAACATCACGAAGGCGCCATAGATGGCCCAGATTGGCATAAGCCGCTCTGGCTTTCACTATTCGTGCATTGATCTCATCACTCACGCCACCACCAGCACTTATGCAGCTACCCAGATACACGAACTTCTCAACTACATCTATCTGCTCACCATCCAGGGTGAGTACAGGATTAGAATCCTGTCAGTCTTGTAGAAGTACTTTGCACTTCGAAGGTGCAAAGCACATACCGTACCTACGGACATTGATTGTCAACTGATTAAGTGCGTATTGCATGCCTTGGGCATTATCGCACAGTAAGACAATATCGTCCGCATACTCAAGGTCGAGAAGTCTTTCTCCAGGCAACAGATCCACACCACCATTACTTACATTCATCAGAGCTGTTTCCAGAATGTCATCGATGGCAAAGTTGAAGAGGAATGGTGAGATTGAGTAACCCTGTCTAACCACACTGCTTGAATGGAACAATGGAGAAAAATGGTTGTATACCCTCACTCTACCTGAGGTGTTTGTATATAGGGCCTTTAGGATGTTAATGAACTTCTCAGGCACACTCTTCTTCAATAGACAATCCCAGAGAACAGTCCTATCCAATGAATCGAAGGCAGCCCTGATGTCAAGAAACACTACGATTGTTGGTCTGTGATGAGTATGACAGTGTTCTAACATTTGGCGAAGGGTGAAGATATGATCAATACATCCTCGACCAGAACGAAACCCAGCCTGCTCCTCGCGAGTCAATCTTTCTCGGGTTTTGAACAGCCTACGAAGTATGACGGAAGCCAATAGCTTGGACGCAATGGGAAGTAAACTTATCCCCCGATAGTTGTTACAAGAACGACGTGAACCCTTTTTAAAGATAGGGACAACTATCGACTCATTCCATGACGTTGGTACACTCTCTAGTTCCCAGACTTTTGTAAACAACGTTGGCAGTTCTTTAACCAGAAAGTCACCACCATCTTTAAAAAGAGCCGAAGGTGAGTCATCTGGGCCCGGTGATTTGTAGAGCCTTAAGAGTTGGAGTTCCTTGCGGACTTCCTCCTCACTTGGTGGATCAGTCGTGACCGGCTCAAATAATATTGTGTGGTGATCATAAGCATAGCTTGCTCTGTGTCTTGGTGAACTGTAGTTTAATGTAAAATGCCGATTCACGTAAATTAATGACTATAGTGCTCGTGTATTTCAGGACTGCCGAGTGTACAGTTCTGAGTTTAGACGTAGAATACTAGGTCAATCTGGGAAACAGTTTGATCAGTTAGCGAGTCTTTACCGACTGAAGTGGTTGGGACATATATTACACATACCTAATCACCGTCTATCTCGATACGCGATGCTGGTTGACGTAAGAGTAGGTTGGAGGAAAGCTAAGTGCGGGTATATATATATATATAAACGTAATAGTAAGCTCAGTATCTTCAACTAGTAAAGTATAGATCCTTAAGCTTGATTTTCATCTAATTAGCTGTAACTAAACGAATAAAACAATTTGACTGCAAATTACTTTAATTGTCTATTCAAAGTCATTTGTAAATTAAATCCATTTATTTGAAATCAATTTGATAAGTTATACAATCTAATTTATTCACGTTATGTAGAGTAGTTTATTTAAACTATGTTTATTTGAAGTGTTATGTTTTTGTTGTTGTTGCTAGCTATCGATATGTCAATATGTTCAGTTGAATTTTGTTGTGAATTGAAAAGAAATTGTGAATTGTTTTTAGCTTAGATTATTTACATTTTCAGAAACAACAACACTTGTCAATTACAGTAATTACAATTCATAATTTTCATTTCAATTCATTACATTGTGCTTATTTTCTTTTTACACTATTGTTTCATTATTTGAGTTACTTCATTACTTAATAGTTGTAACTCTCTATCTACTAAGTGCAAATTTACGTGATTGGTTTGAATGCACACTTATTATATGGGGTTAGTGTTATACTAAATAGTTGTCAAAACTGAATTAATTGAAGGTGGGAGAATTTAAATCAGACTGATTTGACTGTCAGTCTACCGTTAATATCTAATTCACTTTAATCGATTATTCTTTATTCTAAGATGACATGGTTTAAAATCGGTTTCAGTGACGCAGATAAATTAACTTTTTATCTGACTTTAGGTTGTGAGTTCCACTTTTCTCACATGCCTTTTCTCTTTTTCTCTTTGAACCATATTCTCAATGTTAAGTCTTTTTCTTTAATATTGGTATTACATTATATCGATTTCTTTGTTATTCATGTCTGTTACAACTTGTCGTGCTAATACCATGTAGAAACCTGGATCAACGAACATTTGTACCAGATTCTACTCTGATTATGATAAAGTTGGTTGCAAATCTTAATGTAAAGGATGACATTAACAGCGAAAAGTTTGGTCATACCGAGTTGACTATATATTATTTATCTTTAATTGCTCTGGTTTAAAGACACTTGTTGTTTTATTATTGATCTCCATAATAATTTTATTAAGTGATCAGTAATATATTTATTACATTCATCCCCGAAAGATCCACTTCATCACTTTGTTTTTTCCTTAATAAATCCTTCAGTGGTTTTCTACTAATTTTGCTAGGTGTTACCTTTGGAAGATGATAGTGTAGTCGGTTAAAAATCGGAGGAGATTTCTTTACTTACGTGCGAACAAATCTGCAAGCAATCGTTCGGATTTTCCCATTATAACTTTATCAGTCAAACCTAATGCTTCCATACTATAATTGGTTGTTTGTATTAACACTTTATTTTTTCCGCTTCAGGCAAAAGTAGTTCATTTACTTGCAAATGTCAAAGAACAGGTCTTATTAAAAAGTCGTAAACAGAACGTTCGTATATCCCTGTGTAAGTTGTGCTTTATTGATCTAATTACAAATGTGCACCATTTATGTGCTAATGGTTCAAACAGCTGAAAAACTACGTATTTCATTGTCTGTGGCACCATATTTATTAATCCTGTAGTATTTATCGTCGATGACATCATTATTATTGCTTGGCAGGCTATTTGAGAATAGTAGTTTGATTAGATTATACTTGACTAAATTTGGGCTTGTATACTGTCTACGCGTCCGCGGCAAGTGAAATATATTTTCGAATGTTGGTAGATGGAGACTACTTGGTTAGGGTCCGCGTGACTTCCATAACCAATAGTTGGATACTCTGCGTGATATGGCTCAGAGTCGATCACAGTGGCGTAGGTCTATACACTTTTTGTTTTCCCTTAAACTATGAGGTTAAAATTGCTTTATATCTTTCTTTCTACCCCCCGGCGGTTGGTGATACCTTGATGTGGTGGTCGGGCTTACCTATCGTGATGAACCAGCCGGGATATACTGGCTGAAGCTATCGTTCCTCAAGGTCATACCACGCCAGACAGGTCGGTTGAAGAGCGGTAAGACTAAAAGCAACAAACCTAAGATGGAGAGCGAAGTCGTACTGCTGACTGTACAGAGGTGTGACGGCAGTAAGGCATTTCCTTCAGATAACCAGCATAGCAGCGATTCTGCCTTCCCACAAGGAGGAGTGGGGTTAGAAAAGGTCGACCCCAGAAATGCACACCTCACCTTATCCCACGGAAATCCGTCTCCGGCGGTAAGGTCTCAACAAGTACAGAGCTAACACGAAAATTAAACACAAAATGGTCGTGTGTGACCAACCTCAAGCAGTTGTCCTTAGGGCACTGCGATCACGCTCTCAATTCATTAAAACCACCTTCAATCCAATTTCCTTTTCAGGTGTCTCCAGAAGAACGCTTCCACGGTGTGGGCCACCGGGAAATGATAGCCGCCCTCATACGTCTAACAGCACTCAAGACCACTGTATTCATAATCAACCACACTCTTCAATTCCTATTATTCCTCCTACATCGACTTTCAACCCTAAACTTCCTCTTTCGGCTTCTTCCTCAAGTGTCACCATAGCCAACGATTCTAGTGCGCAAAACACTGTCCCAGGTCTTCTGAAACCTCGCTCCAAACCACACATTGGTGCCTTCAACCTACGCGCCCTATGTCGAATCGGTCACCGGGCTGCCTTGGCTAAAACCCTAGAATCTCGTACCACTGATGTATGCTGTCTCCGAAACACGCATACAGGATCCCAGTGTGTTTATTCACTTGACCTCACCTCGGCAAAACGGAGAGCTGACGAGATACACCCTCTGTGTATCTGGTGACCCGATGGTCAGTTCTCGTGGACTGGCAGGTGTAGGCATAGCACTAAGCACGAGGGCGGAACGAGTACTGTTAGAGTGGATCCCCGTTAACAGTCGTCTGTGTGTTGTTCGGCTAAACGGCTCCGTAAGAGCTCGGAAGGATAGGGACACACGTCGTTGCCTTTTTGTCGTTTCTGCCTGCGCTCCCACCGATTGCAGCTCGGACGAAGTGAAAGATGAATTTTACAGAAAGCTCTCTGAATTTCTTCAGAAAGCTAAACGTTCAGACATAGTACTCGTAGCAGGTGACTTTAATGTACAGATAGGTAGCTTAAACTTAACAGAAAAACATTTAGGTTTGCATTTTCGTATTCCAGCTCAACGAACAGATAATGGTGATCGTCTGCTGCAACTGTGCTCAGAAAATCGCTTATTTTTAGTAGACACAAATTTTAAGCATAAGGAGAGACATCGTCTAAAATGGCGACCGCTTGCACCAAACTAACGATGGACTCAAATAAACCATATTGCCATCAGTCATCATTGGAGAATTTCGATAGTTGATTGTTGCTGGTTGTGTTAATGAGGTATGGCAACTTGGACCGATGCATATATCTGCCTTGGCCTGCGTTGTAGCTGACTGACTGTTGCTCGTTCTGGAATACCTGTTTGGACTCCAATTATGCTCTAATAATAGTCGAACACGTCGACAACTTCACTTATCTTGGAAGTCTGATCTGCCCTAATGTGTTGGTGCCTGACGAAATCTCTGCATGGATTCGGAAAGCTTACTTGGCTTTTGCCAATTTACGTCACCTATGGTGAAGACGAGATATACGTCTATCGATTAAGAGACGAGTATACTGTGCAGCAGTTCGTTCTGTTTTATTTTACGGCAGCGAAACGTGGCCATTAAGAGTAGAAAATATTCGTAAGCTACTAGTGTTTGACCACAGATGTCTTAGAAATATTGCTCACATCTGCTGGGATCACCGGGTCGGTAATGGTGAGGTTAGGTCCTCGGTATTAGGAAATGATGGTAAATCAGTTGATAAGGTTGTGAATCTTCATCGACTGAGATGGTTGGGCCACGTGTTACGCACGCCTGAACACCGATTACAATCACGCGCAATGCTGGCTAGTGTTGGGGATGGCTGTAAGAAAGTTAGGGGCAGCCAAACCAAAACGTGGCATCAGTGCTTGGAGTCACTAACATCTGGTCTCAGCCATGTTGGTAGATGCAGACTACTTGGTTGCGTCCGCCTGACTACCGTAACTAACAGTTGGATACTCTTGTTGACATGGTTCAGAATCGATCACAATGGCGTAGGTGTATACACTTTTTGTCTTCCCTTAAACTATGAGATTAAAATTGCTTTATATCTTTCCTTCTACGAACTAATTCTTTCTTCCATTACTATATCCTCACCCGCAATCTTTCTTTTATATATTACTATTATTGAAGTAACTACTTCTATGAATTTGATGTTCATCTTGTTGCGCTAATAAGGTGTGGCAACTTGGAGCAATGCATGTATGTGCCTGGTCCTATGTTGTAGCTGGCTAACTAACTAAAGAAGGTTGATAGCCTTAGCTTGCTAATGCTTACTTTGTAGCGACTGACTAAAAGTTCACTTATAAAACAATTGTTCGCTTACGTATCCTTTTTAGTTTGTTTTCTGTATGATCATAAGTCCAACATTAATTCAGCCAAACAGGATATTTTTCATTACAGCCTTATTTCATCAGGCTCTCTTATCTCGCGCTTCTGAAGTCAGTACAGCAATGGTATACATGGTATCTACTGGGAATCTTCCTCCCTCTTGTAAATCTACTCTTTCCGCTCAGCTTAGCGGGCAATCAACTGGTTTAAGTGTTCCGGCGGATAATGTTAATTTTCTTCGATTTGCTGCACAATTTCGAGCTGTTCACCGAGGGGCATTTTTCACAGAAATGCGAACTACTTCAGTTCGTCGTTTATTACCGGAAGCATGGGGTTTCTTCTGTCCTGTACACACTCCTGATGGTGCACCTTGTGGTCTTTTAAATCACTTAGCAGAACCTGTAGAGGTAAATTAAGTCTTTTACAAATTTGTAATCGCAATTTCTCCCGAGGTACTTCTTGTGTGTTTTAAGTTGTATTCAGGCTACATTTAGTGGTTCAATCTAATTATGCTGTCGTAGGTTAACGCCAATGAAGTTGCTTCTACGCAATCGTCTCCTTCATTTTTATACGCTAAATTTGATAAGCATAGGACTAAAAAAGTCAGATTGTCACCGACTTCTACTATTCTATACCTATACTTGGGGCCTTCATTTGTCTCCTCATATTTCTCTTTAACCGTCTGCTACACTTTTCTGCTTGGGTCATTTTTATACTTGTCGCGACGCTGTTTCTCCTGAGTTGTGTGTATCAATTTCTACTGTTCAACGTTATATAACTTCTCAAGCTCATCCATAAAACATTGTGCCTCTTGCAGTTACTACAGTCTCTCAAGATATTAGCTTGTATATCTTTGGAGAAACTATGGTTTTCACTTCAGATAAAGGTTGTTATTCTTTGTAACTTATGGAAAAGCATTTCTTCTTATCATGGTAGGATTCCACTTTCATAAATATCATGGTGATAGTTAGATTTCGTCAATTTCCTTAAGATGAATATTGTTAATACCACACTACTCCCATCGTTACATGTAAGGAAGCGTAAAAATAATATAGAGGTCCGATGTCATAGTCGACTTTTACGAATGACATCAAATATGAAATCTTACGTACACTCTTCATATGGAAGATGATGTGATCGTGATTGGTTAGTGAGTGCAGGCGAACAAATCCATCTCAAATATTCGTGTTGTAATGCATATATATATATATATATATATATATATATATATATATATATTCCTGTGTATTTGTCATGATACACCCTTGTCTGATCATAATCGTATTCGTGATCGTTGGTCCAACTTTAAGTACCTGGACTCACATAATTGAAGATGTAGTTTCAAGAATAGAATCGAAAAAAACTTGTATCACCCTATGATAATTTATAGCCATATAATTTCTGTTTGATTTAATCTAATTTAGTTGATTGCCGTTAGGCTGTAGATACTCGATTTAGCTTACAGCTTTCTGTGCAAATTTTTCTACGTAAGTATTTGTTTAGATATATTGTTGTATTGATTTGTGTTGATCGCTAGGGCTCACTAAACGTCAACGATGCCTTTCCTGACGTTTGACCTTTATCTGTTTGTTTTGCTCTTCTACCAATAGGCTGTATGTGAAACTCCAAAACAGTCAGTGCTTGAAAATATCGGGAATTGGTTATCTACACACAAATTAAGACCGATTGAATTATCCAGACAGTTGTTTGGTGTTGCTGAACAAAAAAATGCCTTACCAGTTTTATTAGATGGTCGTCTTATCGGTTGGTTGTCAACGTTAGATGAAGCGAAACGTTTGGCATTAGAGCTACGCAATTCAAAAGTTGATTCTAACTGCAAAAATATCCCTCATACAATGGAAATAGCGTTAGTTCCTTCAACTGATGTCGGCTCACAATATCCTGGTCTATATCTTTTTGCCGGTGGATCACGGCTCTTAAGACCAGTTAAAAATCTACAATGTCCAAAAGATTCAACTGGTAAAGATGTTATTGAATGGATTGGAACATTTGAACAAGTTTATTTAAATATATCTGTGAAAGAGGAGGAATTAAGTGAACGTTCACTTATTGATAGATCACATATTGAAATAGCTCCTGAAAATATTTTCAGTTTTGTTGCTGGTTTAATCCCATATCCGGATTTTAATCAGGTATTTATATGTGTATATAGATGCTTAGTTTTTCTTGTAATTAGAGCTGATGATGTCGTTTTTATAAACACTTGATAAATTTTATCATGCAGCTCAGAGAACGCATTACCCAAGCATGCACTCGAGCTATATATTTCTTCCTTTATCAGTTAAAAATCTGATCAGTAATTGTATTTGAATTTCGAGAACATTGTACACTTTAGAGTGTTCGATGTATACATTGTCTCATTGGATAATGTATTTCAAATCGTTTACGACACCTTGAAGTATGTACTGTTGTACGAATTGGTGGCTTGATAATCAAGAAGTTTGACTCACATTCAGTGTTTCTCAGGTTTGAACTCTATCCTATCTATTAAGGTTTGAATATAATATTTGTATCACTAGGATTAATATAAAAATTGTAGCTGAAAGTCAATTGGGTGAATCTGTACTTGAAGAATGAGTTACATAATATGTGTGAAGGTACCTCCGATACTTATATGAACGTGTTTGGATAATGTTGAAGCAATATATTTTATGAAATTAACTATCAAAAAGCTTATGCACTGAACATAACACTGTGACTGTAATTACAATGTGTCCCGGGTAAAATATGCAATTTATTATGATTCAATTATCACAAGTGTCTTTACTATTCCTAATGAAATGAATAGTAAATTACATTCAGAACTTTTTGTATTCCAATATTGTTTTGAGTTACAATTAACTTTTAAAACCTAATTATCCAGTTGAATTTCATCAATCAGGTATTAATGGTACACTGGTAGTGTATAAAAACCAATTGTTGGTAACCGGCTACCATGGGACTGCATCTCCTTACGTTGCTCCACTGCCTAGTGGATCAGACCTTCAGATCGAAGGCTTCGAGTGTGACCCTCTAAGAAATCCACCTGCCTCGGTTTGGGCACCCGGACAGTATCACAACCCTCACACATATCAAATGAGATTTGTGTGGCGCATATGTATTTGGTGCCTCCTTGTACCAATATCTATGTGTTGAAATAAATAAATAAATAAATAAATAATAAAGTTACTGAAGATTCAACATATTTGTCAGGTTGTTAGGGTTCGATCATAAGGATCTCTAAAGCATTACATCATGCATAATAGAACTACAGAACAGCCTTCATTTAGAAACAATTATTGTTTTGTTGGGTTCATTGTTTCTATAAATTGGTGAGTATATTTTCTGTTAACCCAGTCATATCTTATAGTCCAATTCAGTCACTGTGCACCATATTAAATACGTACTTAATCGGATTATACAGTAAGTGAGAAAAACACTATAGTATTTATGAAACTATTGTCTGGTGATATTGTTTTGAAATATATTACTAGTTAGTAACATCTTATTTACAAATGATCTTCGTTAATGTTAACATCTTTCCTTTACAGTCTCCACGTAATATGTATCAATGCCAAATGGCTAAACAGACTATGGGTCATTCTTGTTATACGTGGCGTAATCGATCAGACGCGAAAGCTTATCGTTTATTTACACCTCAAAGTCCTCTTGTTCGAACTAAAATGTATGTTAAATATGATGTCGATCATTATCCTCTAGGATTTAATGCAATTGTTGCAGTGATGTCATACACGGTAAGCACCATATATATATATATATATATATATATACTTTTAAATGCGTTTCTTTACAGTAATAATTAACACATCAGTACCTGATATTTACTTCAATGGAAATCGTTTTCTGACATTGGAGTGGGTAAATCAAGACAGAACCAATCCATAAAGTCAGTGACTGTTCATTAGAGCCACATCATTAGGTCTGGATTACGAAGTTTGGGCTCACGTTGAATGTAACACTGATTTGACCACAATGGCACAGTTGCATTCGTCTTCTAACCTCTTCTAAGCTTTGATTTTATTGTCATTCATAACTTTTTATTGTTTAGTCTTCTCCGTTTGAACGGTTTATCTTGTGTTTATATTTCCATTGTTTTCAATGTTGTTTCCTATCAATCGTTTCTCATCTTGCTGATTTTCACGTTGCACTATTGTGAAGTGTGATAACGTGACTCAGTGCATAATTGTGGCAAGTTCTACACTACTGACCAACTAAATGACTTAAAGTGATTTTTCACTTCAATGTTTAATGTGTTGCTTTCCAATCTCTAAGTGATAATCAGCTTTCTGAAAGTTTAAAGTGTCTTCTTGTTATGTACATGGGATAGAACTTATAATTCCTTGTAATCACTTCGACATTGAATTCCCTTCCTTCATAGTGTCGGGTCACTTAGTTAAGCGTTCACATTCCTGAATATGTATAAGTACCAAAAGCATGCCAGTTGCCTAAATTTATTTGAAGTGTTTTCGTGACGATGTGTCTAAGTCGAAAGTATTATTCATCACAGATTGATCGCATTTAGAGTACCGTTAGAAACCAAGGGGCACTTGATAGCTGTTTCTTCATAGTATGGGATTCCTCAGTAGTGCGCACCTACAACCCCACGATGGATCGGACCCAGGACCTTCAGGTCTCATCCCATTATATCTCTGTTTGAGTAAAGCTGAAATTGTGCCTTTTTACTCTCTCTCGGTGTTTCTAATGATTGAAAGTTCGCCACAAGACGTAAATATCTTGGGTTCGGTTAATGTTACGGGGTTGTGTGTGTGCACTTCTGAGGAGTCCCACGCTGGAACGAAACAGCTGTCAAGTGCTCTCCGGTTTTCAATCTATGATGAATATTTCCTACAAATCTCCTTAAGTAGCAATTACACAAAATTGCAAAACACCACTACAAAAAACTTTTCTTGTGTAAATACATAACCACTTTCATAATATCCATTAATCTCTTAAAATTATTGCGAAATCAAAACAATTTTTAGATTTGTCTTTAATTTTCAACTTGACGTAAGCTTTTTTTCTAACCACTTTATTTTATCTACAAATGTGAGGTCTATCATTTTTTTCGATAACCAAAGTTACTTTGAATGGATTGCCCCTCCTGGTACGGCTGAAGGTTGGGGAAGTCCACTCTCCCTCTCGAAATGCTCTCACACAGCCACACGTATAAAACCACTATCAAGGAAGTCTTACTGCCTCGCGGCGTGGGGTGTTGTTTACGAAATTGAGAGTACGAAAAACGAATGTTCGGCGCTTTAACCAGGTTGGTGGATATGGAGGATCCACCTACGTGATTTGGAAAACCCTGGTTCCAAACCAATTATACATATGGGCTCCAGTACCCTGGTGGAACAAAAGGCTTATGAACCTTTTGCTGGTCTTCGGCTACCCTGGGACTGCGCCACCTAGTGTTGCTCCACTGTCCTGTGGATTAAACCTTTAGGTCAAATGCTCATAGAGTTTTCTCTTAAGAAAACCACCTGCTTCGGTTTGGGCACCCAGACAGTATTCCGGCCCTCACACAAATCAAACAATTTGTATGGCTCATATATATTTGGTGCCTCCTTACACCAATTCTTATGTGTTTAATTAAATTTTAAATATAAATATGAATGGTTAAGCTTAACAACTTTGTATATCATACATTTGATATTATACATTTAAAGGAATACATTTTTATTATTTATACTTTAAATGTTTGTTAATGATATTTACTTTCGGTTATAGGGTTATGATATGGAAGATGCTATGGTGATTAATAAAGCATCATATGATCGTGGTCTAGCTGGAGCTTGTATCTATAAATCAGAAGTTATTGATCTATCTTCACTTTCCAAGTCAACATCTTCAAATAATCCATTTCAGAAGAAAAGATTAATCACATCTGAATACTATTTCGGTATGTAGAAATATGTGTATATGTAAAAGAAATCTTTGAAAAAAAAAACACATTTCAGTTGTACTTCGCTTCCCTAATTATACTGTAATTTAAGTTAATTTAATAGGTACTTCATATTTAATTATTAAATAATTTGTCTCTATACCTATTCAACGTAATTTTATTTGCTATTAAATGATCCTACCAGTGAAATTTCAATGCAACATATTGGTTTTTCCTTGTTCATTGACTGTTTTTATTATCATTGAAAAAGATTTAACGTTTTAATAGATATCTGTTGGGTTATTTCAAAGTCACGAAACAATTTTTTCTCTAACCATCCAAACTATAGTTTTTTTTATAATTCTTTATTGTTAATCCTGTCAAATTATCTCAGCTTTATTTTGTCTTGGAAATATCTACAGGTTTTGCAGGTGAAAAACCTGATAAAGGTTTAGATTTAGACGGTTTTCCACCAGTTGGTGCCCGTTTAGAACCAGGAGTCAGTTGGTTATATGCCTATACACATAGTGAAACATTGCAAACTAATTTTGTCAAATACGAAGGTGGTGAACAAATAGCTTATGTTGATTCAGTATCACTCAATGGGTCGTGGAGTTGTGTGAGTCGTCTTATACTGGATAATCAATTTTTCTATTTCAATCCACTATTCGAATACAATGCTGTGTGTTCAGTTTTAAGTCATAGGTGTATGCATGTTAAAATTAATTGTCTTGCATAGTGAGGTTTGAATCTGCTACTCATTAGTTGCCTGTCTGTATCTCATATTAGTGTAAAGTGAAACGGTCACTCAGTCAAACACAACGCAGAACCTGGCACTTTTTGTACATTGGTTCAGGTTATCCTAGTCCATTAGCTCAACAATATGAAATTATCAGAGCAAATCTTAGGGTAGTAGGGGTAGTAAAAAAAGCGTAAAGGTCAACTACTTGATTTCATTCCAATTATTTGAAGGTAATGGCCTCACTTTGAGATTTCGAATTCGTCAGATCACTTTGATGTGGAGTGGCATATACTCGTCGCTAGAACGAAGCAGTTGTTCACTACTCCCTGTTTCTCTGCAGTTCTCGACCTCTTATAAGTTCCTTATGTGTTATTACAAACCTGTGTGAATTATTCTAACTTTTGAACTGACAAATCCATTTATTGAAACATATATATTTGCTTTTGTCATTTGTTCATGTGTAACGTTGAGTATTTTTTAAGTGTACATGGTAGTATGCATATGTTTATCCACTTCCTGTAGTTCTTATATAACAGGAAAACAGAATCATCTTATGGTTCTCTGATTCAGTGTGTTACCGAACTCCATTGTTATATTCACAGAATTTTTTTTATTATTTGTCTAACATTTAATATAAATATGTTTAAAACTTGTGTATCCTAAACACAATTCGTATTTGACTTTGATCATCCATGTTGTATTAACGTGATTTGTCAGAATGTATACGAAGTAAGTAGGAAATGCGTTTCATAGGCAATAGATAAAAATTTGCTTCGAAAGTAGAATCGTTCAATTAATGAAACATTACTGATACTTCTTAATAATAAATTAATTCTGACGGTTTTTTCTCGGTATATGTTTGTGAAATTCAATTTAGTTCATTCATTTTTTTGTAGGCTACAATCACACTTCGTTTGCCTAGACAACCAGATATTGGAGATAAGTATAGCAGTCGTCATGGTCAAAAAGGTATTAATAGTCTGTTAATTCAATGTGAAGAAATGCCTTGGTCTACTACACATGGTCTTATTCCCGATCTTATATTTAATCCTCATGGTTTTCCTACTCGAATGACAATGGGTATGATGATTGAGTTTTTAGCTGGGAAGTCTGCTGCATTAACAGGTGAGAATAATGATATCATCATTATTTTTATCTGTTCATTTTCCGACTTTCAATGATTTACTACATACTGATAGTATTTAGATTTTCCTTGTTATAACTTTCCGACAATGTAACGCTGCAGTATGGATTTTCCAATTTGAAAGAAAGCAACCTGATGGTTGAAGTACTCCAGTTTTTAACTTCTTGGAGTTGAATTTCGAACTCTATTTCGGTTTCTTTAGTAAAATAGTGTTGTAGTACATGCTGGTTTTGTTTGCAGATATAAGCATTATGTAACACCAGTTGGAAAAGGAGTGTCTGCAAGCAGAAGGTGGAGAAGATTGAAATGAATGGTAGGAAACTGTAAGCAATCAAAATAACAAGAGGAATAAAGGAACAATGAAGCTTGTAAGAGACAATTTAAAGATGTGCGAATGATGTATTTGGTGTATTATTTTCATAGTTCACTAAACCACTATGTGATTATGCTTTGAACAATAAATTGGTTATTCTCACCAAGTCTTCCTTCACTACAGGGTCACTAGCTACCATATACATAGAGATATTGATTACTAAAATCCAGATGTGTCAACCTATGTTTTGTCAAGAAAACACTAAGCAAATACATAGTTTATCACTTTTTCTCCAATGATATCGATTCTTTATCAAAACCATATAGAGATTGTAAAATGACTTCACAAGCCATCTATGCAAAAAGAATTATTTAGTTTAGCCTGCTTAAGTGAACTTTGTAGGCTCTCTTTATCTGGCTGATTATTTGAAACTCTACCAAATCTATTCAGATATTAGTGTTGTTTTACCACTTAAGATAGAAAGACCAACAAGATATTGGGAGTTTTTTTATTTTTCATTAAGCCACACATAAGTATCATATTAATGCAGGTAAATATAGTAAAATTTTCAGTCATAAATCATATGCACAGCTGTTTTAAGAATTGGGATAGTTAAGCCTTTTTCTAAACTATTATTAATCACCTCATGAATGTGTGATCAATTAGGTTCTCAATATTTTTTAAAGTTTTTTACTTGTCGTACACTGGAGTTCAACAACAATAACCTATGTACTTGATCCTAGATATTTATGATTATTCTCTCTATCTTTAGGTGTTTTGGAAATAAAGTCCTGGTTCTTTGGTTTAAATTACCCACTAGCTAACGAAGCAAATAATAAATCATTCCTTGATTTATTAAAATAATGTGAAATGACTAATTACTTGTTGAAAATTCGTTCTAGTAATTGTTTGTAATGTCACAGTTTCTTTACCAAATGGGTCTCATTATACCGTTCGCTCCCAAATCCCGACCGTAGCTGCTACCTTGACGCGGTGGTCGGGCTTGCCTATCGTGATGACCGAACCGAGCTATATTGGCTGGAACATATGTTCTTGTATGTTCTACCATGCCAGACAGGTCGATTGGAGAACGATAAGACTAAAAGCAGCAACTCAAGGTCTGAGGGCGAAGTCGTACTGCTGACTGTAGAAGAGTATGGCAGCAGTAAGGTGTTTCCCTCAAACAACCAGCATCTGCAGCGATGCTGCCTTCTCACAAGAAAGGAAGGGTTTAGAAAAGGTCGACCCTAAAAATGTCACACCTCACCTTACCTCACGGATTTCCGTCTCCGGCGGTAAGGCCCTTTGAAGAACGTAGCTAACACATCAAAAACCTCCCACGAAAAGGCCGTGCGCGACCGGCCTCAAGCAGTTGTCCCTTGGGCTTTGCGGCCACGCTCCCAGGTCGTTAAGGCCGAAATTAATCCGGCTTCCTTTTCAGGTTCCTCAAGAAATACCCTTCCACGGTGTGAACAGCCGGAAAGTGATATCAGCCCTCATTCCCGTAACAACACACGAGACCAAGTTGGTCACATTCAAATCCTTCCTACACCTCCTAATATCACTCTTATCTCCCCGACTAACCCTTCTCACGTCTCTTTATCACTTCGCACCGCCAGGGCAAACGATCCGAGTACGCGGAACGTTATTCCTGGTCTCCTGAAACCACGCTCTAAACTTCATGTTGGAGCTTTTAACGTCCGAACACTGTGCCAAATAAGACAGCAGGCTTCCGTAGCTAGGACTTTAGAATCTCGTGTCATCGATGTGTGCTGCGTCTCCGAGACGTGCATACAGGATCCGAGTAGCGTCATTCATTTGACCTCACCATGTCAAAATAAAAAACCGACTCGATTCACACTTCGTGTATCTGGAAGCCCTGATTCTGCTTCCCGTGGCCTCGCCGGCGTACGTATAACACTGAGTCCTAGGGCAGAACTAGCTCTCTTAGAGTGGATCCCAGTAGACAGTCGTTTGTGCACTGTCTGACTAAACGGAACAGTAAGGATCCGAAAAGACAGGGACACTCGTCGTTGCCTCTTCGTCGTCTCTGCCTATTCTTCCACTGACTGCAGCTCAGATGATGTAAAAGATGAGTTTTACAGAAAGCTCTTTGACCTCCTCCTAAAAGCTAGGCTCTCTGATGTAGTAATAATGGCCGGCGACTTTAATGCTCAAGTAGGTAAACTAAGCGATAGGGAAAGACACCTGGGTGGATCTTATAGTGTCGTGGCTCAAAGAACAGATAATGGCGACCGTCTGTTGCAGCTATGCTCAGATAACCGCCTGTTCCTTGCAAATACTAACTTTAGGCATAAGGAAAAACATCTTTAAACATGGCGACCCCCTAATTCGTCCCAACGTTGGACCCAAATAGATCACATCGCTATCAGCCACCGATGGAGGGGCTCGATAGAAGACTGTCGCTCATTCTGGAGCACATGCTTAGATTCAGATCATGCTCTAGTGCGAGCGTGTATCTGTCTGCGTCTTACTGGACATAGGAAAGACGCTGCAAGTAAACCTCTTAGAGTCCTACTTAGTGATAGTCAAGCTGAAAGTATATTTCAGGAACAACTAGGAAAACAGTTAGACAGCCATGTATGTGATGCCCACCCCGAGGCAGCATGGAATGATATCCGAAAAGCTGTGGAAACAGCAGTGATATCTGCTAGTACGGTAACCCGTAAGGTTAGGGAGCTACATTGGATCTCAGCAGCACCTATCGCACTGATATATGCTCGGAAACTCATTCCACCTGGCTCTGAACATAGTGAGGAGCGGAGTCAGTTTAAGCGTAAGCTGACAAGAAGTCTACGCAATGATCGTGAACAGTGGTGGGTAGCGAAAGCAAGAGAGATGGAAAAAGCAGCGACTGACTGATTCGCCCCCAAATGCCCTGGTACGGCCGAGATTGGGGAGAGTTCGCTTTCCCTATCGAAATGCATTCACACGGCCACGCGTTTATAGCCTCCGCCAGGGAAGTCTTCCTCACTGCCTTTTCGTGGCGGGGGTGTTGTTTACAAAACTGAGAGGACGGAAATCGAATGTCCGGCGCTTTAACCGGGTTGGTGGATATGGAGAGTTTACCTAGGGGAGTTGGAAAATTTTGATTCCAAACCAATGGTGCACATGGGCTCCAGCATCCTGAGTGAACAAATGGCGTATGAACCAATCGTTGGTCACCGGTTACCATGGGACTGCATCCCCTTACGATACTCCACTGCATTGTGGATCAGACCTGTAGGTCGATGGCTCTGGGTGTGACCTAAGAAAACCACTTGCTTCGGTTTGGGCACCCGGACAGTATCACAACCCTCACACATATCAAATGAGATTTGTGTGGCGCATATGTATTTGGTGCCTCCTTGTACCAATATCTATGTGTTGAAAGAAAGAAATAAATAATTATACCGTTCACTACCAATGAACTACACGGAGTTCCGAAATAAGACAAAAGTATTTATTACGTTATTTATTTGAACACAGGCACCAAAATGTATATGCGCCACACAAATCACTCAATTTGTATATGAATTAGAATACTACCTGGGTGCCCAAACTGAAGCAAGTAGGTTTCTTAGGCGGTCACTCTCTGAGTCTTTTACCTCAAAGTCTAATTCAAAAGGCATTGGAGCGACGTTAGGAGTTGTGGTCGGGATTAGTTTCATATGCGATTTGTTCCCTCAGGATTGTGAACTCCATGTACTCGGTTGTTTTGCAATCAACGTTTTTCAGCGCCCCCTAGTAGATCTTCCGTACCCATCAACCCGGTTTAGGCCCCGGATATTCTTTTTGTCATCTAAATTTTGTAAACAACACTGTCGCGAGAAGGCAGTGAGTCAGTCACTCCTTTTAGTGGGTTAATATACTTGTCCATATGAAAGCTTTCTTTGAAGGAGAGCTGTCTCTCCCTACCCTCAGTTATACCAGGGTATTTGAGGACGAATTGAACCGCCTGCTTGGAGTGGGGTTTGAACCCACTCGGGATATGTCCCCATGTACTACATACCATCTGAAATTTGTTTCACTTTGATTGTCCGTATTTATTTTATTAGGTAATCGAGTTGATGCAACTCCATTTCAATGGTCAGAAGATTCACCACCTTATGAAGATTATTGTCAAATATTAACCGATTGTGGTTTCAATCACTGGGGCACAGAGACAATGATGTCTGGATCAACTGGACGTCAACTGGAAGCTCAAATATACGTCGGAGTTGTTTATTATCAACGTTTGCGACATATGGTAGCAGATAAATATCAAGTATGAAGAATATATGTGATAAATATTATAATACTGGGTAATTTGTATCAACTTTTAAGATCGATATTTTCTTTTTGGGTAATTGATTTAAAGGAGTAAATTCGATCATTAGTCTTTTTCGATATTAGAATAGTTATTTGCATTGTTTACCATAGAAAAAAACATGTTTTTGTTACGTTTACATAAATTATTACGTTTAATGAAACCAGCTAAAGTTTAGAATATGGGATCTCAGTGTTTGAAGGTCATATAATAATTTAAATCTCAGTAGTGAAATATGATTTCATGTATTAGATTTTAGGTTACACTTCAATCCCAAAGTGTAATTTGAACCTGTAACCATTAGAAGTTAATTGTCAAACTAACCATTGCTTTATTATTGAATTTAGTCTCTTCTTTTCACTTACAGTTCTCACCTAAATTTTATGAAACAGATATTTCGTAAAATACAAATACTAAATTTCTATGTGAGAATTGAAAACCATGTTTTACTGTAAGACTTAAAGCAGTATATTAATAGTGGATGAACATCAGGTGTGCGTTTTTCTAGTATACTATTTATGTTTAGACTTGTGGACTCTAGGAGTTCCTTCCAGTATCATAAGATAAATATATGGCCACATTTATGAGGGTGTTCAGTATATCTGCTTTTGAAATCTAATCATATTACTCAGATCCTTTTATTGTGTGTAAAGTTTCTTGTACTGTCGTTCTTATCAAATAAAAACGTAGCTTGGTTGAAGTTCAAATCTGCTTCGATTTACTCTTTTATGCTGATTGCTCATGTGATTCCGATTTTTTAAAACTTAATATGCTGTTTTACATGACTGAATATAATAATGATTACTTTTGTGAATATATTTCTGCTAGGTTCGTGCTGAAGGTCGGTTCGATCCAATACTTCGACAACCGATTAAAGGTCGTAAAGTTGGAGGTGGTATTCGTCTTGGTGAAATGGAACGTGATTGTTTGTTATCACATGGTCTAGTTTTCAGTTTACAAGATCGTTTGGTTGATTCCAACTGTGATAAAGTCAAGGTAGATATTTTTCTAAACTAAATTAGTAATAGCACAGTAGTTATCAGATTTTTCTCACGTTTTTTTCTGCATCTGAATTTTTTATTCTTTTCATGGGATTTTTGTCTAGCTTGAATATATTACTGTGGTTAGTTCGTCCGTGTTGTAATTTAACAGTTTACTAAAGGGTAAAATTCAACTCTACCTCCCGTTGATAGGTATTTTAAACGAAACCCTTAACTGTCGAACATATATTTGTGGTGTTTCTAGAGTTAAGACAAGTAAACTGTGTTCTTAAAACCTTAATTTGTTTCTAAAATATAAATTTATAAAATTAGTCGAAGAACATAAACCAATGCAGACTATTTAAAAAAGCAAGTGGTAAAAGTTGTACATACCAAGTAGTAATTAACGTCACCACAATCAAATTAATGGTAACTAAATCATGTTTGTGAAAAATTCGCAGCTGTGTAATCATTAGGTTAAAAAACGCAGCCACTCAGAATAAAGCGTCTCAACTAAAATATTATTCGTTAGTCTGGTCTTATCGATCGTGATTAATAAGTGGTTTTGAAGAAATTTCTACTACTACTCATGATAAGAAATATCCTTCCATGGTGTGAGCAGCCAAGAAGTGACAGTCACTCTCATATCTCTATCAGCATCAAAGATCCTCTTGTTCACATTCATATTCGTTCCTCACTTCTTGGTATTTCTTCTGTCCCCACCACCGACCCTTCTATGACTTTATCCCTATGCACCACCAATACTGACCATTCGAGTCCACGAGATGTTATTCCTTGTGTCTTAAAATTGCGCTCTGAGATTCACTTTGTGTCTTTAGATTTCGAACCTCATGTCAAATAGGCTGACAGACTTTCTTGATTAGTACTCTAGAATTCTGCATCGTCGATGTATGCTGAGTCTCGGAAACACGAATACAAGATCCATGTATGGTCACTCACATTATTTCACTTAGTCAACTCGGAGGACTAGCTTGATTTACCATTCCTGTTTCTGGCGACTTAAATGCTACCAAGTTTAAACCAGAACTGGCTTTCCTAGCTTGGATTCTAACAGACATTTATTTGTGTGCTCTCTGACTAGAGGGGAAGCAAAAACACAAAAGAATAGAGACATGCCTTTGTCCATCCGTCGTATCTGCTTACGCTCCCACTGACTGCAGTTCAATTTGAAGGATGAGCTTTGCAGAAATATTTTTGTTCTCCTACTAAAAGCCAAATGCTCGGACCTAATAGTCGTAGCGGGATACCTTAACACTCCAGTAAATAGCTTGAACCTCTTGTAATGACCACAGAATATTCAGTTTAACTATCATAGTGTCTAAACTATTACTCATCCGTCACTTAACTAGGGCTCGTGAAGAGCAAACTCTTAAACGTCGGGGTAGTTTCAGACGTGGACGTAGATGTTTAGACCGATTATTCGTACTTCCCCAAAGCCTGGAGCACAGACATACCGACTCCCAGTCACAGTTATATTTTTCAATTTTAACTAAATATTTTATTCTATAGATTAACAAGTTTTATTTAAAAGTTCTTTTCGTTATGGATGTTAAACGTGGCTTTTAAAAATATAGGATTCAACCATAGGTGTCTTCGAAACATCACTCGGATATTTCTGGACCATTGAGTTAGCGATTCTGATATTAGTCTCATAGTGCTAAGCAATAATGGCAAGTCGACTGACGTGGTAGCCAGTCTTTGTCGATAAATATGATTTGGACTTGTATCATGTATGTCCATTCACTGACTACCTCAACTAACGATGATAACTGATGTTGAAGTAGGCCAGAAGGAAGCTATAAGAGGCCAAACCAAGACCTGTCACCAATTTATAAAGACACCGACTATTGAACTGAGCTAAGTGGGTGGATGTAAACCATCTAATTGTGGTCCTTGTGATTATCGTAAGTGATGATTGAAAACTGAATGACATGACTCAAAACTACTCACAATGGCACAGGTGCGTCCACCCTATGTCTTTATTCTTGATGTCCTAGGGTCGAATTTTTGTAATGAGTAATACTTATCATCTTCATCGTAGAAAATATGTTATACTTATATCAATCATGTATAACAACAGAATGTAAGTGATAAATTTGATAATAATTTCTGTATATAACCACATGACTTGTACTTTGATAAATCTCACCATACCTCATGCTAGTTTGAATCCTTTTCTAATTTTAAACATTCTAGGGCTTCTTCAATCGTATTAACATGACAACACCACGTGTTAATCAGGAAGGTGTCAACTAGACACTTGTAAAACTAATTAGCCAATATTAGTTTCCACTAACATGTAGCACACATTCATGAAATTATGCCACAACATTTGTTTACTACCTTGTTTGTTAATTTGTGGATTTAAATGCTTTTTGTATGACTTTCTCTTACAAAGATGCTTGCCTGTTCCAAATGCGGTGGTTTAACGCATTCTGATTTGGCACGAAATATCACTAACACCAGTGTAAATCAAATGACCTCAGACGATTCGTCTTCATTTGTTCCAGGTACAAACCGGTGGTGTTGTCGTTTATGTGATTCTGATAGTAGTGGCTGTGTGTCTAGAGACAGAGATAACTCTCTTAAATATGTTCAAGTTTCAGCTGCATTTAGATATCTGACGTACGAATTAGCTTGTTTGAATGTAAAAACTCGATTATCATTGACTGACTTAGAGTAATTTGTGAATAATAATTATTTTTTTATTGATATCCAACTGCTTCTCTATTTTAAAAGTTTCTTACTTCGTAAACTTAATGAATTGTGTGGTTAGATATATGTCTATGCAATATCAAACCATAACTTTTGTAAAATTATCGGGCTTTACAAGATTGTAACATTTGGATTTTATTGAGTACAACCTAATTAAACGTAAATTTCTTTACTTAAACATAAGTTACCGCTTCTAGTGAATACGACTACTCGGTAGGTTAGCGAAAAAGTACAAAATAAGTCCTATATTTTGTTGATAGCCCTTAGTTATTTGTGGTAGAAGCGATCACATCTTTCATAAAATGAGCCGCCTGTAAGTAATTCTATCTAATATGCTATACAGTTGACTTCGTTAGCGTTTTCACCGATGTCTACATGCTGTAGCAGTGGATGTGTTCCATAGTTATGTGAATCCGCGATTGATTATGGTGAATGGTGTGGTTGAGTGATAACTACTTTCAAAAACATACTTATTACTGTTTATTCTACAGTGACTGGATATTAGAAAAGGGAAAACATCTGATCAATAAGCTGAGTGTTTTTGAATACTGAAATTACACACTAATATTAAAAATGTATAGCATGGAGAAATACATGTTTTAAATTTTGGGTATCATTACCAAGGTTTGACTTGATAATTGCAAATAAACTGAGCATTGTTATAAATAAATTAATATATTTGTAATATCCCAATGAGTAGAAAAATCAGATTTTCTGACTTTTCGTGACTCAGTGTAAGCCAATTCTTTTCTACTCATTGGGATATTACAAATATATTTATTTATGTTTAAAATTCATTTGGATTGTAAATCATCATTAGTTGTTTACCGGCCAAAATAATTAAGGCTTAACTATTGGGCTCGCCTATTTTCAACCATATCACCGAAATTGTCACTAATCTTTAAAAATAACTTCTTAAAAACATGACTAGTTGGTATGATGGTCCTACAGAATGCACACACTATTTTCTAAATTGTTTGAGGAAACGTGTTTCTTGATATTAAGACACTAATGTCACTACAAATCCTCTTTTGCATCGGTTTGGAATTTTTTCAGCCAACGTATGCAGAAAATTATCGACACTTCCTCATTTTTTTAGTGAATAATCAGTTAGGTAAGAAAATGTTCAAGTAGACGCTCATTTTAATTCACAAAGGTCTGGATATGTATTTCCTCATTTAAAGAGTTTCTTGAGTGGATTACTGTCATTTCTTTGCTTCAGTTTCTAGTTTTCAGCGTAAGCTTGTGCTGTGAAACTTAATGTGGTTATAACATCAACACCGATATTAGAACATACATTGTTTAGGTTTCTTGATCAGAAATACAATAATATCTGGAAGTCGTTAAGGATTTTATTTGTTTATGCAACAGTTTAGTTGCCGAGAAATTATTATCAGTATTGTAGTTTATTTCACACTGGAGTCTGTTACTCTACAAATTACCATTGATATGTATTTTAAGGGGTAATGTTGGCAAAAAGACCTCATGTATGTAGTTTTATTTAATTCTAAAGGGCAATAATTTTCCCATAATGTTTTCTTACTGACATTTTCGTAGGAAAAGTTGTGGGTTAGTTTCTTGTATTTTACTGACCATTTGCGAGTATCGAATTAGTTCTGCAGTTATCTCAGTTTGTGATAAACCTGTATAAATATAGAATTTAGAAAGATGAAACAAGCACATCAATGTTAGAATTATTGTTACCAATTAACAAGTTACAGTAAAGTGAACATTGCTTTCTTCTGTTAACTCTGCAATAGTTCTGCGATTTTGTTGTGTGGGTAATTAGCCAATTATTAATTACCAGTATCATGTTATTTAGCCATTAGCAGTGGTTCGACGTAACCTATAACCCATTAGAATAGAGGATTTAATGGAACCTAACAGCTAGGACTCAATGGACATTAAGGAGCAGGTAGTGCGACATCGAGACTGAATGATCAATTGTTGGAAGCATTTCAGCCTTACAGCTGATCTAATATTGTCTGGTTGTAATTTGAGTCAATCCAATGAAGAACATCATATCATTAACTCGCACGAAACATACTCGGGTTTTCCCTCTGAATCCTTCCAGTCATCGAACATAATACTCATTACTTTGATGGCTCTTTCCAAGTCTAATTATAGATTTACTATCAATAATTATAATGATCACTTGCTAGTGAAGATTACGTATAGTTAAATTTCTATTTCTTTTAATAAATAGAACTCAGATGGGTAATATAATCATTGGTTTAACTCAATATTAAACAACTAACTTACCTGGTTGTACTCCGAAACAGTGTTTTTCAATTGAATTTTTATTTAAATTAGGATGTCTGTCAACTATTGACCTTCTATGGGTATTTAAAAATTAATTAATTCTTCAGGCTTGTGCTTAAGATCGATCAAGTATGTATAAGTTTGACTAACCCTTTAATTATCCTTGGTTGTTTTCTGTATTTAGTTTGACTTTGATCACCACTTGATATCATTAAAGCATTCTCATCGTCCTTTGGCCCTGTAGTATCATATGTATTTGTGGGGCTATGATTGTTTACTTCGGTTCTTTTTTTCTTAGGCTATTCAAAAAAAGTTACCAGGACATATATCTTGTAACCGCTGACGAATATCACATACTCAATTAATAATCAGGATACTGATTTTAATTTGGTTTGCTATTTACTCCATAGCTTCGTGTCTCTGACTTGGCCAACTACCCGCCCTACTATCAATATCGACCCTGACCCGACAGCTAGCTTTCTACTGACCCACTTTTCACTATCTCCCTTATATGCCCAGCCTTTGAGTCTGGGAGACAACAGTCAGCCTCTAATTTATATATATTACAAACAGACGTTTATATAAAGACATACTGAACCACGCCGCAGCATAAAACAAAAGATAGCAATTTTACATGTACGAGCCAAAAGTGGCTTTGAGCAGGAGAGGTTGTAAGTAATAAGCTGCTAACAAATTAGGAATATTAAACCCTACTTCAGTAGTTTAAGAGTCACCCGAAACGGAATATATATACGTACTATTATAGTTTCTTAATGAATATACAATCATAAGCTATATGATACCTTAAAGCAGCATTTGACGCTATCGATCGTGAGGTTCTGTGGCAGTGCCTGTCACTGAAAGAAGTACTTTAACCTTGTAAAGTCTCTCTATTCGAACACAACTGGCCGAGTGAGAGATCAGATCTGGTTTCCTCAAGTGGTGTTCGTCAGGGCTGTCCACTTGCTCCATTCTTGTCTAACTTTGTCATTGACGTACCTTTAGAGATAACACTTTCCTCATCTAAATTTCCAGGAGTTGAACTTTTACAGAGAGATTTACTTGTTGGCTTAGAATATGCCGATGACGTAGTTCTATTTGGTAAAGGCGCTGAAAAAATGCGGTCTTCTGACCACTATAAGCAACAATGTAAGTATGTTCGGTATGCGATTCTCCCCCTCGAAATGCAAAATGTTGCTTCAGACTGGGGTTGCATCGACACCTGAACTAATGATAGGGAGTGATGTAGTTGAGTGTGCCGACCGCTTCACTTATTTCGGGATTCTCATCAACCATTGTGGTCTGGTGTGTGACGAAATCTCAGCATGGATACAGAAGGCTCGACTAGCTTTTGCCAACTTGCGTCATTTATGACGTAAGCGAGATACCCGTCTACTAACCAAAGGACAGGTTTGATGTGCAGCATTTCGTCCCGTTCTACTTTATGGCTGTGAAACACGGGCTGTAAGAGTGGAGGATATTCGTAGATTACTAGTATTCGATCATGGGTGTCTTCAAAACATTGCTCATATATCCTAGGACCACTGAGTAATTAATGAAGTTGTTAGGAAACGGGTACTAGGTAAGGATGGCAAACCAATTGATGAGGTAGTAAAACCTCATCATTTGAGATGGCTAGGACGTGTTTCGGATGCTTAACCATCGACTGCACCGATGAGCGATGTTTTATTGTGTCGGAGTATGTTAGAAGAAAGCTAGGGGCGGCCAGACCAAAACATGGCACAAATCCATGAAGTTACTGACAAGTGGACTGAGCCATGTTGGTAGGTGTAGAGTTCGCTACTATTTATCTATCCAGCCCATCGCTACGTAAGTTTGTTATAAGTTTTCACTCAAAAACATTGGTACTTAACCAGGAGTATATAATCAAATAGGTTTCCTTAATATGTCTTACGGTTATCCTCACAGTTTATTGACCAACGGGTTTGAATGGATCCTCGAGGTTAAGAAATTGCTGTATCGTCAAGTGCTATTAAGTAGATCTGTCTACAGTAAACTTATCGCAAGAACATCTACAGTTAAATCTGAAACATCTATTTTTTTCCGATACACTGGTTACTAACTTCACTTACGCCAACTCATTATGGAACCTAATGAATTAATTATTATATTGGTCAAACTGATCTCTTTGAGAATATCATGGGGATAAATTGCCGGACATCTAATAATTTTGTAAGATCTCTGCATCCATTAATTGCTGCTGATTTATTGCCACAATTTGTCATTTTCACGAATCTGTATATGAAGCTATGTTGACCCTAAGGACACATTCTTTTCAATGTCGAATGAGTGTTTACTTAGTTTTGCACCAAACGCGCATTTGACAATTCAGTCTAGCTGAAGCATTAGTTATCTCTGTGTTGTAGTTTCATACCTCTGATAAGACGGATGCAGGTGTAGTTTCTCACCAGAACATGACTAAACGCTGTACTTGTAAATCAGAAGGAGCAGTAAACTTGCGCCAACAATGAATACCGGCAATACTATATATTTATGTGTAAGATTGATAGCGAATATTTTTCACCTATTTAACCAATTACACGAACCTGTAGCTAATAATCGTTAAGTTACTTAAATTTCACTAAAAATGCTGGAACTTTATATACATCTTGTCATATTGGACAAATGAGGAATAATTAATTAATATACCTTCGAAACAATTCCTTCTTTCAGGAAGTGTTTAAACGGATATTTGATCCGGACATCCATTTTATTGGGAATTTTCGATCCACTGTGAAAAAACGATACAAATAAACCTGTAAATATATTCACCGGTTAATTAATAGTAAGATTAAACTCAGAGTGTTAAGGAATGGTGGTAAATCAGTTGATGAGGTTGTTAATCTTCATTGACTGATATAGTTGGGCCACGTGTTACGTATACCTGGACACCGATTATCACGCACTGCTGACTAGAGTTGGAGGCGATTCGAAGAAAAGTAGTTGTGGCCAAACTAAAATGTGGCAACAGTTTTGAAGTCACTAACTTTTGATCTGAGCTATATTATTAGATGCGCATCTAGTAGTCTGCGCAGACTACTTTGTTGGGATCCGCGTGACTACGGTAATCAATGGTTGAAGACTTTGTGTGACATTGCTCAGAGTCGATCAAAATGTCGTTGATGTATAAACTCTTTGTCTTGCCTCAATCCGTTTGTATAAAATAATTTTACTTCAAAAGTACCTAGTTTACCGTTACTTTAGTTACGGCGGTAGACTGAAATACCTCGTTAAGTTCGTCATAGTAACGTCAAAAGAAGTATATTATAACAAATATTAATTGGGTTCAGTATATAATGTTCATTTTGGTGATATAGTATAAACAATTTGATTTCTACATGCTTGATCTTAACACTTGTGAAACAGTATGAAACGATCATTTTACGTTGAAATATAGGTATAAATATAAAACAAGAGTTAAAAAACTGAACATAGCTATAAAAATGTGTATACAAATTAAAATATTGGCAGATAAGTGATGGAAAGAGAAAACTGGAGATTGCTCTAGATATGGTTTTAGTAGGACTAGGCTTATCAATAAAGTTTTTAGGGTTTATTTGCATTTAACTTCATTTCGAAATGAAGTTTTGCAATCCGTGAATACGTTCTTGAAGATTCAGTATCTTGGTAAGCACATTTGTTGAATGGGTTGCCATTACGACAGCTAAGTAAACACTTAATATGTGACTGACATGTTAGCATGAAGAAGAGTGATACTTTTATGTTCTTTTATAATGAGCAATGAAATCAGCACTTGTAAAAAATATTTTGCCGCAACAATTCTTGATTGTTTATTAGGTCATATTTCATGATAATATTGTTTCTTCCTCTGAGAATAATGGAAACAGTTTGCATAAAATCATTCAGAATATGTTCAGCCTAGCTAACTCCAGAGTTCGATATATGCTAATTTTCACAGTAAACACGGATTTCACTTGGGTCGAACATTTGTGTGGTTGTAACCTGCTATATTTACCCGTAAAAAAGTTGAAGTACTGGTTTCTAACTACACGGTCTTTGAAGCCGAACATATAACTGATGAAATTTACAGAAATGATGAACGCGGGAACAATTGACTGAAATTGCATGGCTCGTCCTTGCAGATGTGGTCACCATGTAACGCAAAACTTTTCATACCAAACCTATTCTAACCCGAGCATATCGTGGGAAAACTACCGTTTTAAGTCTTTCACATAACTCACAAACACCATGTTTACCTATATTTTGTTTCAGAGCACCCAACATTTGAGCTGATACAACTTTTCGTTACTACTCATACTTGTCGTCTACAGGCATAATATATTGCAGGGACTTGAACGTAATGATATTCATTTACCTGACAACTTACTTCTCGATATTCTCACTTGCTTAATCTGTGTAAATGCGCCAAAACTTGCCATGACGTTTGTTTCTTAGAATTATCATGTGAGTGAATCGCTAATCAGTGACTAGATGGTGAAGATAATCTAAAGTTGATGTGAGATCATCCTAACTCTAGTTTGATTTATTATTATTCACAAACATCTTATGGGTACATAAGTTCACTAAGAACTTCTCCTTGACATAGACCAAGTCTCCTACCAAAAACAAAAGATGATGAAATATAATATTTGATATGACATCACAGGAACTTGATTCTTCTAAGATATTTTTCTCAGTTGTGTCAAGAATCTCGTAAGAGAATAGTAGATCATTAGAAAAACTATCACATATTGAAATTGCACTAGATTTGCGATCATGATTAGGTTCTGATATGTTCGCAAGTTGATTAACGCAGAATAGGGTTTATAACTACGGCATTTGAACTTGTAGAACCACACACTTGCAAAGTCAGAGGACATAAGAAATCTGGAGAAGTGTTTGTTGAGTGGAAGTCAAAATGTACGGAAAATCATGAGTATTAATAGATAGTAGCATTTGCTATGACATCATTATAACTCAGCCAATCCGCAAAGGGCAAGTTATGCTAAGGTCCAAACGTAGCATGCCACGTTGATATGCCAGAAAGCTCCATCATTCTCTGATTGGATAGAAACTCATTTAAGGACTCTGTAGTAGCCGTCGTAATCCTCAGAAGCGGTCACAACACATTTCCGGAATAGAATTTTCTTCCTTTGCCCACCTGTATCCTGTCAGTTGGTTTCCGGTGGCGTTACATTTATTTCGCTTTCTTTCCTGTCCAAGTCTTATTTTCAGTATTCTTTGGCGTATGTGTCGTTGATGTATCTGAACTTAACTGTGGTGGAAAAGTTAGCTGGTTATCTTGAATATGCATCATTCTTTAATGTTTGTGGATTTGGTTTGTATGTCTGATACATGTCTCAAAAGCTGCTCAGACCCTAAACAAAATGTTTCTGAATTTTGTATGATTTTTCCCAATTCCCATGGATTCTTTCCGAGATAGGAGTTGACAAACACTTTATCGCCAACGTTTAAATTTTTGATATTAAGGTTTGTTCTGTTTCCATTCACTTTTTTGGGTGGCAGCATGACGTTGAAAATAGTTTGAATACATCTCCCAAACATGACTTCTTCGGTTAAGAAGCCATTAAAAATTTTATTATTACTTGTCTAGTTGTCCCCTCGTCTCCCTCTTTCAATAATGCTTGTTTTAGATTGTCGACAAAATGTTTTGCTTGTATATTCGATTGGGGATGATATGGCAAAGAATGTATATGCGTTATTCCATCTATACTTTAAAAATAATTGAATAAGTCTATAATGAATTATGAGCCAGTATCAATCACTAAGGTCTCTGGGACTCCAAACAACTTTTGGACAAGTTATGCATTGTTTCCTAGTCAGTACAATTAGGCATACTATGTACTTCTGGTCAGTTGGTAAATGCATACACCGTAACTAGAGAACGTTTACCTTGGGGTTGACGGGCGAAATATCCATGAAGTCTGTCCAAGAGTCTAGGATGCGTGGGCCAATGCTTAGGCTCGCATTTCGAAGTGTTTTGAGCAGCTTGAGGATATGATGGACAGTTTTTTTTAATATGAGTCCTTTCAGCTTTCTCAACAAGTATCACGTGAAATATAAGGTTTTTTGGCTGGATTTTAGTGTCACAATTTTGGACTCAGGGTTTCATTTAAAGAATCATCTGTTTCTTTTCCCTCCGTTATTATCACAATTTTATGTACATTTGACAAGATATCATCTTACTGTGTGCTGGACAATTCACTAATTTTACATTCTGCCTTGGAAAGAATTAGATTTGAAATTACTACAGAGGATGTTACCAAAATGGTCGTTACTGAACCACCGGGCAATATATGTAACTTATATCGTTCTACTTGTAAGTTTACTCAGTCGTCGCACATCATGTCGTCATCGTCAGCTTCTTTAGTCAACTATAGACAATTATGCCGGACTCAAAATAGTGACATTTTTCCACGACACGTTTAAAGAATTTAGTTTCGTAGAAATTGATTTCTTGTGCCTGATTAGGCAGGATATGGTGTTTAAACTTTTGACGCTCTTTGAAACTAAGACACATTAACAGCAACTGGGAATTCTTTTCGTCGTCCATAGCGGCGAATCCTATTCGCACAATATTCCCTGTTCTGCCATGCCTTGTTTAAAATTACGACTACTATATGAGATAGGAATGTGCGCCTTCATGTTCTGGAATATTTGGTTAAGTCGAGAATCCCAAAACAATAGTTGCTGTTGAATATTTAACATCTGCTGCTGTAAGAATAGCTGCAGTTGTTCGGAAGGGATTCCATATTGGTCTAGCTTCAATTCACTTATGATTTCAGCTATTTAAACTCAATATTTGTGTCGCAACTATTATCTTAAGTATGTTTTATCTCTAGAAAGTGTCCGACAATTGTCATGCTTGGTTTTTTCGAAATCTAAGTCTCAAATTGATGTAGCTTTCTATTATCACATTAAGATAAACAAGTTACTTATTTTGGGTAGGCGTGATATTTTGGTTAGCCAGCAATGATCATTGAATGGATTATGTCGCGGACTGAATATCGACGTCCCTACATAGAATAAAATACAGTGTAATTAACTATTCTCATCACCACACTGAATCTAGTAAACGAACAATAGCATCGAAATATTTTTAACAACAAATACAGCGAATTGGTATTTTAAGGTCAAGTTTAATTTCACTTCTCTCAGGTAATACAATGCCTTAGGACATCTTTTCTTGATTTATACAGAAGATTTTTCACAATATATATCGTCTGACATTACTTTTTGCTGATGATGTGAAACTTTGGAGAGATACGCTACCAAGAGGATATACTGACCCTTCAGGAGGATTTGACTCGACTTCAAAGTTAGAGAGATGACAACGGACTTAACTTTAGAACTTCAAAATGAAAAGTAGTCCACCTGAGACGTGTTGCCGACTACAACTATAAATAAGGCATCTATTCCCTAGAAACGTCCAAGCCAAGCGTCTCCAATAACAAAATATTTACCTATTGGAGTGCAGGCATCTCAGATGTAACCTTCTAACGGCTTTCGGTATCCTCAACATTTCTGGACATCTCAAACACCTACTTAAGTTCAGTTCCAACACAAACATAAAAGGCAACACCCAGAAATTGGAGACTCAGCACAACGAAACGGATAGTAGACCCACCCTCTATTTAAGAGCTGTCAAATGCTGAAATTCGTTGCCGGTTGTGCTAGTACAAGCGACTTCCCAGGAGTACTTTAAAAGAAAACTTGACTTATTCTTAAGGACTAAGGATAATACCCTACCATGATTTTGTAGTTCCATTTTCCTCTTTAATCGTTAATATACCCAGGTTCTTGGCTGAACGTACTTCGATACAAAAATAAGGAAGTATATAAATATTTGAGCTATAATATTCTGACACTACTAAGATGTTTGCATTATTATGGAAATTTCTTCCCTCATAAACATACATGGCAGGTAGATTGTGTACGTTTTTAAGACTTCTTGATGAAGCTGTCGTTTGCACTGATCTGTTGTGCCCGGAAACGTCTGCAACCTACTCAAACATCATATGCCCCCAACATGTCTAAACCATATCAAACTAAAAGTTTTATTTGCCTCTCTTTTATTATTTGCAGTTGTACAAAATATGTCTACGTAGTTATTCGTCACTCCTTATTTTTTACTTGGAATGGACAGATAACTCACTAGACCTACCGGTATCTCCTAACTTTTGTCGGCCTCAAATGGGCACTCACTACTACTACTTTGTTCGACATCCTGTGCGTCAGTTATGGAAGCAGACTGGTTGGCTGAGGCATTAGCTGGATATTTCTTAGTGTCTGGGCTTTTCTGTGTTTTCGATGTTTAAGTCTGAGTCTCTTTAGGTTCGTTGATGTTGCTTTTTTAGACCCCAGTACTTCTGCCGGGCATCCTTGCACTGAATGGAAACTGAGATATGGAAAACCAATCTATTGTTTAATGCAAAATTGCACGGTGTTTTCGTAAAATATGAAAATTATATATAAAATACTACATTTGACAGTTTCTTTGCATTGTTATTTACATACCCCACTATCCCTGTAATTCTACTGTCATTCTAATTGCCCCCTGTTTCCCTTATTATCCTTCCCAATTCAATTTTTTGATGGCATGCATTCAATTTCTGATTGGTGCTACCTAGTTCTTATATCTCTCAGCGCAAGCAGCATAAATCATACTCCTACTGTGGCTAACTGTGACCGGTCGTTAATGATACCCACTTTCTATGCGCTTGCTGTTACATCATTGATACAATTGAAGTCTATTCCTCTCGTGCTATTTCGCTTCTCCTCAATTATGTTCTGTTACAAGTTCATCTTTTTAATTTTACAGATGATTAACGCTGCAACTCTGTCCGAAGACAAATATTGCTTTGCACTATGCATTCAACATTCATATGACAGGTCAAAAGTATACCAGAGGGGGGAGAGCGACCCGGTGTTTTGTAACTAGCCGCTGCGGAACTTTTTCGTTTCGTTTGTCGGTTCGTATACGACAAGTGAAAGCAAACTAGCATCCGGCCTGATACAGGTGTTTCGGTGATCGTGATAAGCAATGAGTCGTAGGTGGAGATATTAACCAAGACGGTGTATTAGCAGTATCGAACAGTGGAAAAAATAGATAAGCGATAGTTTTGTTCCTGAAAAATTGCTGACATTAAATACCAAGCTAAAGCCATTACACAGTTAACTATTAAATTAAATGATATATGACAGAGAAATATGCGAAACAATAATATTCGAGTAAGTATTTCTACTGATATCAGTAATTAAGTCAAGTATGTAAGAAATAAATCTGAGAGAAAAGTTAATCATATCATGTAATTACCTTCAAAACTCATGGAGTCTCTGATATGCGACGGTTTAAACTACTATCTACTGTCCTTAAATTTCTTCTCACCCCAACAGCATGGTTTCAGGAAGGGGTACTCTTGTATAACCAACCTGCTGACTGCGGCGGACAGATGGACAAGCATCCTTGATCACAAGGGAAAGGTTGATATCATCTACCTAGATTTCTCAAAAGCTTTTGATAAGGTTAACCACTTGTGTCTTATCAATAAGCTCAAACGACTAGGTATCAAACCACCTCTAATCGATTGGCTTACTTCATACCTAAAAAATCGACACTTTAAGGTTAGGGTTAATTTCACTTTATCTCAGGCTATGGAATGTCCTAGTGGGGTCCCCCAGGGCTTAGTACTATGACCTCTTCTCTTCTTGATCTACATAAATGATCTTCCTCAACAGGTAACGTCAGACTTATTACTTTTTGCCGACGACGTGAAACTTTGGAGAGAGATACGCAACCAAGACGATATACAGGCACTTCAGGAGGATCTGACTCGACTTCAAAGTTGGACTTACCTTTAACACTTCAAAGTGTAAAGTAGTCCATCTGCGACATGTCGCAAACTACAGTTACAACTTAGGAAACTCCTCTCTAGTAGTATCCCAAGTCGAAAAAGATTTAGGAGTCCTGATGCCCCATGATTTGAAGTTCTACGCTAACTGTGACAAAAATGCCTTCCGAGCAAACCTTGCACTGGTAACGTTAAAGCGCATTTTTGGACAGTTTGATGGACGAACTTTCCATACAATCTTCAATAGTTTCACCCGTCCCCATTTATAGTACGGAAACATAATACTCCCTCTCTCACTCCAAAATGACAAGGTCACTTTGGAGAGTATCCAACGGCGAGCCACGAAATTAGTTCGAGGACTCAAATTTAAACCTTACGAAGAGCGCCTCCATTCACTAGACCTTTACCCATTGGAGTATAGGCGTCTTAGAGGTGATTTATTAATGGCTTATAGTATTATTAACACTTCTGGGCATCCTCTTAAACACCTACTTAAGCTTAGTTCGAACAATAACCTAAGAGGTAGCACCCAGAAACTGGAGACACAACATAGCAAAACGGAATGTAGACATAACTTCTACTCCTTAAGAGTTGTCAAAAGCTGGAATTCGCTGCCTGCCGAGCTAGTCGAAGCGACTTCCCAGTAGTCCTTCAAGAGGCAACTTGACCTATTCTTAAGGATTAAGGACAGCATCACACTATGATTTACCAATTTCTTTTCCTCTTTTATTGTTAACATACCTAGGTTCCTGCCTGGAGGATTTGGTGATCCCCTGCTACTAGACACGGAAGCCTGTTAAGCGAAAGCTTCTTCTATCCCGTCCACAACTATTTGAGCCATTTGAATTTGAACCATTATAACAACCTCAGTCCGTGAGAGTCGACTGAACGATAAAATCAGGAAAGAGGAACGCAAATCTTCTTTTTTTCGATTCCTTGTAGTCTAATTTATTTTATATCGCTTTACGCAATACTAACTCCTAGTTCCCGAAGCAACTTAATTCCACATTTTGTTTGGCGCTGATAAGTGGTAGCGCGCACAATGAAACTAGTTGCATATGAATGTACTTCGCTCAGCTGTTTTCCACTTGGTCTTTCACGGTTAGTAGTTTTTGTAGTGAAACAGAATATTTTAGAATTCAGATTGAATGAAGAAAGAATTCTCATTTTACTCAACTAGAGCTTCTGAAAATGTGTTTTTTATACTAACTGAGTGTTAATTAATATACATTGTTTCTGAAGATATTTGTACATACTGGCTCATATAATGGGTAAAAGTTATTGAAAACTATTTCAAGATATAGATTTCAAAAATCCATGGGAAGATTTTATTTTCGACCAGACAGTCGATAATATTAGTCAGTTTGTGTAATAATTATATGCTTGATTTGTAGATGAATCCTCTGACTGTTTTAACAATATAAAGCTTAGCAGTAAGTTTATTTTGCAGAGAAAACACTCCTATACAGACTTTCCTTTTCTCAAAAGTCAGTTTTCCTCTATTGACTATCTCATAAAGTGTGAATTATGCAATGTTATGCTTCTTCCAGAGAGCATTTCTTTGCATTATGGTTTGTTCATTTTATTTAAATTGTATGATAATTTTTATTACTAGACGATCGGCACTCAGAACCCCCAAAGTCTGTCGGTTCTGCTGTCTTGCCATACGAAGCTGTTTCTTGGTGTGAATGTCAGGCTGAAATTGATTCCAAAAAGGATCGGACTTCCAAACGTACTAAGGTCGCGCCTCTCAAGCGTTCTAAACGCAACACACCTAACCCCTCAGATGCCTTGCCTTATTCAGTTAAAATGGACATATCGAAAACAGTTATTACAAGTCGAGAAGTAGAAAAGACCAGTCATGAGGAACTTAGAGAACCAGTTTTGTTGAAATTAGCAAAATCAGATGGAAGAATATCTCAAAGTGAGGAAGTGTCCAAAAAGCCTTTAAGGACACCTGCAGAAAGTAAACTCAATGAGCGATCTGTGTGGTCGGTTGTTTGTCCAAGAGAGCATTCTGCTGGTAATTTTTATGAACTCACCTCCAAAGGTCAGGTTGAGGAAAGTCGACACCTGGGGAAAGATATGTTTGAGTGCCGATCAAGTTTTAATCATTCTAATGATTCTGGCATCGGATCTCAAGCACATTCAGTTTTTCGCTGTTCATCATATCCCCCGACACCTTCATTGTCTCCACATCTTCCAAGTTCTAGTCCATCAAATGTTTCTGATGACACGACATTTGGTTTCAACCAGTTCCGGCCTGAAGTTGCAAACCGACCTGTTTCATGCTCATCCCACTCTAGTTCTAGCAGTGGAATCGGTATTTCTGATCAGCACAATACTGATTCTAGCATTAATATTCCAACAACAATTTTCAATGTAAATAGTACAAAAGCAGTCACTTCACTTCCTTTATCAGACATAAAGTCAACTGCCAAGTGCAAAGTTAAGTGCAAGCTCTCGACGGTTTGCCTTCGGAACAACGTCCCTCTATCTTCCACTTCCTCTCAACCGATGATCTCGGGTGAGGCATTGACTAAAGTGCATTCCAGTAGGGAAGTAGAGTCAACTGTATATCATCTTAAAAACAATCGTCAAGAATTCGATGGTAAATTAATTAGTAGTGAGTTGAGGCGGAATGGTTTCCATAGCTGGATTACTGGTGAACGACCGACGTCATCAGATGCCACACACAAAGCCGATAATGTTAGACGTTTATTGGCATTTCAGCGGCTATCAACCCCAAGAAATCAAACAATTCTATTGCAACAAGCCCCTAGACAGATAAAGAGTGTGCATTTAGCACCTTCGTTCATCTCACAATATTATCAAACAGAAAACTTGGAAGGGAATGAAGCTTCTACTTCGAGTGACACTAATCGATTTGTCCAACCAAATATTTTAATACAACCAGAAAAGTCCTCAAAACTAGACGTGGTGAATGATAGTTCATCTCGGATTAACTGGCCTCCAGAATCTATAATTTCTGGTCCCTCTAGCAATATGGCTAGGAGTACTGGCGAATTGCAAGAATTCTTGGAAGAGCTAGGTAGATTTAACTTTGCTTTGTTTACTATAGTGTTCAGCAAATTTTTGTCTATTTACACTACACAAAATCAGTTCAATGGGTACTTCTAGATAAAATATTGTAAATGGACTTTTCATATAATTACCATATATCTATGATTTCTCGAAATTTTTTTCGATCTATCTCTGCACATTTGCTAGAAATACTGACAAATAATTCACTTTCAGCTTTGACTATTGAAACAGTGGATGGAAGATCATAGTGAGCAATTCATTTAGGCTATGGCTGATGTCAAGTTACTCACTACTTACCAACTACTTTAATGAAATTAGCATCGACCTCTCAATGGGTCATTATGAGTCGATTCTAGAGGTTGTTATGTATAATGGTTCGGTCATTACAGTGGGACCAAAATATCACTTTGAGAGGTGGATGTATTACCACGCAATTCGTCACAATCGCTGATCACATTTTATGATAACCATTAGCTGTGCTTTTATGGTTATCATGTCCGATCAACAGTTCTGTAATTTTCCGGCTCTCAACTTATGGAGCAACGTGGGGATAAGCAGGGAATACTAGGGCCTACTCACGAATGTAGGAACTGATATCTTATCGAAGTAAAGTATGCCTTAATTGGCGATGTGTTGGATACATTTTTTTTCTAAGTATAGAATGTTTATTCCAGAATGGTCTAAGTTTAAACGTGGAAAGGAAATGGGATTCTATCGTGATATGACTCGAAATAGATCTCATTAGTGCAGTTTCATTTTCTTATTTACCACCGAATCTTATAAATTCTTATGTTAATCTCCATTAAAATTGGTACTTATATGTACGCACATTTTTCCATCGTCACCCTTGCTAACTGATACTTCTACTATACTAAGGGAGTTGTGGACACTTGGGCTGATCCTCATTTATATCAGATCTTCGTGTTTTTGGTCGACTGATATTTAGTCCCTATGTTGTTGTGCAATCAGGAATCAGTAGCACAACTAAAAAAACCGTGTAAACTGCCGGATCTACTCTAATAGATTACTATAGTATTCATGACCGCCATCCTCTCTCTCGATATATATATATATATATATATATATACTATTGACAGTGTCAAATCATTTTATTACAGTCAAAAAAAGAAATAGTAACTAAAACGATTACTGGAAAATTAGACTTGTCAATCCTAAACAAATATTTCTGTCTCTTTTGTTCGTAACATATGTTTTTAGTGTTGATTATAGTAGTGGGATAGAAGCCTAAGAATCCAATATATGTCAAATAAAATTTCTAAAGTACACTCTTTACAGTTTTGGCTATGGACCATTTGAAATATGATTAACTGGTTAGATTAAAATATGATGAACTACAAAATCGTTACTTGTTGATTTCAGCATTTTGTATTACCGAAATTATGAAAGAGATGTTTAATAATGGCTGCACAACATTTTTCATCCGATTCTGCTCTTGCAAGTTAGAAGCCATCATTTTATTTTAATGCGCTTATTCTTCACTGAATAACTTATATAATGACAATAATAACAAAAAACTTGTCAGCATAACTTCCGTGCTATTGAGATGATTGGTATAAATGCACTTAATTTTTGTGAAACTATTTTAGGTGGGTTATTATAAAAGAACCGGGTTATATGAGTTGATATTGTGTTTATCGATCTGAACAAAAGTTTTTGGTTGATGTTAATTTACTACAGGATCCAATTTATTTTTGCCTTTTTTTCAGAGGATACATTTGATCCTCTTACTCAGTGTGGCTGCTTGGAAATGGATGATATCAGGTGTAGAAATTCTATTTTATGTACGGTAAGTTTTTATTTCATCTATCGATTTGAGTTGATTCTACTTATCTTCTGTTTTGCTTATTTGCCGATTGAGATTTTCAACACTATGCATCTTTTACTAAGTTTACTAGATTGTCAATATTAATACCATAATGAACTAATAATCGTTTTCCAACCACTTATCCGATCTTTTCCTCCAGGAGGACGTTTCTTGCTTATTTGACTATGGTTTGCGATATAATATTTAAAATAGATAGGTACTAAATCTTTGTTCCTCTATATGACTTAGGAAAATATGAATTTATCTCGTCATACAGTGTGTAGTTATTCTACAATGTACTAAATAGGTTTTAAGGGTTATTTATTTTATTTATTTATTTCAACACATAGATATTGGTACAAAGAGGCATCAAATACATATGCGCCACACAAATCTCATTCGATATGTGTGAGGGCTGTGATACTGACCGGGTGCCCAAACCGAAGCAGGTGGTTTTCTTAGGGGGCCACTCCCCGAGCCTTCGATCTGAAGGTCTGATCCACAAGGCAGTGGAGCATCGTATGGAAATGCAGTCCCATGGAAGCCGGTGACCATTTATGGGTTGTTATCTCAGCGTGTTCCTCTAAAAAAAATCCTTTGATATCTTGTTTCAGTAATCTTTAATATACCTTCGACTTCCTCGTTATTTCTGTGTCAATCCATTCCTGTTCGAGTTGAGATAGTTTGTTGGGTTTATGCATTAAATTTTTCTATGTGTAATTAGTTGAAGTTTGAATGATACATCTCATTTGTTGTGAGTGATTTTCCATTGAATTCAGTTTTTTGGTTTCTCTCCGGTTTTTATGATCTTTTGTCTCAATGAACTTCTTTAAAGCTCTTTCGTCCAGATCGGTTTCATGAAAATATCTTTCAATAACTAGGTTTTTAACACCAAAATGACTGCACAGCTTTTATGTGTTAGATTTTCATGAAATATGCTATTTTAGTTCTTTTTGAATTAAACAATAAGTGTACAACTTATTGCCTACTGCTAAATAATGTTCTAAGATTTGTTCTTGTAGAATATATTTTTTTGATTGGTGGATATATGATACTCAAATTAATGTTTTTCTGTAGTATTTAATCATTGATTATAATGCTGGTTTGTTCAACAACATATGTTCAATTACGGTAAAGAATTCTCAGCATAAAACATGCAACTTCACAATAAAACTCCCTCATTTAACTTTTAAATACTCAAAAGTATGTATAAAAAGTCATTAAACGATCATTAGTGGCCATCCATATCTATAAATGTTTACGATCAGTTTCGCTTTCATGAATCCTCATTTTTGAGTATACTTAATACATAAATTTTAAAATGATCGCTTCTAGTTTCTCCAAGAGCCAGGATAAGTAGAAGGAAAGTATAGGAATTACCGTGTTTGTGCTTCTTGAGTTTTTTTTGCAATTAAATTCTTGGTAAGTTGTAAGAGTTTTATGAGACGTAATTATATGTGATTAGCAGAAATAATAAACTAGAACGAATCTAAACCAAAATAGTTTGTGGGAGTCAATGTACCATTGGAAAAATGGTCCCTCAGATGTTCGACCAGGTCACTTTATTTTGATAATCTTACTAAGTGTAGTGGTTTTGTGGAACGAGTTTTATGCTAAAATTTGTAGATATGTATGATTAACACTTCAACCGAATCACAAGACCGAATTCGCGTGGATCTGTGAAGCTGATGGAATGCCAATCAATAATATGTATTGATCATATCTTCACCCTCCTTCAAATGTTAGAAAACCGTCATACTTATTGCAGGCCAACGATCATGGTGTTCTTGATATCTGAGTCTCCTTCAATTCGTTGGACAGTGCTTTTCTCTTGGGTTACCTATTGTAAAAAGGTGTGTTTGAGAACGTTATCAACATCTCGAAAGCCCTATATAAAGACATCTCAGGCAAAGTGAGGCATACAACAACCCCTCCCCATTGTTTCATTCAAGCATTGGGGTTAGTAAGGGTTGCTCAATCTCACAGTTTGGATCTATAAAGCGTTGGTGAGAGCAGTTTGATCTGTGCTCGTGAAACCTGAACTCTCTTAGTCGAGGATGTTAAGTGACTCTCTGTGTTTGATCGTCGTTGCTTCCGAAGGATTGGTGATATTCAGTAGCAATACCAGGTCAGTAATGCTGAGGTTCGGCATCGTGTGTTCGGGCGCATCGATAATAATTCAGTTGCTGTCATCATCTTCAAACACCAACTTCAGTGGCTTGGACGTGTCCTACGAATGTCGGCTCCGTGAATCCCACGTCGTGTATTATATGCCGACGCTAGGAATGGTTGAAGAAAGCGTAAAAATAATCAGTTTATGACATAGTGTCGTGGCATGAAAGAAAGCTATGCAGGTCTGGTTTATTTGGTCATTCACAACTCTACGATTGGGGTCCTAGAGATAGTGCAACACAGTGGCTTGAGACATCAGACATCGATCAGAGTGGATACAAGTAGTGATCCTGCGGTTAATTTTTTTTTGCTTTTTTCATAACAGAAAGAGTAACTTCTATAACTGAAAGACTTTTTCTGGTTATACTTTTGCTAACTGAACTTTTAAAATTGATTGATTACTGGGTGGTGATCAATGTCATGTATGTCAAATCCTTCTTAGTGCAGAGCGAATCCTGTCGACCAAGTTGCAATGTTTTCACTAGTATAGGTGACTCGACATTGCGTGCACTATGCTAAGATGGTGGTTGATCAATCAACTGTAAATGCATCCCAGTCCTACAGGAGGTTAGTCGCGGCCCGGATAGCTCAGTCATAACGTCTCTGACTGAAGCTGGGTGACACGAGATCGAATCTGTCAGGGAACATCAGTTCCCTCAAGATTACAAGTACGCCTTGCCGTTGAGTGCTAAATAGCACGAAATCTAGGTCTCGGGTCTCCTGTCGACTGCCTCAAACCACCAGCTAACTGAACTGTTTCCCCTATTATTATTATTATTATTATTATTATTATTATTATTATTATTATTATTTCACTCACACTAATTTATATTCGATTGTGTTCTTTTTCATTATACTCACTTCCCTTCCTTTGTCTCTTGACAACATTATTGTGTGGTGCATACATATTTTGGTGTCCCGTTGTACCAATGTTCATGTGTTCAAATAAATAATAATAGATTAATTGGAAAAGATGTTTCATTATGTCAAGTATGACGAATACTATTACAAAATTACTCCTTTGTTATTTAGATTAAAATTGCCAGATTACAAATGTTTTTAATTTACTGATATGAATAAAAGATTGATAAGCGCAATATTTTTAATTATAGTGAAGGTTATGCTAATGTTCGGATTAAAAAAATGTAGTTGAATGTTGATGAATTTTGAAGTAGTTCTAGCAATTTCTGTTATTCACAATTTTTATTAATCTTAAATAGAAAATTCCTATCGATTTCTGCCTTCGGCTATACATTTATCATATTAAGAACGATTAGTTTTTTTAAAAATAGATTTTATTTTGCAGTAACAGATAATTCCCGCCGGAGGAGATGACTAGTACAACAGTAATATGCTCTAGAGTATTATCCATAAATGAATGAATTAATTAATGATCTGTAAATACAAGATAATATTACAATGAATGCAACCACACACCCGTAATCCAAAAGCACTTTAATCTGTATCATTTCAGAATGCCCGTTATTTATCAGTTGCCTTTAGAATAAACATTTTGTACGTCCAGTGTTACTGTAGTATACTATTAGAAGAATTTATAACTTCCAAATCGTAATTGCTCCGACCTAGTAAATATACTTACCGTAGTACTTTTTGTTTAATTATGCGTTGTCTACAAATCTAATGAAACTTAGTTTTGTAATCTCAAATTTTTCTCAATTATTAAAGGAAAATAAACACTTTTGTTGTAATAAAGTAAAAAAGTTTGTACGTAATTTTTAAAAAATGCCAAAATTCAATCTTTTCATCTAACAACTATTCATATTAATTGTGCTTACGTTTACTAGATACAACTGAAAAACTTTGTTGTACAATTTGTATTCACTAAGTCGTTATGTGCTTTTTTCTATTGATCTTTTCTCACATTCCATTCTAGCGTATTACTGGAATGTTCCTAGAAAACGTAAATTGACTGTTTATTTCATGTATGGTGGCTCAATAGCTAGGTAATTCAACTTTCAGACATTAGGTTATAGGTTTCAACCATGATCCACCTACTTCATTTTGGGAAACCAAATAGTATTTCGTTTGAACCATGAATCGATCTAAGTTAGACTACTATTGAAAACCTGGGAGCACTGGACAACCGTTTTGTCCTGGTATGGGACTGCGAGGTTGTGGAGGTGAACCATCGATGAGTTCACGATTTCAGTGAAATTCAACAATCTCCGCAATCCTATTGTGACAACCAAATTATACCACTAACCCTCACATTTAAAGTGTGGCTCAAAACCAAGTATCTATATAATCACTAGCCGTCATACAAATTAACTTAGACCTGAATAAATAAAGTGTATATTTGATGATTTAATTAAAACAAAGTCCATATATCATAAATATATTTAATTTACTGAATATTATCAAACTATTTTTTTTTCAAGAAGTGGCCGGGGCTTCATGATTAATATGCTTGTTCACTAGCTAATAGATTTCAGGCCTTAACTCCTTAATCAACTATAATTTGGTCAATCATAAATACCTGTATTTTTTAACTTTTAGTTTACAATAAATTACTGACTTTTGTCATAATCAAAATTCCAAGTTTGTCTTCTAATTCTAAAGTTAACATTCTACCTATTAACATAGCATATCGTTTTGTTTTCCATCATGCTTATCTTTCAACTTAGTTTCGACTGCTTTATCATTGGAATAGAAAGACTTTTACGTGTAATGCTTATTTTTATGAGTTTACTTCTGTCAGCTGTAAACTTTGTGGCATTTCACTTGTGCAACGTTCAGATAGGAATCTATTTTACATACAAAATCGATTTGTAAATTTTTACCGTAGCATATTGTTAAATGGAAGTAACTAATAGCTACCAGTTAGTAAAACAAATTGGATATTACCTATCGGTTATCACATAATTCATATAAATATTTTTCTCCAGGTACATACAATTGAGGAGAAACGTAGGGTCCCCCGCCAACATGATTTACGTTATCTTATGCGAGAAGCAAGGAAAAAACAACAAATCTTAAGGTTAGTTGAAAATTTTTCTAACATAATATCAGTCAATATTCATCGATTATGGAGACGCATTTTCTCCTTAGTCCTAAAACTCCATATTGTGAATTAGAACAACATACATAAGTGAACAATATTGTTTTCGATTAGATCCTCACCAGGCTTTAATATACAGTAATATTTATATGCATCTACGAAATTATTAAACCAATCAAGGTAGTCAATGCTTCAGTGATAACAGTGGAATAGATTACATAAATAAATGTAATAATAAAAGTACGAATTGATAGTGTGATGACAGATGTACTAGTTGTGATAAGAATAACAAAGGCTTAAATCAATGTTTCATAATGTGAAATAGGTCGATGACTTGAAAATCTAGATGCTGAAATAGCATTCATAAAAACCATATGATTACGTAATAAGAAGTGTTCATATGGTTTGACAATGAAACGTATATTTGGAAGAAAAAGTGTAAAGAAAATTAAACAAAGAATATGGTAAATAATAATAAAATTTTCTATTAAGACTGTTTCGGTCAAGGTTGTGATAAAGGTGCTACAAATTTCTTATGAACACAAAGACTTGGATTGTTAGCCTGAATTCTCATAGCTCCTGCTATGTGTAAGAGACGAGATTGAACCCCATAAAGAATACTAGTACGAATACCATATATCGCTTTAAACGACCTATTTCTATCTGCTGCATGACCGCTATCGATCAAATGTAATAGAACAGAGCTATATATTGCTTTGACGATACTCTTTACCTATCACGAAAGGATATTTATCTATTTGAACAGATAAATATTGATACAAAGGGGCACTGAATACATTTGCGCCACACAAGTCACTTGATTTGTTTGTGGGCTATGATAATATATTGCCCGGTTTCACAAACCGAAGCAGATTGTCTTCTTAGAAGGTCATACTCGGAGCCTTCGATCTAATGGTCTGATTCACAAGACAGTGGAGAAACATTAGAAGATGCAGTCCCATGATAGCCGGTGACCAACAATAGGTTTGTTCCCTCAAGATCCTGGAGCTCATGTGGTTTGGAACCTGGGTTTTCCAACTCCCACACGTGGACTCTCCGTGTACACCGACCTGGTTAAATCGCCGGACATTCGCTTTTCGTCCTCTCAATTCCGTAAACAAAAGTAATGCCGCGAGCAGATAGTGAGTAGAACTTCCCTGGCAGTGGCTGTATACATGTAGCCATGTGAGAGCATTTCGTGAGGGAGAGCCGACTCTCCCTACCCTCGGCCGTGCCAGGGTATTTGAGGGAAAACCACCAAAGGATGTGTTCACTAACTTGGCTTAGTTGTCTGGTTGTGCGGCCAATATAGCTTTCTCCACAGGAGCAGCTGAATTCATAGATACAGATAGATGTAACAGAACCAGGTAACTTATCCTTTAGTTGAGGAATCACCATAGATCGGGTTGAGAACAATAGACAGAGATTAGGTGCACTAAGATTTCTCTCCATTAATCGAGTCTGTTTATCCCGTAGCACAACGCCAGCTATATCTCTGTTGAATTGCTGCGCCAGAAAGTGAGGTTTCTTACTAGCTGTTAGTGTCGCTATTTTCATGTACATTAAATTAATGTCTTCAGAAACTTTGTGGACAACCCATTTCAACCAGCATATGAATAAGCTCTAGTTCTTTGTTCATCGTGTCGTCTGGGTACATCTTCTTAGCTCTATTTGCAAGACGTTCAACTAGGTTTCTCTTGTAATGAATAGATACAAAGCTCAAGAAATGTGTATAATGGCTGTCTGAAGAACTTTACCCATACATACGTCTACTGATAGGACCACTTTGTTTTCTGCCTAACAAAACGTCGTTGGTGGATATGGAGGGTCCATCTGGAGGAGATGAAAAACCCTGATTCCAAACCAATGGTACACATGGGTTCCGGAATCGTGAGGGAACAAATGGCGTATGGACCAATTGTTGGTCACCGGCTTCTATGGGACTGCATCACCATACGATGCTCCACTGCCTTGTGGATCAGACCTCTAGGTCGAAGGCCCCGGCTGTGACCTAAGAAAACCACCTGTTTCGGTTTGGGCATTTGAACAGTACTCCAGCCCTCACACAAACCGAATGATTTATGTGGCGCATACATACATTTGTATCGATCTTTATGTGTTTAAATTAATCTTTAAATGAATAAATAACAAAACGTCGAGGAAATGTAGTTTGTTATCAAGTTTCTCTTCACATGTAAATCTGATAACTGAGTCTTTGTTGTCAATTAGCTCTAAGAGTTATTCTTTTCCAATGTTGTGATCGACAATAATGGAAGTACCATCAATATAATGGCAATAAAGTCAAACTTATCCGTAACCCTTTTGAGAGGTCCGTTTTCTAGTTTCGAGGGAAAAAAATCAACATGGATAGGACCTAGAGGTGAATCCATTGCTATTCCATCAATTTGTTTATAATATGTTACTAAAGACTAAATGAACGTTGACACATTGATTTAAGCCTTTGTTATTCTTATCACAACTAGTACATCTGTCATCACACTATCAATTCGTACTTTTATTATTACATTTATTTATGTAATCTATTCCACTGTTATCACTGAAGCATTGACTACCTTGATTGGTTTAATAATTTCGTAGATGCATATAAATATTACTGTATATTAAAGCCTGGTGAGGATCTAATCGAAAACAATATTGTTCACTTATGTAGTTTGTTGTATCCTTATCGAGTTTACAGTGTTAAATATTATATATGAGATAATCTCTTTCGATGCCATCCATTGACTATTAAGGTAATGTAAATCATTGCCCAAAAATATTTCTTTTCACTTTTATTAAATCTAGAAATTAGTCATTTATCTAACTGTATCGCTGCGTCTGAGAATAAACATTTTCTGTACAGTAGATGTTTATACAAAACTAGAAGTCCGATGAAAAATTTACTCTGTCCATCTTCCCATACTGTACTAAATATAATATATCAATTTCTGTCAATTGTTTATAATTTATAGTAAGAGAGAAACCAATATATTTTTGAGCATAAAATAATTACAGTAAATGAGTAATCAGTAATTATTGTCTATCGTGTTTTGGTTTAAAGCGTACTTTTGTTGTCAACTATTGTCGAGGTGGAATTTTTTGATGATTTGTCTAAATAATGACTTTCTCATTGTAAGTTCATTGTCGTTGGTTTGTACACAATAGTTAGTTACAGTCAATTTTTGATCTGTTGTGTTTATTGAAAACTTTTGTTCAGACTTTTACTAATTGAATTTTTCTTAGAAAACACCTGATATTTATTTGATTTTTTTACTTTTCCAGACATGTACCAAACACTCCCTGTCAACAATTTCCATGGACTGTACAAACCTCTGGTTCGCCTAATGCAGTCATTGACCTCACTGATGATGTTAGTAGTAATGAAAGTTTCTGTGAAACTCCAGGAGTGTTATCTTATCAAACACCTCGAGTTCCAAATCATTCACAGCTATTGCGTCATAATACAACGCTTTCTGCATATGATACACAAGGTCGGTGTCAAATATATCCCAACTCACTTAACTCAAATGGTCCTATAGATTTGAGATATGTATCAAACAAACTGACGGCTAGATTACATCAACGAAATAAAACAGTTGTCATCGCCCAGCCATGTGCTATTGATATCAGACCACAAACAGAATCTTTTTTGTCTTACTCACCTCAAATCGCATCTATCAACTCCACTCTTGATATGCATCACTTTCAATTTAATCCAATGGGATCAGGAACAACACAAACGGGAGAATATTTTAGTGAATCCAACACACCCAATATAGTTATGTATCCTAATCGTAAACAAACATCTGGTTATTCATCAACCTCTTATTCGAATGCCAGATTGATAAATGAACCTCCGTATGCTGCTCAAAGTCATTGTCTGTCTACCTGTCAACCTGCACAACCTTGGGCTAATCGACTGAGCCGTTATCCCATTGAAGGTTCTGCCGATACAACCATCAATTTGGATAATCTTATCACTAGTGAAGATTTATGCTCAGAAGAACATTTTGATGATCCTTCCCATGAAATAAATTTACCTCGAAAAGTACATGTTCCGTTTGTTGAAGAAACACCCCCTAATTTTGGTTCTATTACTACTTCTACAACAACAACTACTACTCTGTTCCCACACTTGTCATTAAACACTCGCAAATTACAAGAAAGTCAGGTAATTTAAGTTTGTTGGTTTTCGTATTTAAGGTATTCAAGTTGAACTTTTGACTAAATCATATTACCAGCTATTTTTAAAAATGTATTTACAATTAAAATTTCATTAGTTCAATTTAGAATAAAAGGTTGTTAAATTAAAAAGAAGTTTAATCCTTTTTTAATGTAAAAGATATGACAAATCTATTTATATGTCGTCTGGATTTCCACTTAATTACAGCAGTGAATACTATTTAAATAATTAACTCTAGAATTTAATCAAACAATTATCCTGATAAGTTTTTAAATTGAACCGATCAATGTCAGCCCACCATTGAAAACTTGAAAGCACTGAACGACCGTTTTGTCTTAGTGTGCGTCGAAGATCCTGCACGTCGGACTCGAACCCAGGACCTTCGGTTTGGCGCGCTAACTCTTAACATCTAGACCAGTTAGCTGGCATCTAACCGTGTTCATGTCTTACTTCAACCCATCCACGATATTGTACGACCATCTTTCATTGTCTTCGGTGGGTAACTGCCTCAGACCTGACACGGTTGATCAACACTGACCATCTATTATTTATACTCGTAACATAAAATACAATTATGCTATGATAGTGAGCTACTGAAATTATAATTCACTTCATAAATTATATTTTAGAAAATAATTATACGTAGCAAAAAACTTGGTATTTTTTATAACAGTTAATTTTTCAAAAGATAACATAGTGATATTCCTGTATACATTTAACTATTTTACGGATATATTTATAAAACTATTGTTAGTAGATCATATATAACTCAGAATAAAGTTGTTATTCATCAATATATCTATTTAATAGAGTATTCAGTAGTGTTGGCTCATAATTATAGTATTTATTTTGGTAGCCGTTAGGATGAAGTTTCAGATCCATTTCCAACTACGGTTTAAACAGTCAAGTCTAGATTTCATACTAGGAGTGTGACCTAGAGCTAAGTACATAAACTTGTACCTTTTTTATTTGTTTTTTTATGTTTATTTAAGTCTCTTATCAAATGTATGTTTAGTGTATTCGACTGAGCTACCCAAGTTGTATCCGAGTTAATAAAACTATTGGGTCACCCAAACTGACATAAGTAGAGTGAGGTCCAAACTTGCAACTTCTTGGTTGGATGCTAAGCACTTTTATTACTGAACAACCACCATCCTATTTATATCTAACGTTGGCGTGTTCAGAATTGATTATAGTGAATATATATTGTACATGTTATAAACTTCATTTATTATTATCTTAATACATCTCAGTTTACGTTTTCGCTCTGATCTTTCAAGTGTACATAATTTAATTAGTTTTTCGCATATGAATCTCGTTTTAACTTTTTATAGAAAGTAGATTTGTTTAATTTTAATCTATAAGTGTAGATGTTGTCTTCTATGCACACATGTTTTTCATTATCTCAAGTCGCTACACAACTCTACTAATGATTGCCGACTTAGAAATGATGTTATTTGACTATACTACACCAGGATTTATTTCGATTAGAAATAGACAGTGAAGCTTCCAGATTTATGGTTTAGATCAACCTTAATAGTTTGCTGTTTGAAATATTCTTTGTAAGTCACAATGACTTGATGGATATTTGATAACGTATATCACGTTAAGTGCTTATGGAATCGTTGTGATCCCATTGTTCAATAAACAGGACAATATTGTTTGTTATGCCACTTATTATCTTGTTCAGTCTCTTTTACTGTTGTCATTTGGAAATATGATAATTTGACCTATTGAACTGGTTTAAAATGTTTCCATCGTTTACTCTTTATTTGCCTAACTTGTGCTTGGTGACTAAACAAAGTTTCAGAATATATAATAATATCCCCTCTAATTATCTTACAGGAAATGCTGCACTAATTTAATTACTTTAAATAGTTTGTATCGTTGTATACAAGTGATGCGAAATATCGTTAAACTAAGTTTCTGTTCATTTTTTTCTAACCTGATATTTTATTACTTATTCTATTGTGTCGATTTATGGACAGTCGTCTTCGTTTAAATAATCGCTCAACTTTTTATTGTTGTCTTAATTATTTATTTAATATTTTATAGTAAAAAGTTTTGATTAAAATGATTTTATTTAATTTCATTATTCAATCTTTGAGAATATTGCTCTTTAATTGTTTACGTTAAAACCTATTCCAATTTTATTCGTTTCAGAGTCGAGTTGTTGTCAATGATATGCGTGAAAAATCCATTACTGGAAGAAGTAGGAAAACAGCTCGAACATCATTTCGATCTTCAGGTTCTACTAATGTTCAAGGTTTGTTTTTATGCTGAACTTTTTACCCTTCATAGAAATGATTTAGCTCTAGATTGTTTTGTTTTTTAAATAACCGTTTTGTTTCACATTTTGTTAAGTAGAATATTCAAACATGTAGTTAATTTATTTTGTTAGTTTTTGCTGATAATGGGTAAAAATTAGGTCCATTATGCCTTTTTCTTTCTCCCAGGGATTTCTCAGGTGAATCTGTATTCTCAGGCTTTCATGGTTAAATACTGTATCGCATTATATATATATATATATATATATATATATATATATATATATATATATATATATATATATATATATATTGTAGAATATGGTTGGCAACTCTTTGTACAGCCGTCATCAAGTTTACATATTCCCCAATGGTTTTCGTTTCATATATCTCTTCCTACTGTATCGACTAGATGTGAACATCATTTCTTATGTTATTGACATTGATAGGTTTTTGATATTTCCTTTGAATAATATAAATTGACAAATTATACTTATTAACCTTTGATCATTGTAGTTAGTGAAATCTCATAAACTAAGTAAAGTAATTCAATTAATTAGGTGTATGAGTTAACCCTTCAATTAGATGTTGGATGATTTAGCTAAAAACGATGGCTTGAAAGCACTGTTTCATCGATTGCTTGTTTTGTGTTAAATTTTCAGCTTAATATCATCTATAATTCTTCATTTAATATTTCTGTTACAATCAATATCAGTGTATCCTGTTGATTTCCTCTCTACCTGTGTTGGTGTTTGAATTGTTACAATTTAAACTGCCACATATTCAAACCATATTTTATGTTATTCATAATGGCTAATTGCTTGTTGTTTGGATACCATTTTGCAGAGAATAAATTTTTAAGATACCACTAGAAATGTTTGTCATTTGTTAACACTTTTCATTTCAGCATATTTTCTCATGATATAAAAGATTCAAAACGGATAAATATGAATTGACGTCATAAAATCGTTGAATAATTGTAACAATCATATCTAGAATTTTCTGTTGTTTATTTTCAGATAATGTAATTAGAATTTCACCGTTTTTTTTTATTATAAATTATTTTCATTATTATTATTATTATTTTCAGTTAATCTGTATAAGTCGTATAGCACAATGATTATTACAAAAAATGCCGAAATTACTAACCATCATTATCATCTTATATGGATATTAATAGTAGTATGCATTTTACTGTACTATATTTATATGTCCGATGATTACCTCATAAGAGTTCATTTATTAGTTTCCTTTAATGTTACCTAGATCATTTAATTTCAAACTATGATTTTGATTTCAAATTAGTTAGTTACTATTATTTAAAGGTTCATTTAAATAGTTTAGGTTTCTCAAACAGTACTCTACAGTCATTTTTTTTCTTATTATCTTACTGGAATACAAATCTTATATTCTTAGTCGATTTAATCACTTCCTGATTGTTAATTTACCTAAATTTTAAACATTAGACTTTCACCCACTATGTTGTATGTTCTAATTCCATTCTGGTTATATTAACTTGTGGCACACAAAATGTAAGTTATATCCGAGTTCATATATCTGTAATTGGTTATTGAGTTGCATAACAGTCTAATTTACTTAGAAATTCCTCTTTATATTACAAATAGTCCCTCCATAGATAAATTTTATTAATGCTAATTCCTTCAAGATATTGGTAAGTATGTAAGAGGAAAGCTCATAAAACCTGTACAAATTGTTCTTTAGTATATATTGTCGTAAATATTCGTTATAGAATAATAAAGAACTCAACAAATCTCATAAAAGACAATCAGAATATGCGAGAAATGGAAATAAGATGAAACCATACATGAGATGATAAAGTGTTTTAACGATGACTAGTTCAATTATTTTATTAGCTCAGATTGATTACCAAAATGAAGAAGCAATCAGTGTATGTTTTCCCTTGGATTTTGAATCTCGAAATCTTATACCTATTTTCTCTGTATTTGATCTTTTCTTCTGATACTACTATTATTTCTACTACTATGAGTTTTGGCTTGATAATTTCATCGTTTCATTCTGCTAACTTATTATGACAATCTGAACTAAATCATATATTTATCAGGTGAATAACTGATTGTCTAATATATATAACTTTTTACTCATGTCATAGTGTTTCATCATACAGATCACATTAACCCCTTTATATTAATTATTATTCAGTAAGTTACTATTACTTATTATGTTCATTATATTAGACTTTTCATTTGATGAGTTTTATGTGACCTATAATTGTTCTTAGCTTTGTAGTAATTTAATCATAACTACTTAATAAGCAATTATAGTGTAACAATAATTGTTCGATTACTTAAGATACTACTTTTTAAAAAAAATTCTAATTTTGACTCGATATCTATTGCTAAATATCAGTATAATTCTAAGTAATTTTGTTTAAATTATAGATTTATGGGGATTATCAAATTGTCAGCAAATATAAACTGTCTCCGATTTATTTATTATTTACTCATTTGAACCCCGATCGTAGCTGCTACCTTGACGCGGTGGTCGGGCTTGCCTATCGTGATGACCCAACCGAGCTATATTGGCTGGAACATATGTTCCTGCAGGTTCTACCATGCCAGGCAGGTCGATTGGCGAACGTTAAGACTAAAAGCAGCAACTCAAGGTCTGAGGGCGAAGTCGTACTGCTGACTGTAGAGAGGTGTGACAGCAGTAAGGTGTTTCCCTCGGACAACCAGCATGACAGCGATGCTGCCTTCCCACAAGGAGGGGTGGGGTTAGAAAAGGTCGACCCTAAAAATGCACACCTCACCTTACCTCACGGATTTCCGTCTCCGGCGGTAAGGCCCCTTGAAGAACGGAGCAAACACGTCAAAAACCTTCCACAAAAAGGCCGTGCGCGACCGGCCTCAAGCAGTTGTCCCTTGGGCTCTGCGGTCACGCTCCCAGGTCGTCAAGACCAACACTAATCCAATTTCCTTTTCAGGTTCATCAAGAAATACCCTTCCACGGTGTGGGCAGCCGGGAAGTGACATCAGCCCTCATACCCGTAACAGCACACGAGACCAAGGTGGTCACATTCAAATCCTTCCTACACCTCCTAATACCTCTCTTATCCTCCCGACTAACCCTCCTCACGTCTCTTTATCACCTCGCACCGCTAGGGCAAACGATTCGAGTACGTGGAACGCTATTCCTGGTCTCCTGAAACCACGCTCTAAACTACATGTAGGAGCTTTTAACGTACGAACACTGTGCCAAATAGGACAGCAGGCTTCCTTAGCTAGGACTTTAGAATCTCGCGCCATCGATGTGTGCTGCGTCTCCGAAACGCGCATACAAGATCCGAGTAGCGTCATTCATTTGACCTCACCATGCCAAAATAAAGAACCGACTCGATTTACGCTTCGTGTATCTGGAAGCCCTGATTCTGCTTCCCGTGGCCTCGCCGGCGTAGGTATAGCATTGAGTCCTAGGGCAGAACTAGCTCTCTTAGAGTGGATCCCAGTAAACAGTCGTTTATGCGCTGTCCGACTGAACGGAACAGTAAGAATCCGGAAAGATAGGGACATTCGTCGTTGCCTCTTCGTCGTCTCTGCCTATTCTCCCACTGACTGCAGCTCAGATGATGTAAAAGATGAGTTTTACAGAAAGCTTTCGGACCTTCTCCGAAAAGCTAAGCGCTCGGATGTAGTAATAATGGCCGGTGACTTTAATGCTCAAGTAGGTAAACTAAGCGATAAGGAAAGACACCTAGGTGGATCCTATGGTGTCGTTGCTCAAAGAACAGATAATGGCGACCGTCTGTTGCAGCTATGCTCAGATAACCGCCTGTTCCTTGCAAATACTAACTTTAAGCATAAGGAAAAACATCTTTTAACATGGCGACCCCCTAATTCGTCCCAACGTTGGACCCAAATAGATCACATCGCTATCAGCCACCGATGGAGGGGCTCAATAGAAGACTGTCGCTCATTCTGGAGCACATGCCTAGATTCAGATCATGCTCTAGTGCGAGCGCGTATTTGCTTGCGTCTTACTGGACGTAGGAAAGACGCTGCAAGGAAACCTCTTAGGGCCCTACTTAATGATAGTCAAGCTAAGAATATATTTCAGGAACAACTAGGAAAACAGTTAGGCAGCCATGTATGTGATGCCCACCCCGAGGCAGCATGGAACGATATCCGAAAAGCTGTGGAAACAGCAGTGATATCTGCTAGTACGATAACCCGTAAGGTTAGGGAGCAACACTGGATCTCAGCAGCATCTATCGCACTGATAGATGCTCGAAAACTCATTCCACCTGGCTCTGAACATAATGAAGAGCGGAGTCAGCTTAAGCGCAAGCTGACAAGAAATCTATGCAATGATCGCGAACAGTGGTGGGTAGCGAAAGCAAGAGAGATGGAAAAGGCAGCGGCAATAGGTAATAGCAGACAATTGTTTAGACTCGTTAAGGAAACCGGAATTAGGAACCCGACCGTTAGCGAAACAATCTCAGAGAAAGATGGACATATTATTCATTCTAAATCCAGGAGATTGGATCAATGGGCAGAACACTTTAGGGATCAGTTCAACTGGCCTTCAGCCACACTTCGGTTTCCCACGATCTCCAGTCAACCTGAATGGCAAGTTAATGTAAGTCCTCCGTCCCTTTACGAAGTTGAATAAGCCATAGGAAATCTGAAACGAGGGAGAGCAGCAGGCCCTGACAGGTTTACTCCTGAGATTTTTAAGGATGGTGGTCCAGTATTAGCAGCAAGATTAACCGAGGTCTTAGGTAGAATTTGGGAACTGGACGTAATCCCATCTGACTGGTCTCAATCACTGATTGTGCCAGTTTTTAAGAAAGGACAAAAGTCCTCTTGTGACAATCACAGAGGAATCAGTTTGACTAATATAGTGTCTAAAATATTAGCCTCAATAATACTTCGACGCCTAACTAAAGCTCGTGAAGAGCAGACTAGAGAAAACCAGGCTGGTTTTCGACCTGGACGTGGTTGTATAGATCAGATATTCACACTACGTCAGGTTCTAGAACAGAGACACACATTCAGACGCCCCACAATGGTAGTATTTCTCGACCTTAAGGCGGCATTCGACTCCGTTGATCGTGAGGTTCTATGGCAGTGTTTGTCACTGAAAGGAGTACCAAAGAAGTACATTAACCTTATAAAGGCTCTCTACTCGAACACAACTGGTAGAGTGAGAGCTTATGGCGAACTGTCATCAGAATTGATCACCTCAAGTGGTGTTCGTCAGGGCTGTCCACTCTCCCCATTCTTGTTCAACTTTGTCATTGACGTACTTTTAGAGATAACACTCTCCTCATCTAAATTTACAGGGGTTGAACTTCTACCAGGAGGTTCACTTGTTGACTTAGAATATGCAGATGACATAGTTTTATTTGGTGAAGACGCTGACAAAATGCAGAGTCTTCTGACCACTCTAAGCAACAATGCAAGCATGTTCGGGATGCGATTCTCTCCCTCGAAATGCAAAATGTTGCTTCAGGATTGGGTTACATCGACAACCGAACTAGTGATAGGGAGTGAAGTAGTTGAGTGTGTCGACCGCTTCACTTATCTTGGAAGTCTCATCAGCCCTTGTGGTTTGGTGTGTGACGAAATCTCAGCACGGATACAGAAGGCTCGACTAGCTTTTGCCAACTTGCGTCATTTATGGCGTAGGCGAGATATCCGTCTATCAACCAAAGGACGTGTTTACTGCGCAGCAGTTCGTTCCGTCCTACTTTATGGCAGTGAAACATGGCCGGTAAGAGTAGATGATATTCGTAGGTTACTAGTATTCGATCATAGGTGTCTTCGAAACATTGCTCGTATATCATGGGACCATCGAGTAAGTAACACAGTTGTTAGGAAGCGGGTACTAGGTAAGGATGGCAAATCAATTGATGAAGTAGTGAAACTTCATCAGTTGAGATGGCTGGGACACGTGTTACGTATGCTCAACGACCGACTGCCTCGACGTGCTATGTTCAGTGGTATAGGAGTAGGTTGGAAGAAAGCTAGGGGCGGCCAAACCAAAACATGGCACAAGTCCATGAAGTCACTGACAAGTGAACTGAGTCATGTTGGTAGGTGTAGACTACCTGGTTGGGGACCGCGAGATGACAGCAACCGATGGTTAGAGACCCTGAATGACATGGCTCAAAATCGTTGGCAATGGCGCAGGTGCATCCACTCTCTGTGTTCTCCCAAACTAATCTTCTGAATTCTTCATGTCCCTTTTTCCCTCTTTCCAAATTTCTTTCACTGGATTATACTCTTTAAATAACATCTCCAAACCCTAATCTTCCCGATTACTGCTTATACTCTTGCTACCTCTACCACTACGGGATTTGAATCGACCACTGCATCTCTGTGCTAATGTGGTGTGGCAACTCGAACTGATGTACGTACGTACGAAGTTCTACGTTGTTACTGACTGACTGACTACTCATTTGAACACATAAATATTGGTACAAGGGGGCACCAGATACATATGCGCCACACAAATCTCGTTTGATTTGTAGAAGGGCTGTAGTACTGCCCGGGTGGTTTTCTTGGAGGGCCACACCCGAGCCTTTGACCTGAAGGTCTGATCCTCAAGGGAGTGGAGCATCGTAAGGAGATGCAGTCCCATGGTAGCCGGTGACCAACAATTGATTCATACTCCATTTGTTCTTTCAGGATAATGAAGCCCATGTGTACCATTGGTTTGGAATCAGGGTTTTCCAACTCCCCTAGATGGATCCTCCGTATCCACCCACCCAGGTAAAGCGCCGGAGTTTTGCTTTTCGTCCTCTCAATTTCGTAAACAACACCCGTGGTACGAGAAGGCAGTGAGTAGGACTTCTCTGGCAGAGGCTATATACGCGTGGCTATGTGAGAGTATTTCGAGAGGGAGAGTGAAAACTCTCCACTCTCGGCATTTGGGGGCCGTCTCGGGTTTATAAAATATTAAATTCATATGTTAATACTAGTAATTATATTAAGAAATACATTTCCTCTTATTCTATGTGTAATCGTTTAAATGTTTAATTCAAAACAGAAGGAAAAATAAGATTTTTTCAAAGCAGTTTTTCTGACAGAGTCAAATAGCAATATCATTTATAGTAAATTTGTTGTTACTCTCGTTTACATTGCAGTTGAAAGAGATATTTTTCAGAATATATTGTATGCGAGTATTTTTAATGGTACTTGAGTCTTACATAAAGGTTAATGTGAATGTAACAATAAATTTTGATAAAATAATCCAATGTTTGTTAAATTGAAATGTATTCATTGAATTTTAATGCAAGATCTATCGACAAACAAATGACATATGGATATAGAATAATAGATGATATAATTTCACTTGGTATTGTTTACTCGAATTTTCCCATCGATGTATACGGATGTAATTAATCAGTCTCTTATTGGTATATGTGCATACTGTGCGTATTGCCTCGATATTGCTGTGATTTACAAGCAAGTAGCTGTCAGGGCTAAATAGCTTATTGGATAATTCGATGACATTTAAAGCGAACGGTACTGGGTTCGAGTCTCAGAGTGGACATCAACTCTGAGATTCAGATACATCTAGCTGACGAGTTCCAAACAGGACGAAACGCGCGTCCTGGATTCCATTGCTAGTCACTATCTATCTTTGCTTAATAGATGATATATTTTTATTTAAAAATTGTTGCGCAAATTTCATACGATTTTGAAGGTACAGTCATTTTAACATTACAAAGTATGTTTCCAACTTATACTATTTAGGGAATTGTTTATTAAGAGGATTTATCTAAACGAAAAATACACATTCAATCGATTGTTTTTAACTTACAAATTAGCCGTTTATCCACATGCGTTAGTAAATGAAGCGTTCTTGGTGGATATTTTAAGCTTTGTGTGACTGAGCGCTCTAGTAACAAACAATTAAATAGGCTCTTCGTTTGTGTTCAGCAATCCCATAGATTTTTACTCAAGCCAGGTAATCAAAATGTATTGACCTTTATGAACCAGTGTTATATATATATATATATATATATATATATTATTGACAATGTTGATTTATATGTGTGATTTTGGACATTTAAAGAGCCTGATAATAACTACGTTTATCGTTAATGTATTCGAGCATGCTAAAAAATCAAAGTTAATAAAAGCTTCGTTAAGTAACTTAACAAATTACATAAACAGATAAAGTTCAAATGAATTGCTTAATCAATTGAGTTACACTTTGTAAATGGGACATTCTCATCAATTTTCATACTCTTTCTGTAATTACCATTTTCATGAAGCTGAAATGATAGCGTAGATAGTTTCTTTTAAATTCAATCAAATCACTATTATTTATTTATTTATTTGAACACAAATAGTGGTACAAACGGGCACCATATATATATATATATATATATATATATATATATATATATATATATATATATATATATATATATATATATATATATGCGCACTATATATAGAAGTGATCAATATTATTGTATTTGTACTCTTCAAATCGAAGTTTTGAACTTTAAGCAAAAGTAAGGTTTATTAATATTTTAAATACAAAATAACTTGAGATAAGTCTAAATACGTAATAATTGTTTGACTGTATCAACAATTATTCATGTTGATTAATATCAGAAGGGGTTTTGTGGATATTATAATAATTTCTTAATAGTTGAGATCATGAATCAATTGAAGTTAAATTACCATGGAAAACCTGGAGGCACTGGACGACCGTTTCGTCCTATTGTGGGCCACCTTAGCAGTACACATGCACGACCCCGCCTCGAGAGATTCGAAACCAGTGCCTTCAGTCTCGCGCGCGAGCGCTTAACCACTACGTCACTGAGCGTTGCAGGTTCAAATTTTCCCCCACCTACTTCAGTTTGAGCGACAATTATAGTAAGATTGGCTTCCACACTTAAAGTGTGGCTTATACCCAAATACCTGGTGAATTATTGGGTTATTAATATTGTGTCAACTTTGATATCTGCTCATGTCATCAATATCATTCGAAAGTGAACAATTTCATTATCTACTCATTGCACAATGTGATTTTATGTGATAATTTTGACAATAATAGGATAATCGTAAGTTTATGTTAGTCTTTTATGAATCTGGGATTCCTATTATGCTATGGTGGTACTGGGTTACTAATGAAGTGTTTATCATAGTATTTGATTAATACATTATTCTCTTTCTGTGTATATTTTGTTTAGGTCCTACTCTCACTAGTTTGTTACATCTACGTTATCAACACCAACAGCCGAATCAACAACAAGGTCAATTTCAGTCGATCTCTGGACTTTTAGGCGGAGGTAAAGTTAATCCTAGTGAACATGTATCATCAAGACCCACGGTTATTAGTAAAACTAAGCCTGTGACTTCTGCAACAGATGTTTTCAATTGTAAAATATCATCGTCATCATCTACGGTTTTTGAATCACAAGAAAAAGCGGATATTTTGAATTCTGTAAATCCCCAACTAGTCTATTCCCCATCTTTGATAACACCAAACATACCATGCACGTATGTTGGATTGTCGTCGAATTACCCTACTTCATCAACTACTTTCAGCTCAAGACTTCCTAATCAGGTGTTAGATTATTGTGTTGATAACTCGTTAGATACATTTTATGTCCCTAATTCTTTACAGACTTGTCCAAATACAGTACCCTCATCCATTTCATCATATTCTTTACATTCCAATTCTAGACTTAATAATTATGTTATACAACGTAATGTACAATTAAACCAACCACAGGCTAGAACTTTGTTTGCAAATTCAATTAGTTCTCAAACGAATGAAACTAGTCCCAATTTAATACTATCTTCTTCCTCATCCTCTTCTCTGTCAACGGCTACTTTATCGAGTAATCGTTATTTTGTCATTCGACCAAGTGCAATCACACAAACACCTAATTTAGTGGTTTGTGCTAAACGCAGGGATACTTATTCCACATCTAATATAAATAGATCTTCTGAAGATGTATGATATTATTATTCCTATTTATTAATTTGCCGTTTTTGTATTTCCTCAAAGTATTTCCCTTCAGTATTCCATGTATTCCTCTTTACTCAAAGTGTTCTTTATATCCACCCTCTCTCTTGTTCTCCCCTCTTGACATTACAAAAGCAAGTCTTTTGTTGGTATGTAGTTAAAATTCATTTTTCCCGTAATTTTGCTTTTTCTTGTGTGTAAGTTATGTTCAGCAAAGATACTACTTTTACTGATATTACTGTCGACACTAATAAAACTATTATTCGTATTAGTAACAACTTTCGGTTAATCATATCATTATCAAATCATGTTTTTTTCTTAGTGAATTAATTTTGTACAAACAGAAAAAACTTTTAGTTGTTTTCTCTCCTGTTCTGTGTTTTCTTTTTCATGCGAACGACCAATCAGTAAATAAGCTGACTAATATAATGCTTTTTACTGGGAAGAGATAAAGAGTTTGCTGACTAAGGTATGTATGAATAATCCATTGTCCAGCGATCTCCACTTTTCTCTTTGTCCTTCATTTTAACTTCTCTCAAATGTCTTTTTGGGATAATATTTCATGTAAAGACCATTTTGTATTCAATCTGAGATCGAAGCCGTGTTCATAAAGATGTCCAGTGTGTTATTTATGTTGTGTTTAAATGTGATGTACAAATAGATGGTATTCTTGTTGTGGTGGATTATTCCAATAACCATGGTTGTCGCACAAATTGTTTAAGAAACTAATTCTCACTGAAAAATATTTGATCACTATACGGGTCATTTTTTGTTAAGGTCAAATCCAATTACAAGTGTTCAGAGAAAGTGACACCGGTAAAGCTGGCATTTCATCAATGTATAGAAAAACATTAATCTCATATACTGTAATGTTTCATACTATTTATTTAAGGCTTCAGACTGTAGTATTCGACTGTAAGGTTCTTGTTTCAGTTTTAATATACACTCAAACTAACGTTGTTTAAAGAATATGGCGTCATGAATGTCATCTGTTTGTATTATTTTTAAAGCTATCTTACAATACCTTCGTCATGTACCAATGTAACATGACTAAAGCAAATGTCCAAAGTGGTCGTTTGCTTACCTCTCTGCTCTCGGTTTGTAATCTATGTGGAGTTTCTATGCCACTCAGAGTTCTTAGTATTTGTTTTTGTTGAGGTCCCACTTTATGATGAATAAAGTAGTTTCTACCGGCATCACTATTATGAAGTCTAATTTAATCGAAATAGTGTTTTGTAACATTACTCTGTAATTCTCCGGTGAGTATTAGGTTCATTGAAGTCCTTGTTGTTTCGCCTTTAGAGTTGATACTTTGATAAACCATCCACCCTACTCCAATAATTCTAATTTTTTAGCTAGCAGGGCTTGAGGGAAGTGGGAGAATTATATTGTCCGGTTGTGATGCTGCTGAATTTCGTTCCGCATGCTGATATTTGGTGATATCATTACCTCTTCAAACATAGCAGTAAGTATATTCTAAATTTTGCTAGAATCTCTCTTACGACAAATTTCACCATGGTCATAAAGTATTCATGTAAGCAATCTGTCTTATGCCAAGTGACAAATGCAAAAGTTGGTTTCGCGAATCACACACGTGTCTTACAGCAACTGCTTACAAAAAACCTAGCAAATCAAACTTCATTTTATGTGCAGCACACACAACATGAATTCTGAAGATTTGCTAAGAAATATCATCTTTCTCTTAACAGGTCTGTGAAAATAATTTCAGCAACTCCGAGAAGTGGAAGTCATGAAATGAGTAAACAAAGACAGGCAGAGAAGTGAAAGAGATGGTCCCCAAATCATTAGGATCGATGAAATACGCGTCGACACTAGTGGTGATATGCTGACTTTCAGTGCACTCACAACATCGACAGTGTTAAATTCGCGCAGTAAACTTATGTCTCCCAGCATAGGCCCTTCAATTACAACTGTGATGCCAAAAATTCCGTAGGCGGATGGACCCAGTCAGCAGCGCTGAAAACGATAGAATGTCACCGTCGAAAACGTTGAACAGCCCATGAGAAAAATCGGCCACAGAATTGGCTGTGCGATCTACCCTAGATTTCTCCAAATAGCTAACAATGAGCTCGATAATCCAAAACGTAATCCAACTGCCAAACAAAAAGACGTCGTCATAAAAGTACCCGAAAAACTGATAAATCGACCATGGTTTGAGATGATTCTCTCATAGTTATCAACCTAAATTACAGTTCTAAATTTCCTCTCGTTCTACAGAACTTAAATTTCAGGACGCTCTGGGAAGAGCTAACCAGGCAACTCAAGCTTATAGAAATCAAGCGAATTATGTTTACACCGTCAACATGGGAAAGAGTTCCAAACACTGAAACCATTGAAGACTCACTCGAGTAAAGTTCACGAACTCTGCCGATGTAGAGGATCTTCTGTTGGCCTATCGCGTACTGAAACGCAACAAAGAATTTCGTGCGTAGTTCGTTCGCGAAAATATAATTGTTTAAGGTGTCCTAGAAGACACGGACACTGACTATGCAGTCTGTAATAAAGCAGGGCTTGAAAATTAGGAACATATTGACTCAACAAGTGGTGTGATTCGCCATGAAGATTAGGGAATCTAGTCCCTGGCTAGTGAAGATTGTGCTCTCATCCTCCAATACCACAACCGCCAATCTCAAAGCATTTCGTTCCACACGACGCAAAGTTAAGGCACAATTGCGAATTGGAACAAATGATTTAAATTGTGGACTTCCAAGAAAAATGAAAGAACATCGAACTGATAGAGACTATGAACTTCGGAAACCATAGGGAGTCAGGTTGCTTGTCCATACACATAAGGTTCATTCATTTAAACGGGTCGAGGAAGCGTTTCATATCTAAAAAATCGACTGCCGGTGTATGGGCTGCCGCGAGTTCCTCGAACAAATGGAATAAGTGATGCTAATAACACTCATTTGATAGGAGTATCTGAAACATGAGCATCTCAAATTTCGAAACAGATTCAATTATTACCTTCTATGTCTTTGCTTCGCGACCACCGAAATAAAGGAATGGAGAGCGATATTACTTGGCAACACGTCACGTTTACACTTAAAAATTTATCGATGTTCTCAGTACGACTGGCTAACAGCTCGTGGTATCTCGTTAGAGACATCTGCAGCATGCTCACTGCTAACAACGAGTAAGAAAATCGTATGCTGGGCGATTATCTCGTGCTAGTTGTTTCGGACACATTTATTTCCTGATTCTAGAGGAATTCAATCTTCCCGAAATCGACTTAGCTGACACACCTTCATTGACGGCTGCGACGAAGCTCAGAAGAACTACAAGTGTTGATGCCATATGATCTGAAGTTTTCAGCAAACTGCGACAAAAATACTTTACGAGCGAACCTTGAACTTGTGGTGACCTACATTTATCAAGAGAACGCGATTGGTTCAATGGAAACGATTATTATTATAACCAATCGTACCAGTGATTCTTCTACTGTAAATGTTTGTTTGACTGTACTAAAGATATTCTTCCTTCCGTTGATTGTGAATTTGCACGCGCTTACACTTGCTCAGTGATTCCTCTTGTGCCCTTTTGGCACGATCTCGGTATTCTTTTGATACCACGAGATCGCCAACAAATATATCTCGCTACAACCTCCAATCGCCTTCTGATATCTGGTACGCAACCTTCTTGTAGTGGTGACCATAGTCAACCGCGACACGAGGCCACAGTACACACTAATAAAGTTGAAGTGCATTTTTAGCTGGTTCGATGATAGCACTTTTCACATGACGTTCGGCAGTTTTATTCTACTTCATTTGGTGTATGGGAATATAGCGTTTCTATTCTCACTTCAAAAGGATAATGGCACACAAGGATGCATTCCACAGCGAGCCAGGAAGTCAGTTTTGAGACTCAATTTCGGACTTTATGAAGAGAGCGCTTCACATCATCTATGCTTTGTTCGTTAGAGTATAGGCGTTTTAGAGATAACCTCCTAAAGTCTTATGGCATCCGAAACACTTTTGTGCACCCCCTTGTAGTGACTCACGTTTATCACGAGAACACGACTGGTTTAATAAAAACAATTATTATCATAACCAACTGTACCAGTGTTTGTTTTAATGTGTTTTTGTTTAACTGTGCTAATTATAGCCATTTTGTGCTTCCATTACCTTCCATCATTGTTCCGCGGTTTTTGGTACTGTTCGCACGTACTCCTGTCTTCTGCTTTCGCTTGTACCTTCTCTTGGCACGATCTCGGTATTCGTTCAATACCACGAGATCGCCAACGAAATAAATCTGGTTACGTTCAATCCTCGCCTTCTGATTTATCTGGCACGTGTTTCTTAGTAGCGGTGTTCACAGTTGATCTCAACTCGACGCCACGCTACAATTGGTAATCCCAATTCGAATACAATTGGTGACCCGTATTTTGGAACACGCCTCAACTTCTGATCAAATCTTCCAAAGAACCCAATTCGGTGAGTCTATGATTTATCTATCCACGTCTGTCGTATATTTTCATATTTAATATATAATATACTCGACATGACGGATAACGATAAGAATAGTATTAATATAATAGACTCCCATTTATGTGTACCGAACTCTTGTTACTTTTTATTCGCGTGATGATGAATTCCACGCTTTATTCGAGAAATGTTACCCTATTAACGATTCTCCTCGCTGACCCGGCTGCTTGGTACGGAATGCATACGCATAAGCATATCCGTCTACCACCCAGCACCAAACAGTTTAGTTGAAAGGTTTCACCGGCAACTTAAAAGTGCTCTTCGAGCACGCGAAAACGACGACTGGTACGAAACCTTACCGCTCGTTCTTTTAGGGGTGAGAACGAGCTTAAAGGCAGATATCCAATGTTCCGCCACTGAGCTTGTATACGGCACGACATTGCGTCTGCCCGGAGAATTCACACCACGGAGCAGACCTAATTTCGGTAAATCAGACTACGTCCATCGACTGTCTGCATTTATGCGAACGCTGTCTCCGGTGTCAACTCGAATACAACATCGACAGGTCGCTCTCTCTCGAGAGTTATCTACCTGTTCACATGTTTTTGTACGAGTAGATTCGGTACGCAAACCTTGGCAACAACCTTACGAAGGCCCTTTTCACGTGATCGCTCGTCACGAAAAGACCTTCAAGGTTGATCGATATGGACGCGTCGAGATCGTCAGCATTGATCGTCTCAAACCAGCACACGTCGATGACAGTGCCCTATCTGACACCCTGAGATTCAATGCTAGACCTATCAAACCTAGCGGGATCCTTAAATCTTCTTCAGGTCCCACGCTAGATGCATCTGAGACCTCATTCTCACGTCCCGGTCAACAGCACGCGTCATCTGCACCGTCTACGGACGAGACGATAGTCTCACGTCCAGATCAGCAGACCACGCCGCCCTTGACTTCGGATGAGATTGCAGGCTCACGCGACGCGAACGAGACTGCCGTCTCACGTTCCGGTCGCCGAGTACGGTTACCCGTACGCTTCCGCGACTGGTCGCACAGTCAACAACCGATACCGTGTAGGATTATTCCTATACTACACGCATGCTACACTCTTCTTTTTTTGATTTTCTTTTGGTTTCCTGGGCCCACGCCATCGACCACCTCCGTTTGGTTCCGCCGACTTCAGTCAACTTTGGTGAAAGCTGGATTGGCCACCCACGCTCTTGTCAACGTTTTCAGTCGATATATTGGTTTCGAATGCTTGGCATACGCTTGGTCTCGAACTTGGTCGTTACGGTCGCTTCTGGTCTTTTGGCTCAACGTGGTTTCGTCCTACGTCTGCAGCGTTTCTGGTGCGCACCTCTACGAACGCCCTCTTCAGATTCTGGATACAAACCACTCTGGTGTAGCATGCCAACTCAAGCAATAAATACAACACATCGCTCCTGGTACCGTTCTCCGAAAAAGACCTGCGTTGGAAACTCGACAATCAATGATTGCTTTCCTGTTCCGCCAATTCTTCCGTCGTACAATCGCTCGTCAGCCGTTCAGTCCCACAATTTAAACCGCTATTTATCGAAAGTGTAAACCCTTTCTAGCGGGGGGCTCCTGTAGTGACTCACGTTTATCACGAGAACACGACTGGTTTAATAAAAACAATTATTATTACAACCAACTGCACCAGTGTTTGTTTTAATGTGCTTTTGTTTAATTGTGCTAATTATAGCCATTTTGTGCTTCCATTACCTTCCATCATTGTTCCGCGGTTTTTGGTACTGTTCGCACGTACTCCTGTCTTCTGCTTTCGCTTGTACCTTCTCTTGGCACGATCTCGGTATTCGTTCAATACCACGAGATCGCCAACGAAATAAATCTGGTTACGTTCAATCCTCGCCTTCTGATTTATCTGGCACGTGTTTCTTAGTAGCGGTGTTCACAGTTGATCTCAACTCGACGTCACGCTACCCCCTAAACACCTACTTTAGCTCAGTTCCAAGGAAAACCTTTAGGGTAAAACCTAGAAACTGGAGACACAATATAACAAGTGGACTGTAAGCGCACATTTCACCTTTTTATAGTAGTCATGTGCCGAATGCTTCTGCAAACTTCGGTAGTCCAAACGAATTATCATGGATCTTTTAGGAGAAAACGTTACATGTTCTTTAGGACTAAGGAAAGTATCTCACTAAAATTCGCTAATTTATTCTTTTATCGTTAAATATACCAAGGTTCCCACCTGGCAGTATCGCTGATCCACTTTTACCAGATACGGAAGCTCATTAAGTGAAAGCTTCTTATATTACATCCAGGACCATTTGAACAATTTAGGCAACTGAGACTCCAATCAAAGGTTTTATCTAAATTCAATCAATACATGATCTTACGTAGCCCTCCATCCACTGCTTGTAGTAAATAACGGTCTCACACTTGATGATATGGAATTATACATAAACGCCAGTTGATTTACTTCAGCACTCCTTAAAGATATTGGATATTGTATGAGCTGATCTGCAAAATGTTTGGCGCGAAAACATCCGCAAGGCCATGGTTCTCGTGATATTAGATGGTCGTGGTGGGATGTGTTTTCGATAATTTTCCAGGAATTCGTTGGACGCACGAGCGACTTGGTGTAGACTTATCTCTGTGATATGCTCGTGCCGATCAGTTTTTCATATTCAACGGAGACATATCAAAAACAGTTACTCAATTCTTTCACAACACTTCCAAAGTCGCATTTAGTTTTCCCGAATGTATTGCCTTACTCTGAAAAGGTGGCAGTAATGTTTAATGGTCTACAGACTGCACCGTCTTTGAAATGTGCCAATCCGATGCCACAAATTGGCTATCCATTCATTATCGGAGGTCCTGTTTTAGCAGTTGGCAAATCAACTTTTTCTCCTGCTGGGTATGGGAATTCACAGAGGCTCGAAAATGGGTTCGTTTTTCAACCCAGTCTGACCCGGAAAGTGTACATGCCCGAAAAGTCTTTGGGATTTGGTGCTTTTGGTGTTGTGTGGTAATATCGTATGTTATTGTTACCTTGTAGGTTGGTTGTTGATCCACGAACAGGCGACCAGGTTGCTCTTAAGAGAATCCCCAACATTTTTGAAAGCGTTGTGTCTGCTAAGCGAGCGTACAGAGAATTAAAATTGTTGTTCTCTTTAAAACATTTAAATGTAACAACACTAATTTTTATTAAACGCATCTAGATTGTCCGCCTGATTGATGTCGTAAAAGTCAGCAGTTCCTCTTTGTTCAGCGAAGTGTACGTCTCGTTTTACTTTCCTCTAGGCTTTTTATAGCTCCGTTCTTTGCGAATATATGGATACTGATCTGCACAAAATAATCGTATCCACTCAATATTTGTCGCTAGAGCATGTCAAACTTTTTGTCTATCAGATACTAAGAGGTAGGTGTAGTTTTTCTTACTTGAATGTTAGGTTTAAAATATCTTCATTCTGCTGGTGTTATTCATCGGGACCTAAAACCAGGGAACCTCTTGGTTAATTCTGACTGTTTATTAAAGGTAACTTATTTTAGTCCTTTTTAAAGAATGACGATTTAGAGACTTCAGGTCATATGTGTCTATTAAATAGTTATACAGTAGTACGGCAATTTTCCCCGCAACCATTGGTTTCCAGAGGTTTAGTTTTGCTAATTGATGAGTCATATTTTTTGAAATTCTTTAAGTTAGTTTATTAAGCCACTCCTGAATCATTGATACAGGTTTTCCAGGTTGTGAAAGTTAAAGAGAAACTTACACAATCTGTAAACATAGTCTATTTCTCTACTATTATGAAAACTAACTTTACAAGTTTCTTCGCTTAGGGAAGAAACTATATTTCGTCCGGGTTTAGAATAAGACTTTGTAGTGTGCTTTTTAGTAAGAATTACAACTAGATATTTATCTGTTGATCTCCCCAGAGCAACTTGAGTCCAGGGTCCTGTTTGCACTGTCAGTTAAAACAAACGTTCGTCTCACAATAAAACACTGAATCCTTCTATATACAGTAATCAGTCCAGTTAGAAGAAATGTAATCAAACCTCATAATAAGAAATTTTCATGTCTTGTTTTAGCATCTTAATCATTTTGTGCGTGTAGTTCTGCCTTCATTTTGACAGAATTTGGAAAACAGGAATCGAAGCTGTGAATCACTTGATTTTTGAAGTTATGTACTCAACGTACTATCCAAGTCGTTAGTAATAAAAGAAGCTATGCTGCCAAACTTAAATATAGCACCGTATACCAATAACCGCTTTTCGCGAGACATGCATGAGGATGAAGGCTTTAGCAGTTTCGTAAGACTAATATGTTAGGCCAGTTGGTAAGTAACCTAAACAATCGCGCATTTCTTTCAACTCTGTTACGCTTATTCGGGCTTTGGTAGTCGGTTACTACTACTAGCTGTCACCTATGAAACGTAAATTGTGGCCGATTACTTAAACCTGTAGTTAATTATTGAGTTGTTCTGCATCTAAAAGTGACTAGAAGCTTTCGATTATTTTAGTCATGATTGGTCGCACTGATACAAGTTGGTCTACTATCTATCTTCCTCCGGATTATCCTGTTCTCGCGTTTTTTTTCATTTGTAGATTTGCGACTTCGGTCTTGCTCGTTCAGTGCCATCTTTTGGTGTAGAAAGATCTTGTAATCCACTAACCCTTGAAGTTGTGACTCAATTCTATAGACCACCAGAACTACTTCTAGGTTCGAATTTTTATACAGCTGCTGTCGATCAGTGGAGCGTTGGCTGCATACTTGGAGAGCTTCTTTGTCGTCAAATTTTATTTCAAGTGAGTTTAATAGCTACCACTATTTCAATAAATTTTGTTCTTTTTAGACTTTGGTTCATAAATTACTGTACAAATTACGTTTCTGAAGTTAAGCTTTCTAAGATATCTCTCAATTTAAGCTCTGATGTATGTTCCTTTGTAATCGCTTTACATTTCATGGTCACGTTTCGTTAATCGCTTACCTAGTGCACATTCGCCCTATGATAATTAACTGACAACATGATAAAAATCGACTGCATACCCATGGCCTTTGCTCTAATCGCTTGTTTTACTGGCTATTAAGTATTCTTATTTATTTAGTTGAAACTTCTACTTTTGTACAAGAAACGTAGCCTTTATACAAATACAGTATTCATTTTTTAAACATCAATGACGGGATCGTCTATGAATTGGTGTTTTTGAAAAAGATATTTATGTTGTACGTTTACAAATTTTGTACAAGGTCTCAGATACACATTTCTATCGAACACCAATATATCTGAACATAATGTCCAGAGCCTTCTTTCAATTGTGTTTTTGGCCTCAATGCTTTATTTGTCACAAGGCAAAACGCTCTTCAAAAATGCAACTTTTAACCCATATAGTGTTAAATGTGACGTTTGCTCAGTTCTGCACATACAGAAGTCATTCCCACCTACTGCCTTACGTTCGTCACATTCATACAAGTTACTCTAAATTTCTTGTTCTACTATAAATGTTACTATGATGCGGTGGCCGAACTTACGTTTCGTGGCGGGCGGGTTGAGCTATATCGACTGGAATAATTGTTTTTCGTTCTGCCACGCCAGCCATGTAGTTTGCCTAGTGGTTAGGCCGAGTGCAACGAATTTAAGGTCCGTTGGCGGAGTATTACTGTCTATATTTTCTACAAATATCCGGCATCTCTACCAATACTTTCTCATGGTGGAAAGAGAAGAGCGAAAAACGATTGGCGTAGAAAATAGTACATATTATCCTAATTTACAGATTTCCAGTATCGATGGTAATGTCTGGAAAATGTGGAGCTATTTCACTGAAATTTACTTGCAAAATGTTTATTGTATAACCAACATCAACCCCTCCTTTACGTTTTACATTCAGGCTACCAGTTCGACAAGTCCTTCACTATCAAGCCAGTTTCCTCTTAGAGTTAGTAGGCCAGGATTTTTCTATGGTGTTTGGAACCGGAAAATAACAATCGCCCACAAATGTCTTACAGCACTCAAGCTTTTAGTTTCCGAAATTATGTTATTTCTTAGCTCCCTCATACTTCTGTTCATGTCGTCATCAGTCCTCTTCCGACATATTCCACCAGGGTTAAAATTCCAAGTTTAAGTAATGTTATTGTAGTGTTCTAAAATAGCACTCCAGATTACATTTTAAAAGTATTGATTTCAGCGCGAAGTCAAAAAGCAGACTTAAAAATTACATGTGTATGTTATAATCGAAATCGCATACAGAACTCACGTAACAAGTGTGGAGAACTAGCGCAATTCACTATTCATATATTCATTTCGGGACCGGGAAATGAATTCTTGTTGAATTTTAACCGTTCGATGTTTGATTATATGAGATGGTAGGAACTATGAAGGATAAACGCACATATTGTTATGTTCCTAGTCCACTAAGAATCAGTAGGAGGAAAACATGGTCTCTGCAGGTAGCTTTCTGTCCTTCAAGATGTTAGGTGCATGTATAACAAGATTACGTAAAACTGAAAAGTACTTTTAGTAGGCCCTCAGTGTACCAAACTAGTACGCAAAACAATGATCGTCTGTTTCAACAAAACTCAGCTAATCGTACATTGCTAGCAAGCATGAATTCTAAACATAAAGGGCGATATTGTTTGAACCTGAAACCTTCAATTTCTCATCGAATAACATATACCATATAATTTTCGGTCATTGTTGGGAAAATTCGGCTCCTTAGATAGTATGTGCTTGGCTTGAAACCATGCTCTATTTAAAGCTTGTGTTTACCTGGGTATTCATGGGCATTCGAAGGTCAAAATAGAAAGAACTCTTCAAGTTACGTCTGAAGGCGAAAATTTTTTGTCTAAGGAAAGACTTACTAAGTAAATAGTTAACCATGAACACGATTTCCACTAAGACGTAATCTGGGCTTGCTGTAAAAACTTCTTGTCAGCAACCGAAATGGAAAGTTCATGATGAGCCATTAAATCCAAAACTGCTTTTTTATGTTAATAAGTACCCGGAAATAACACACAGGTCACTATCCGAATCCTATGAGAAATAGAAATATCAAACATAGCCTGATAGAAATTTCACTCAATGACCAGAAGCAGTAATGCTCAAAGGAAAAAGAGATGAAAAACAGTGGAGATAGGTTTGGACCAGTTTGGTATCCAAACTTATCAGAAACAAATGATTAAAGTAAGTTTTTAGCCAAACTTTCTCTAGAAAATGAAGTCTTGATTGATTCCTAGACCAAGCAACTAAAACGGCTTGCGAAATACCATACGGAAGTGTTCACTTACTGTCGATTTGACCACTGTCCCAGAACAGCTTAAATGGACGGTCGATCTGGGTTTCTAAACTTTCAGCAATGTTGAGGTCATTAGTAACCTCCTCTGTGGAACCAGGAGGTCCTGATAGGTTAACTTCAAAATACCTGATGGTTGTGGTCTCACTTCATTAGCAAACCTGAATGATTTCGGAAGCTGGACATACTACCATCAGACTAGTTTCGATCTCTGAGAACCGTAGCTTAATAAATAGGATCTTCGCAGAGGAATGTTTTCAGTTAGCATTGTTTGACTTATTATCTTTTGTTATCACCCATCATTTAAGTAACTCGGTAACAACCAACCTATGGGAAACAACCCGGTTTAAGCGTGGATGTGTATGTATGGATCAAATATTCACCCTTCGGTGTTTAAATGTCATGTGTGGCAACTTTCACATTTATTGCAGGTCGTATGTAGACGGAACCTTATCGGTATTCATATGATCTATTCTCGTTTTTTTCCTCATAAGTTGGTTTCAAACTCTTAGCTCCAGATCCATTTATTATTTTAACTTTGCCGAACTTCGTTTTTCCTATGATCAAGTATATCTCCTTATTCAGTGGTAGTATGCAGGCTCTTGACACAGCCGTTTAGTTGGGACTAGGTAGAAATATTGTGGATTAAGAAATTTGTGAGAAAGATACGTATGCAGAGGAATATTTCCTTGTACATATCTTCCGGTCGTCAAGTCCTAAGTAAACAGAAAAAGAAATGTAATATTTGTTTCATAGCAATGAGAGCGATAACATGCGAGAATGAAATATTCTTGTCGTATACAAATATAGGACTAGAGGAAAATTGTAGAATTTACCTGAAAATAAAATGTTAAATCAACCAATTGTTCGAACAATGACCATCGTTGCAGATCATAATAAGTCATTGAGACTTGATTATTATCTGATCGGTAATTAAACTTCTTGATAATTTATCAGATACATTGCAGAGTTTCCTCGTCAAATACATCATTCTGAATTTTATTTCTTCATTTTAGTCTTCCAGCTCATTTCGTCAATTGGATATGATATTTAATCTACTAGGATCACCTAATACAATGGAATTAATTGACTTAGTTGGTTTTCCGTCATCTAGCATAGATTTTATTCGTAATTGTCCTGTACGACCATTTAATCATGTTGCTGTTTCAAGAATACTCGTTCCGGCTAATACTCATTATTTTCAGTCACCGACAGAAAATCCACCTGATCCTAATTTAATTAATTTGTTTACAGGACTTCTAAGTTTTAGTTCAGTAAGTGGAGCATTTAACGTTTATTATTTATGTGATACTGGCGTCTTCTCTTCTATCAATGATACGTACAAGGATGTTGCTCTTTTTGCGATCCGTCTCCTTTCCTCTTTCTTTTGAAAGCACAAACAGTCACACATTTCCTTAATATGTAGAAAATATATTGTTTAACTGAGTATCCTAATTATGTGGATATTGTTCTTGTGGTACTGCCATAATGCTCACTCTCACGATTGTGTTAGCTGAAATCTTACTAGAGTATAGTAATTTCAAATTTTGTCATTGATGTCATACCAATTCGTAAATACCTGAAAATATATGTTAGAAATCCCTTGATAAATGTCAGTCTTCTAACCATCTACGTTATACTTTACTGTTGTGCCGCAATCGGTCGTGTAATTTATTCTTATTTATTTATTTATTTATTTGAACACATAAATATTGGTACAAGAGAGCGGCAATATATATGCGCCACACAAAACAATGAGAATTCTTAGAGAAAAGGGAAAAAAGGTAAGGAGCGTAAAAAAAGAGAACAATAACGAAGACATTGGTGTAAGGTAGTGTCGTAGTAATGAGGGAACGGAAAGGTACAATCGGAAGAAATCTCTCAGTTAAGGAAGATACAACCACTTTTTTATGAAGAAAGTAAAAGAAGGTTACAGCAGGATCGCCACTGGCTTCTATTCCGAGCCATATCTGATAACGTTTCTAGCCACTGTGTAGCACCATCTCTCGGACCCCAACCAGGGAGTCGTGAACGACCAACAGAAGCCAGTCCTTTGCAGCTTTCTTTCATACCACGACACCATGTCATGCACTGACCACCTCTCCGCTTCCTCCAACCAGTCCCAGAGTCGGCAAATAATGCACGACGTGGAATTCTCTAGGACGACATTCGGAGAACATGTCCAAGCCACCGAAGTCGGTGTTTCAAGATGGTGACACCAATTAGATCATCGTCTCTGTGCCCAAACAAACGATGCCGAACCTCTGCATTACAGACATAGTGTTGCCACTGAATGTCAGCAATCCTTCGGAGACAGCGATGATCGAACACAGAAAGTCGTCTAACGTCCTCAACTCGGAGAGGCCAGGTTTCACAAGCATAGAGCAAAACTGCTCTCACCGACGCGTTGTAGATCCGACCTTTTACAGCCAGACTAACATCACGAAGGCGCCAAAGGTGGCCCAGATTGGCATAAGCCGCTCTGGCTTTCACTATACGTGCATTGATCTCATCACTCACACCCCCACCAGCACTTATGCAGCTACCCAGATACACGAACTTCTCGACTACTTCTATCTGCTCACCATCCAGGGTGAGTACAGGATTGGAATCCTGCCAGTCTTGTAGAAGTACTTTGCACTTCGAAGGTGCAAAGCACATACCATACGTACGGACACTGATTGCCAACTGATTAAGTGCGTATTGCATGCCTTGGACATTATCGCACAGTAAGACAATATCATCCGCATACTCAAGGTTGAGAAGTCTTTCTCCAGGCAACAGATCCAGACCACCATTACTTACATCCATCAGAGCTGTTTCCAGAATGTCATCGATGGCAAAGTTGAAGAGGAATGGTGAGATTGGGCAACCCTGCCTGACCCCACTGCTCGAATGGAACAATGGAGAAAGGTGGTTGTATGCCCTCACTCTGCCTGAGGTGTTTGTATATAGGGCTTTTAGGATGTTAATGAACTTCTCAGGCACACTCTTCTTCAATAGACAATCCCAGAGAACAGTCCTATCCAATGAATCGAAGGCAGCCCTGATGTCAAGAAACACTACGATTGTTGGTCTGTGATGAGTATGACAGTGTTCTAACATTTGGCGAAGGGTGAAGATATGATCAATACATCCTCGACCAGAACGAAACCCAGCCTGCTCCTCGCGAGTCAATCTTTCTCGGGTTTTGAACAGCCTACGAAGTATGACGGAAGCCAATAGCTTGGACGCAATGGGAAGTAGACTTATCCCCCGATAGTTGTTACTGGAACGACGTGAACCCTTTTTAAAGATAGGGACAACTATCGACTCACTCCATGACGTTGGTACACTCTCTAGTTCCCAAACCTTTGTAAACAACGTCGTCAGTTCCTTAGTCAAAAAGTCACCACCATCTTTAAAAAGAGCCGGAGGTAAGTGATCTGGGCCCGGTGATTTGTAGCGCTTCAAGAGTTGGAGTTCCTTGCGGACTTCCTCCTCGTTTGGTGGATCAGTCGTCACCGGCTGTGGAGGGCAGGACAGTTTGACCGATGCTGCCGGAGCAGTAGGCCAGTTGAACCGCCCTTCAAACAAATTCTGCACATCGTCCAAGACGTCGATGGATGTTAGTGGTTGGCGCTCCGTCATCCTCACAGATTGTTCTCACTCACACCAGACGTTTTGCTGCCAGTGGCTCGGATGAGTTGGAAGAGCTCCCGGTAATTACCAGATGCAGCTGCTGCTTCCAGCTCATTAGCACGCTCCGACTACCAGGCTTCTCGGTCCTTACGCAAGCTCTGCCCAATTTCCTTACGTAACATCCTTCGTTTGTGGTCAAACTCACGGTCATCCGGAGTAGACCGACGGGCTTCAATGAGTTGTAAGGAACCTGAAGGAACCCAGTACTTATAAGCGGGACGTTTCGCGAACCCACAACTGACTGTACCCGCCATTTTCATGGCGTCATGCAATTGCAACCAATGCTCATATATACTTTCCGGTACAATGGTAGCTAGCCTAGAAACTAGCTCGGTTCGATACTTACTAGCAACAGAAGTTGCAACCAGCTTGCTAACATCAATCTTTTGGTGGTGGTCACTTCGTTGTCCACTGAAAAGTAAGGTAAGATTGGCGCAGACCAAGGCATGGTCAGAGTCCAGATAGGTACTCCAAAAGGAGCGGCAGTCTTGTACACAACCACGCCAGCGATAGCTGATCGCGATGTGACTAATCTGAGTCCAGGCTTGAGATGCAAAGGGAGGACGCCAGGTGGCACATCGGCGATGACTGTGCCGAAAGTTAGTGCCAGCCAGAAACAGGTTGTGGTCTGTGCACAGTTGCAGTAGACGGTACCCGTTATCTGTCCTGCGACTAACAAGTCCCCATCGGCCACCTAAATGACTCTCTTCTGTGCCTAGACGCCCGACCTGAGCATTCACGTCTCCGGCTAGTACTACAATATCTGTCGAACGCACTTTCTGGAGAAGAACAGATAACTGGTGGTAAAACTCATCCTTGATTGCATCCGGGCTGCAATCTGTCGGGGCATAGGCGGAGATGACGAAAAGACATCGTTTCTCACGCCGATTTCTTCTCACTTTGATGGAACTTTCTAATCTAACAGCACATAACCAACCGACTGTTAGTGGGGATCCAATCGATTAGTGATGATGATCTCAACCAAAAACTTAACAACCTCCACAACCCCTATACTGATAATTAACATGTGCTTACTTGTGACTAGCTTCGTGAGGGAATTCTCGGAGTTTTATTGAAAAGCCGTGACCAGTGGAGCTAATCCGTGTCGGGTAGAGACAGGTATCTACCTCAGTACAATGGAAGTTGGTCGCGCAATTTCGTGGATTTGTTGATGTTAGACACTAACACCATTGGATGCCGGCTCAGTGGTCTAGTTGTTTAAGTGCCTAGCGCGAGACAGGTAGGTCCTGGGTTCGAATCTCGTGGGGAGCGGGATCGTGGGTGAGCACTGCTGAGGAGTCCCGTACTAGGATGAAACGGCCGTCCAGTGCTTCCAGGTTTCCAACGGTGGTCTAACATCAATTGAATCATGATCTCAATCAAAAACTTAACAATCTCCACAACCCCTATACTGATAATCTTTTTAAATACTTGATAGTTGCCATGAAAAGACGAAATTTTTCCGAAGTTGGCAAAATATCAGCTCATGTTACATTTTAAACAGTCTGATCAAATAATAACTCGTTATAGTATTTGTATACGAAATAAAGTGAAAACTAAACAAACGATAAAATATCTAAAGATAAAGAAATGAAACAGTTTAAATCACTATTCTCAATATTTAATGTAAATACCATCACGGTTGGTTCAAAATTGTTCTTGAATTTGTATTTCCGTGTAACATTGGCCTCAACACATCCGATATTACATTAAATTCACTTATATAATCCGTTTCAACTATGTCATACAGTAGAGGGGGATAGCTGTTTGTTAACTGCTTTGATCTGCTTATTGGTTTTATTTATTAAAACTGCCAGTTAATTACAGGTTTGATCATTCCTACATTGAAGTTATGATTATTCTCTCTATGTATTTGCTGACACATGAATTGGTGTGCACAAAATGATGTAATGTACTCGTTTAAAATCTGTTTGAGTGTTTAGTGGAGGATGACTCCAATCTAGCCATTGGAGAACGTTTCTGGAATTGTTTTGAGTTCTATATGGTTCAGATGTCATATATCATCATTTCAATTCCGTGTCAACAGTATTCTAAAGCAATTTTGAAGTGCATTATATTAAATGTCGAGTGGTTGAGAACCTGGGGCATTTGGAAAATTGTCTTTTTCTAGTTTGGGACTGTTCTACAATTTCGACTCAGAGCGGTGGCTCGGTCCTTAAGACGTCAAACTTCCGGTCAGTAGTTGTGACTATTGTTGTAGAGCTGCGCAGAAGGGAATAAAACGGTTGACCTGATTATCAGTGGTTCTTCACTTACTGATATCAGTTTATGACGAAATTACTTTCAGACTTTTCAGATCCCCAGCTTTGGTTTTGTCCTTGTGTGACATTAATAAAAAACTTCAATAAGTATACTGATTGTTTCCTTGTGTGTGTTCTGTGGATTTTCGTTAAAATTCTATATTATTTCTCGTCTAAGATCTGATAGTTAAGTTAAATCCTTACCCTTTTAATCATTAGCATTCAGCCTGTAATATCCCCAGCACAGATCATAATTATTAATAATTTCTTTTGGATGTAGTCCTTTCTATTTTTTGTTATATATCTATGAACGTTTTGTATCAGTCGTTGCCTACATCCTATCAATAGTATACATGGATGGCTTATATAAATCGTAAGATATGTGTTGTACGTCACTCTTGTGCTTTGTCAAATAATACAATACAAGCAATAAAAAGCATTTCTACAAATATTTTTTTTCAGTCGAAGCGGTTAACTGCTGAACAAGCGCTAGATTCACCATTCTTAGTTGGAGGTAGAGCTAGATTTCATACTTGTCTGTGCTGTTGTTGTCCACCACGTAATCAAAGTTCAATAATGAACGATTCACCTACCCACTGGAGTAATGTAGCGAAACAAGTAAATCATCATCTTTTATCTGTTGGTTCAGTGGGTACTCTGTCATCATCTGGTGGTACACTACCATCTTCACTTCATTCATCTATGCTATCACAAAGTAGAGATATAACGTTGCGCATCCCTTTATTTTTGTCACCTCATCTAATGATACCAACTTCTCTTGTACGGTATAGTTGTATTAATTTGGAACCAACCTTTCAAGATATACATGAATACACTTATTTAAATACTGAAATAGAAGTGAATAACTTGTTTGAAGCTAAACGTGAGTTTTTAATTTGTTGACTTTATCATTTTAAAGTAATTTACTCACAATGTATACGTTTACATATTCTACATCTTGTCACTTTGAGTGAGTGTTGTTTATACTATCCGCGTTGTTAGATCTAAAATGCTGAAGTTAAATGTAACCTTCTACGATCTAGTGATTAGATTTTGAGTATTGTTCAATCACTTCTTGGCTGACCATTTTACTATTTTTTAATACCACCACTATTGCATGATTTGAAATCGTCTTTATCTTAAAATTAAATGATACTTCTCCTATTATGCTACGTGTTTGTATATACGGACTATCTGGTTGCATTCCATGCGGTAACTGATCAATGGTTGGAAAGATTGGAGTAACATTTCCTGAAATTAGTCGCCGTAGCATAAATACATTCACTCTTCATCTTAGTCTAAATCTTAAGTTTTCATATTTCTTTATACACACGTTTTCATTATAGCTCCTCATACCATATTCTCGATGTTCACTTCTTTTCATTATCAGTGTTGCTGCACTATCTCGATTCCTTTGTTATATATGGTGTAGATTTCATTTTATTTGTGCTAATATCACATGTCAGCTTGCGCTAATGCACAGTTGTGCCTGGAATTTAAGTTAATAATGACCGACTGATGTATAAAATTTTAGGTCGTTTACATCTACATATTGAGTAAATCCATCCAATATAATATAGGATGATTCAGGCACTCAATGTAATTAGTTTGAAACAGTCATTGATAAATTTATTCATATTTCATGCGATTACATATAGTTGACATGATTCATTCGAATAATTTTATATGACCTTTTAGTACTTATGGATATAAGTTTATTTTTTGTCGACTTTATAGTCAAACTAGAAATGGAATTATGACAGTGGATTTCAGAATTAGACTATCAATTTTAGTCAATGAGAAATTACGAATTATGCCAAGGGATATCTAAGTATACAACTCTTCTTCAGTAGAATACATTCTATACACATCTCATAACAATATCACGTATTAAGTCTATGTATACACTTATATACGTTGCTATAAGATTTTTTATGAATATTTTACTTCGATTGTTTACATTTGTGCCCAAGTTAAGACCTTATATATATATCCTTTTTGCTTCGTAATTTATGTTTATACTTTTGTGAATATGTTTGTTTGTGTCGCCTGTTTCTATGGTATTATCCCTTTTTAAATCTACATAAAATTACTTCATATTAGGGGTATTTATAAATCATCTCATATGTTGTATATTTTAGCTTCATATGCTTTAACATTGCTTTATGCATATACAACGTAGACAATTTCGGTTGTTTATATTGTAGTCTTTGTAAACTAATGTTTTTTCAGAGTAATTGTTGTTTTTATTAGCTGCAGGACGTTGTTAATTCACTGCTATTTATATTCAAACTTGACACAGTATGTCTTTGGATGTATGCTTTAGTGCTCTGAATAGTACAGTAAAGTAGTATGAATTGTTTCCAGTTAATATATCATTCTGACTGCTATCTATCTGATGTTTTTTGTTATTTAATGTAAAAAGTTTAGGTTCGGAGAGCTGACATACTAACTTTTTATTCGCATTTACTATTTATCTTGTTAATTTTATCTTGTACTTATATGGTATGGGATTTTGAGCCAATCCAACTTTGTGTTAGGCTCTATATTGGTTATGACTGACTATTACTTTATCAATGATATGAGTACAATTATGAATAATTTTTGACTTATGCATGCCCCCAAATGCCTTGGTATGGCCGAGAGCGGGGTGGGTTCGCCCTCCCTCTCGAAATACTCTCACACGACCACACGTATATAGTCTCTGCCAGGGAAGTCCTACTCACTGCCTTCTCGTGGCGGGGGTGTTGTTTACGAAAATGAGAGGACGAAAAGCGAATGTCCGGCGCTTTAACCGGATTCCAAACCAATGGTGCACATGGGCTCCAGTATCCTGCGGGAACAAATGGCGTATGATCCAATTGTTGGTCACCGGCTACCATGGGACTGCATCTCCTTACGATGCTCCACTGCCTTGTGGGTTAGACCTTCAGGTCGAAGGCTCGGGGAGTGGCCCCCTAAGAAAACCACCTGCTTCGGTTTGGGCACCCGGGCAGTATCACAGCCCACACACAATTAATGAACTGAACTGTCTATGATCATGGGAACTAATTCTCTTTCGACGAACATTCAAATGATTCTATTATTATTATTATTATTATTATTATTATTATTATTATTATTATTATTATTATTATTATTATTATTATTATTATTATTATTATTATTATTATTATTTACTACGTCAATATTCACCCTCCTTTATCCCCACTCTGTTTATACTTATTTTTTTCGGCTTATACAGCAGCTCGTCTTTGGTGGAAATTCGACTGTATCTAAACGTTCTCGAGTCGCTGTTTCCCTGCTTCTCTTAACTCTCACTTTTTAGCAGAACTCTTCTAGTAGAAGAGATGATGATGAACTCTCTATGTCTATGGAAACTACTTTTCTCGCTTCGAAAAACAACCAATTGATTCAAATTATTATCATTACTATTATTGTCATTATTATTACTATTATTATTATCACTATTATTATTATTTGCCACATTATTCACCCTCCTTTATACTTATACAGCAGCTCGTCTTTGGTGGAAATTCGACTGTATCTAAACGTTCTCGAGTCACTGCCCGGTTGAAAATTGTATGTTACCACCGAATATGAGTACTGAAGCAGTTTTTCTGAAACCACGCGCACCATTCAGACTGGCTGCCTTTAACGTTCGCACACTTATGCAGGTCAGACAACAGATAGGGCTGGCTATGTCTTTGGAAAGTCTTCGTATCGATGTCTGCTGTCTATCCGAGACCCGTATTCAAGACTCTGGTGAAGTACTACAAATTCGCTCTACATCTGTCACTTCAAAAGCTTGTTTCACGTGCGCTTATCCGGAGACCCTGTGGCATCTTCGTCTGGTCTTGCTGGCTTTGGTGTCGCACTAAGCGCTAGAGCTGAGGCAGCACTAATCGATTGGATCCCCACTAACAGTCGGTTGGTTATGTGCTGTTAGATTAGAAAGTTCCATCAAAGTGAGAAGAAATCGGCGTGAGAAACGATGTCTTTTCGTCATCTCCGCCTATGCCCCGACAGATTGCAGCCCGGATGCAATCAAGGATGAGTTTTACCACCAGTTATCTGTTCTTCTCCAGAAAGTGCGTTCGACAGATATTGTAGTACTAGCCGGAGACGTGAATGCTCAGGTCGGGCGTCTAGGCACAGAAGAGAGTCATTTAGGTGGCCGATGGGGACTTGTTAGTCGCAGGACAGATAACGGGTACCGTCTACTGCAACTGTGCACAGACCACAACCTGTTTCTGGCTAGCACTAACTTTCGGCACAGTCATCGCCGATGTGCCACCTGGCGTCCTCCCTTTGCATCTCAAGCCTGGACTCAGATTAGTCACATCGCGATCAGCTATCGCTGGCGTGGTTGTGTACAAGACTGCCGCTCCTTTTGGAGTACCTATCTGGACTCTGACCATGCCTTGGTCTGCGCCAATCTTACCTTACTTTTCAGTGGACAACGAAGTGACCACCACCAAAAGATTGATGTTAGCAAGCTGGTTGCAACTTCTGTTGCTAGTAAGTATCGAACCGAGCTAGTTTCTAGGCTAGCTACCATTGTACCGGAAAGTATATATGAGCATTGGTTGCAATTGCATGACGCCATGAAAATGGCGGGTACAGTCAGTTGTGGGTTCGCGAAACGTCCCGCTTATAAGTACTGGGTTCCTTCAGGTTCCTTACAACTCATTGAAGTCCGTCGGTCTACTCCGGATGACCGTGAGTTTGACCACAAACGAAGGATGTTACGTAAGGTAATTGGGCAGAGCTTGCGTAAGGACCGAGAAGCCTGGTAGTCGGAGCGTGCTAATGAGCTGGAAGCAGCAGCTGCATCTGGTAATTACCGGGAGCTCTTCCAACTCATCCGAGCCACTGGCAGCAAAACGTCTGGTGTGAGTGAGACAATCTGTGAGGATGACGGAGCGCCAACCACTAACATCCATCGACGTCTTGGACGATGTGCAGAATTTGTTTGAAGGGCGGTTCAACTGGCCTACTGCTCCGGCAGCATCGGTCAAACTGTCCTGCCCTCCACAGCCGGTGACGACTGATCCACCAAACGAGGAGGAAGTCCGCAAGGAACTCCAACTCTTGAAGCGTTACAAATCACCGGGCCCAGATCACTTACCTCCGGCTCTTTTTAAAGATGGTGGTGACTTTTTGGCTAAGGAATTGACGACGTTGTTTACAAAGGTTTGGGAACTAGAGAGTGTACCAACGTCATGGAATGAGTCGATAGTTGTCCCTATCTTTAAAAAGGGTTCACGTCGTTCCAGTAACAACTATCGGGGGATAAGTCTACTTCCCATTGCGTCCAAGCTATTGGCTTCCGTCATACTTCGTAGGCTGTTCAAAACCCGAGAAAGATTGACTCGCGAGGAGCAGGCTGGGTTTCGTTCTGGTCGAGGATGTATTGATCATATCTTCACCCTTCGCCAAATGTTAGAACACTGTCATACTCATCACAGACCAACAATCGTAGTGTTTCTTGACATCAGGGCTGCCTTCGATTCATTGGATAGGACTGTTCTCTGGGATTGTCTATTGAAGAAGAGTGTGCCTGAGAAGTTCATTAACATCCTAAAAGCCCTATATACAAACACCTCAGGCAGAGTGAGGGCATACAACCACCTTTCTCCATTGTTCCATTCGAGCAGTGGGGTCAGGCAGGGTTGCCCAATCTCACCATTCCTCTTCAACTTTGCCATCGATGACATTCTGGAAACAGCTCTGATGGATGTAAGTAATGGTGGTCTGGATCTGTTGCCTGGAGAAAGACTTCTCAACCTTGAGTATGCGGATGATATTGTCTTACTGTGCGATAATGTCCAAGGCATGCAATACGCACTTAATCAGTTGGCAATCAGTGTCCGTACGTATGGTATGTGCTTTGCACCTTCGAAGTGCAAAGTACTTCTACAAGACTGGCAGGATTCCAATCCTGTACTCACCCTGGATGGTGAGCAGATAGAAGTAGTCGAGAAGTTCGTGTATCTGGGTAGCTGCATAAGTGCTGGTGGGGGTGTGAGTGATGAGATCAATGCACGTATAGTGAAAGCCAGAGCGGCTTATGCCAATCTGGGCCACCTTTGGCGCCTTCGTGATGTTAGTCTGGCTGTAAAAGGTCGGATCTACAACGCGTCGGTGAGAGCAGTTTTGCTCTATGCTTGTGAAACCTGGCCTCTCCGAGTTGAGGACGTTAGACGACTTTCTGTGTTCGATCATCGCTGTCTCCGAAGGATTGCTGACATTCAGTGGCAACACTATGTCTGTAATGCAGAGGTTCGGCATCGTTTGTTTGGGCACAGAGACGATGATCTAATTGGTGTCACCATCTTGAAACACCGACTTCGGTGGCTTGGACATGTTCTCCGAATGTCGTCCCAGAGGATTCCACGTCGTGCATTATTTGCCGACTCTGGGACTGGTTGGAGGAAGCGGAGAGGTGGTCAGTGCATGACATGGTGTCGTGGTATGAAAGAAAGCTGCAAAGGACTGGCTTCTGTTGGTCGTTCACGACTCCCTGGTTGGGGTCCGAGAGATGGTGCTACACAGTGGCTAGAAACGTTATCAGATATGGCTCGGAATAGAAGCCAGTGGCGATCCTGCTGTAACCTTCTTTTACTTTCTTCATAAAAAAGTGGTTGTATCTTCCTTAACTGAGAGATTTCTTCTGATTATACCCTTCTGTTCCCCTACTGTTGCTATTATTATTAGACTACGTTACACCAATCCCTTCGTTATAGTTATTGTTTTATTATTATTTTTTTACGTTTCTCAATTTTTTTTCTTAGATTCTCATTGTTTTGTGTGGCATATATATATTCCGCGCACTCCTATACCAATATTTATGTGTTCAAATAAATAAATAATAATAAATATGCATCGTAACTAAAAATTATTTTGCACATTGTTACGCGTAACCTCAATAGTAAATTTTTATTTGTGTTGCAGTCGGAATTCGTCTACCTTAATGCTTGTTTACAAGTATGGAAATGAGAGTATATTTTAAAAATTTGTTTTTAATTTTTTAAAGTCAGTCATTCATACTATTTTTTCTTTATACATTATATATTCAGAAATATTATGGAATCTAATTCAGCAATATTTCCAAAGAGATCCTAATCGTACCCGAGTTGTGATAAACAATTCTTCGCCTAATTTTCAATCATTTATAAAGTGAGCACATTATACGGTTGTTTTTAGTTCATTACGTTTATTAATTGGGTAATGTTTTATCATATTCTTACTTGGTGACTGAAACACTTTACTTTAACTGTTAGGTTGTGAGTTCGAAACCGGCTCCACCTACTTCGATTTGACTATCTTTAAATTATCACTAGAACTTGCACTATTGAAGTATTGCTCAAAGTTGAATTCAAACATCTATACATGGTCCATGAGTAAATTAGCCAATCAGTTGACAAAACTACGGGACTAGTTTTTTATCTAGGTTTCGAATTCTTTGGATTCTCTTTTTAAATCACGGGTCGACATCTGCTTCAAAGTCGTTTCTCACGAGTCTTTTAATGTTTCAGGTCTAAAGTCGCATGTAGTCGTGACTTTTTGTTGGAGTCCTGAACTAAGTCCTTTACTTCTGAAAAATTCTCCATATAGTTTCATTTTATGATAAGCATTAATTTCAGCTTTCTTGCGAAGTAATGACTTTCAAGTTGAATTTTAGTTCAACCCGATGAGTAGGTTGTGTCTTTATCGTATATTTTATGATGTTAAATCTAAATGATGAGAGCTGTGACATTCGTCTTTTGTGGATGTCATTATTGTAGTTCCACTGAACCTATTCATCTGAGAAGATACACTCACATCTACCATGGTTTTTTTCCAATATACTCGTTTTATATATTAGATTGGTTCAGTACTGTATGCATTCAAATTAACCTTTTTTTCATCTTTCACTTGGGTAAAATGTTAACGTTTCTGGTTGTTAATCCTATAGTTTTAGCTCTAAATTCTGTTTATATGAATATACAACAGTTCTAAGTTACTTTTCTTTTGATTTCCTAATAATACTGATATGTCACTTACATTCGTGGTACATACATCCTCATTTTTATCAGATATTTATTATTTTAAATCTTTTAAAATGTTTGTAGTTTGTTGATATTTTAATCTGTATTCCGTAATATGTTCCAAAATTTCCCTATAAAATACATCATTTCTGTCTTATTGACTAAAATATGCATAAGATCAACATTTTCTAGTCTACATAATTGTTAATACTTTTTGGTGGAGTTTTGTTCTCTGAGCTGGATGGTTTGGTCGTGGGGCTTTCATCGTTCTTCTAAACGACATCATCAGCACAAACTTCAGATAGAAGTGAAATGTTCGAATTTCTCCATATGTGTTTCACAGCTTGTTCTGTGCACCTCGATGTTGATTGGTTCTTATTGACTTTAAATTTATCATTGTTTACTTCTTTGTTTTGGTTGTGTCTCCCATTGGTTTGATTTTTGTTCCTATATTCATGCATGATTTTCCTGATTGGTTGATAAATTGGATTGATTTCAATATGTTTGTTGATTGCTGATTGACCTGAGTGCCAGGCTTCTAAAAATTCTCTGGTGTTTTTGGAGTTTCCTTTGTCTAAGATTTCTACATTTTTCCAATCGAATGAGTGTCCGTTGTTATCCACGTGTAAGTGAAGAGATATCATGGCGTTTGACTGCTAATTGATGTTCATGTAGGCGAAGGTGGAGGGGGCGTCCGCTTTGTCCGATGTAGTGTTTGTCGCAGTTGGTACAATTTATTTTGTAGATGATGTTTGAATTGTTTTCTTTTGTTATTTCATCCTTTGGTTTGCATAGGATTGATTGAGGTGATTTTGTCGGTTTGTGTGCCACACCTATCTTCTTCACCATCTCAATTGTTAGTACTCCATTCTATTATTCTATATTCTGTTTGATGAATCCTCATCATTTCTTTCCTATGTACTCATATGATCAATTGTTAGTATACAATAGAGATTCGTCTATATCATAGTTAATAAAAGCATATGATAGTTTATTGCTTAGTTTTTCATAAATACGCGTTCATGTACTAGTTTTTTTTGTCATATTTATTGAAATGGTCTTAAAATGTTTTTTTTTTACTTAACCGACTAAATTACATGTCAGTAGAATAGTGTTTTAACCATTAAACATAATTGTTGATAAAATCTTTAAATCAATTAACCTTGGTTACAGTTTTGCTAATAAGTTTAGTAGATTTAAATTGTACTTATTTGTATTTATCGATATCCACTTTTCAATGTAAAATAGATTTTGTTTCCTTTTTGATAACCCCATTAACATTATCATTATTTATCAGTTGAGACTATTGTTATAATTTATATTAACCCATTGTAAGAAAACAATATAGAATATAAAAATATCCGATATTATTTAAACCAAACAAGTACGGCATTAATAGTATGACTGTTTTGAATTATTATTTATTTTAAAGCATATAGTTGGATTTACATGATCATGATATAGTTTTATTGATGTTAGGTCATTGTTTACTGACTAAAATAGGAATATCATATTAAATAACTAAAGATTATTTAATCAGAAACTTACAGTGGTCTTGAGTGCTGTTAGAGAGAGGTATGAGTGCGATTATCACTTCCCGGTTGCCCACTCCATGGAAGGGTTCTTCTGGAGGTGCCTGAAAATGAAATTGGATTAGAGGTGGTCTTAGTGACCTGAGAGCGTTACCATAATGCCCAAGAGACAACTGCTTGAGATCGTTCACACATGAACTTTTTATGAGTTATATTTGTGTTAGCTACGTACTTGTTGAGACCTTACTACCGGAGACGGATATACGTAGGATAAGATGAGGTGTGTATTTTTAGGATCGACCTTTTCTAACCCCACTCCTCCTTGTGGGAAGGTAGCATCGCTGTTATGCTGTTTGTCTGAAGGAAACATCTTACTGCTGTCACACCTCTGTACAGTCAGCAGTACGACTTCGCCTTCGGACCTTGGGTTTGTTGCTTTAGGTCTTACCGCCCTTCAACCAACCTGTTTGATATGGTAGGACCTTGAGGAACTATTGTTTCAGCCAATATATCTCGATTGGTTCATCACGATAAGCAAGCTCGACCACCACGTCAAGGTAACAACAACGGTCATTTTGACTGACTGACTGAATCAGAAACATAATAACAGTCAGTATTAGTTTAAACTGCTTATAAAATTGTGAAACTCTTCACTATTTTAATATTCATTTTATTTTAAAATCATTGAGTGAAACAATTTAACAATGATAAATAATCATTCAGATTATTTTTTCTTCCATGTTTTCTTCTTTGTTTTCCAAGTTATCTCTTTTATTTCCTCTAATTATTTTCTAACATTATCCTATTTCTACATGTATAACACCTTGAAGCAATACATTGTTACTATGCAATATTACATTTATTGAATTGATATTATTCTTATCTATTCAATATCATAATCAATTTTAGAACGTTTTAGTTATTACTGGTGTGATTATGATACTATTTTTTAAATTTCTTTTGGAATTGTCTTTTAGACAAACATCTTAAAAAGTTAATCATGGAATGTCAATTTGTACCCTTATTATCATTGTTATTATTATTATTATTATTTTCTAGTTGTTCATCACTAATTATATCTTCATTTACATTTAAACAAATATAATTGATGTATCAAGTAAATTATTTACATAAATTAAATAAGATATAATAACAGAATTGTAATAAATCTTTGCTTAGATTGTAAAAGATCCCATATTAATTGAAATAATCTATTATATTAAATTTAGATTTATATCAGATGGGTTTTGTGGATATTATAGTAATTTCAATGGTTAAGATCATGAGTCATTTGAAGCTAGACCACCACGGAAAACCTGGAAGCACTGGACGGCCGGCTCGTCCTATTGTGGGACTCCTCAGCAGTGCGCATCCACGACCTCGCCACCTGGGAGATTCGAACCCAGGACCTACTGGTTTCGCACGCGAGCACTTAACCACTAAACCACTGACCCGGCATCGAACGGTGTTAATGTCTAACTTCAACTAATCCACGAAGTTGAGTGACACATCTACCATTGTCTCCAGTAAGTTTCTATCTCGCAACAGACCTGGTTGAGCTCCACTGAGGAGTCCCACAATAGGACGAAACGGCCATCCAGCGCTTTCAGGTTTTCCATGGTGGTCTAGCTTCAACTGACTCATGATCTTAACCATTGAAATTTAGATTTATTGTTAAGTAATTTCATGTAATCAGTCCATTCTATACTGTTTTTCCTTTCTGTCTTTTTTGTTTTTCACTTCTCCACAAAGTTATTCTTTTTTATCTGTAACATTCATATAGTTTTATTTATTTGTTTTCTTTCTTTTTAATTTATCTTTTATAGGTCTTCAGTTGCGTTCAATTAATATTACAACATGTTATAATGAAGACTATTTATATAACTACAAAAACTTTATATTTCTATTCAATGTTAATTATTGTATTATAAAGTTTTGATCCCCTCTTTATTAATCAATTCATGTAATATGTAATTATTCTTTTTGATATATCTTCTTTTTTTTTGTGCCCTTTCCTATTATTACTGCACATTTATATGTATATTTACAGTTGAATGTACTACAAATACGATTTCTTCCTGTATTATTATTGTGACTATTTTTCGAGTGCCTTTAATTATCATTTTCTGTTCTATTTGTTGTTGCTGTTTTTTTTTGTTAAAACAACTGAGCAGTTGTACTTAATTATCTAATTGGCTTTAATCTAATCTATTGCACGTATTTCGGAAAAATGAATCATGTTATATATATTCTCATCTTCTTTGTTCTATTCTAGAAAAGTTCTTTATTCTGTCTATATACGTAACTTGTAACAGTGTGTACATTCTGAAATTTTTCTATACCTTTTTTTCTTTCTTTCTCATTTTCTTCATTGAATTATTGTATAATCAAGTTAACTGATTCTTTTTATTAAATATTGGGCTGTGCTGTCTATGTTTCAACTGCGTTTAAAGTGGTTAATTCTTACAATCCATCATATATATATATATATATATATATATATATATATATATATATATATATATATATATATATATATATATATATATATATATATATTCTTTATATTGGTTATTTGCTTTATATTCTTATTATATATATATTTATTAATCAGGCTGTGATATATCAAAGGGCACAATTTCAAGTATATTCTTTAACTAAATTTGTTATATACATGTATATGGATTAATATTTACGCTTGCCATTGGTATCCTAGTCATCATTCCCATGTTTATACTTCAACAAATTACGTACATTGTTTTTGTGATTACTCTTTTTTTTCTCTTGTTAAAGCACATATTTCTATTTTAACTCTAATAACTAGTATAGGTCTGTATTGTCCAAATCCATTAATGTTTATATGTACTTTTTTATTATAAATTAAATTCACTTTATTTGGTGTTTTTATAAATTCTGTGTTCTCATTTTCAAATAGTAAGGTTTATTTTTAATGTTAATTATCACCTGTTGTACAGTATGTGAATTCATGAGTACTATAGGTACTTGTAATATTTAGACTTAAATAGTGGCGGTATCACAGTCAGTCACGACTAGTTTTTTAATGGGTTTTTACGATCGTTTATTGGGAACCTATTGTACGTTTACATATTCTTCTTGTCCGTCAACAACACGTAGAATTCAACCTTATTTTCATACTGTGTCATAGTCTGACAAAACTTTGATCATTTCCGGAACATTTCACTTGTTCTTTTGATCAGTGTTCAGTACTTAGGTAGAACATATCGTACAACTGGAATGGAGATTTTTCCAATAAAAACATCTGGTTTACTGACATTATTGTATAGAAAATTGCTACTTCAGAATCTGATTTAAGACAAATTAGAATTGAATCGCTGTATATATTACTTTTCGTAGTTTAGGATGGAATCGTAGAAATCAAACACAAATAAATTCACTTGGTGTTGTTTACTTGTCTGTTATTTGTAGTCTAGGCTGGATGTCATGCAGTCTGTTGAAGCTCATTTCAAATCAAAGAATTCAAAAGCCGTTTTCATCTCATTACAGCTTTCTGTTTGTCTAAGTAAGCCGCTAATTTTAGAATCCAGTTTCTCTGAATTCAGTTTATTACTCGCAAATATATATTTTTTTTACTAATCAGCAAACATTCTTCAAAATTAATTGATAATTTATGACATCATCTTATTTCTATCAGTTTTTAGTTTCTTGGTAACCAGATACACCTACACGACGTTAACCCTCGAAATGCCTACTTTTATCACTGATAAACGCTGGAAAGTCACAGTTTATAGTCAACTTGGTATGTTTAGCTGAATCCTGTATTTTTAACAAATTTAACGTCTGGACGTTTGTGATTAGGTTGTAGTTTTTTAAAAAAAGAGTTTATTAACTAGTTTGTGGGAATAATTGTAATTATTTCCCATGGAACTTTAAGCTCTACTCTTAGAATTAACTAGAGAACTACTTAGTTTTTTGCTATATATTTCATCATTGATACTATAGTCAAATTCGCTATTTTATACCAGCCTCCGATAAGTTAGTTGGCTGGACTGTAATTTTATGGAGAAACCAATCAGATTTAGAGTGTGTTCTTTTGGGTTTCTGCGCAAAATTCAACTACTCATATGGTTCGTGAAAACGTTTACTCTAATTCCTAATCATAGCTCCTTATTTGAAGTATCCATAACAATGGAGCTCAGTAATTTTTAATCATCCATAATTAGAAACACCATTCAACAAGTATCTCTTTTCAGTTACCTTGTTATCAAGCTTTAATAGCACCTCTACAATAAATAAACGTCATATTTAAATATATTTCTAAAATCTAGTAAATCATACGATATTGTTCTTGTATTTCCACATGAACTCCAGCACTTCAACCCTACTGTGCTAGATTGTAGATATATTAACACAGTTAATTCATAACAACTTAATAACCTGAAATAATAAACAATTAGATATTTGAGCGAACTAGGATTTAATTTGGCTTGTTGTAGTGCTGTTTGATCACTGGTTAATAATAAGATACTAGTTATTGCATCAAATGCAGTGAATTTTCTTTACCTGAAAGGGGTAAACAAACCATCACAGATTGGAAAAAAATCTCACTGAATTTGTGTAAAACTCAAATGATAATGGGTTTGAACATCTCGCTCATACGTGGATCGGTCAAAATACATAAACTTGTTTAACCGTTACTTCATGTTGTGGATATGTTTAATTGAATCGAATACTAGATCAGTCAATGGTTGGAAATAGTTAGAAGGCAAGTGTATGTTCGTATTCCTTATATCATAAGCCTTATTTCCGATTTGTCGGTTACAGTATCCCACACTGACAGCCACTTTTGGTTTGATCTTGTATAATTATTATTCATTTTATGGTATGATGATACCTGGTTTGCGGAAGCTGATATTGTGTTCTGGTCTTGGCAAGTTTTAATTCTGAGTACCAATAAGGACTCAGAGTTGACTCTTGGCTGTTTGTGCTGCTGTCCATCCACTAATATACAGAAGATAATACCTTGATACGATAGGCTGAGTGGTTTTTCTTGAGGTTAGCAACGCGTGAGTTCGAAGTTAGACTAACTGCATTGGGCAGAAAGATGAAAACTACTCTATCACTTGGTTGCTTGGCAAACGCGCGTGAAGGAGAAGATGAGACAACTGGGACGCTACTGGACTTGTTCCCGATTCAGATTAGTGTAAAAAGGTACATGAATAAATAGGTGACTAACATGACCACAATGCAAAAGCAATTAGGGAAATACAATTACGTCCAAAACTGGGGATTAGGGCAGAAAAATAGATTAGCAAAAGCTGCGTTTATATCACAATAACTTAGGAACAAAAATGGATATTTCAGTGAATCATGCTTCAAACGGAAACTTATGGTTTGTTTAATAAGCTAGAAACAAAATTAAATATTGGTGTTTTACGAGCTTTGAATTAAGTAAAATAATGTACCCGTTGTTTGTTATGGCTTCTCTGTTCACAACATTAGCTCATTATTGGTTCAGCGTGGGGACAAGGTCATGTAAGTCTGTGTTCTGATTGGCGATCTTGTCACGTGATATTTAACGGGCCATTAGTCATAACAATTTAGTGACGGGAATTTCGCGGAAAAATGGAGAAAAAAATTGTAACATGGACCTCAAAATCAGCCATAATAACTACCAGGGTTTTCTGAACTGAGGAGATAATCTCAGCATTAAAAAGTGGCACTCTTTTCTAAATAATTGAATAACTTGCAGCAGATTCTTATGAATGAACACTTGAAATCCATAGAAAAACTTCTAACGGGGCTACTGAATCGTTCATATTTTGGAGATATGATGAAAATTGATTACTTGATTTGAAATTTGCATACAGAAGTTGAAAACGGCCGCAGAATTAATGTGTGGGTGAAGGGCTGTGTAAATTGTTAATAAACATTGATTTAAACGATACAATGGCAGCCATACATGATCCTCAAAGTGTTCCTGTAATGGACATTTCGGAAACATGCTCTGTAATAGCTTCAAATCTAGTTCTTTCCGAAGCAGAATGTAAAATCAGCGAATTGTCTAGCTCAAATACAAAGGGAAAAGAAACAGATGATTCTTTAAATGAAACTCCGAGTCCAAAACTGTGAAACTAAACTCCAGCCAAAACAACCTCATATTTCACTTGATACTTGTTGAGAAAGCTGAAAGGACTCTTATTCAAAAACTAGTTGGAGCAGTACAATGAATACCAGTGTATCAAATGAAACTCAGAATCACTGTGAGACAAAATCTTCCTAGTGACTTAACTTCTTATCAGATTTTTCATGTTATTTTACCAGATATTGGATTGTCCTAAGGAACCACATATTTTTAATGAAATTTACTACAAAGGTAAGAAAAATATGTCGAATGAACTAAATCATGATCGGAAATTTGATGCTATTTCGATAGATGCTGTTTTTTCTAATGATTCACTATTCCTCAATGAGATTTTTGATAAATATGAGAAAAATATTTCAGAAGAATCAATTCACTGTGATCTCATATCAAACGTTATTTGTCGTCATAATGTATTTGTTTCTGGTGGAAAACTTGGTCAATGTGAAGCAAAAGTTCAAACTTAATTGCAGTTCGGTTAATCTCATAACAAATGTTGTTTATCTTCATGATAACTGAACAAATCACAGGGTAAATGATGTAGGAACAATATTATTATAAATAAAAAAAATTAGGCATCCAAGATACCATTCAAGTGAATGCATATTTGCGATAAAAATAACATTGCCATGAACTCGAAAACTTAAAATTTAGAGGTAGACATATAACAGGTGATCCTACATCACTGCAGTCGGCTTTGCGTCATGTTATTCGAAACCTCTAACCATTAATAACGGTAATCACTATCAAATAGTACTATGTTGCACGATGCATGCCAGTTTAAGGACAAGATTAAGACGTTAAAAATGCTATAGGATTTACTGTATTTATTTACTCAATTATATTTTTATATTATCTGACATATCGGAAATGGAAACAGAGGGATAAATTCCCGTGCATTAGGACATGAACGGCGTGGTCACATTGCCTCTTGTTTTTTGTATCAAATATACTACTCTCCTCCCAGGCTAGATGTGTTCTTCAGAGATTCTAGACGTTGTACTTGCTTTTATTAGGTTAATTTCAATGCAAGTGTATTTCAGTTAGTCAAATAAAAATAACCGGAAGTATGGAGACTGGAGATGTCACAAGTATTCGGAATTTGACAACGCTTTCACCAGTAACACCTATTATGAATCGTGCCCACCAGGTGAAATCAAAAGATAGAAGCGAGGAGATTCGAAGATATATTTGATAGGTGGATCGACTTATCTGGTTAGCAGTTGCAGGAGATGTTGAGCACGTTTTCCCACTAGTGATCTGGTGCGGATGCATGACCGAACGCCTTCAGCTAGGTGGGTTCATTAGAACTAATGTGGTCAGCATTAAATGTCGAAGACCTACAGAGCTATTTATTTACCGCGACGAGACTAATGGATTAAGAACTGTATAAGTAAACGCAATTCGAGAGATGTAAGGATTTAAAATAATGTATGTTCCTGAAATGTAAGGAAAACACTGTGATTAGGTATAAAATTGGATTTTTTCATGGCAATTGTTATAACTCTATTATTTGCATTATAGCTTGTAGAGTCATGAATGGATTTAAGTTAAGCGTAATTGCCTAGTTTAGCTTGCAGTAAGGTTTCTCTGTAGGAAGTGAAACCATTTAGGATTGACAAATATCAGTCAAAGAGGTTTTGGGCACTGAAAATTAATATTAATACTGTTAGTTAGTTACAACCCACTAGACCGTACGAGGCCGTAAGTTATTAAGGTGTTCTACCCTTCAGACAGGTGAATTGAGATTGTCTTCCAACATCATATTTACTGGCCAGGAAAACCATGTAATATCTTATTAGATTAGATAGTCACATAGTGGGAAATATACGGTTGCAGCGTAGGTCTATTATTCTGGTAGCATAAATAAGTGTACTAATACTTACCATTATCAAAATTCAACAGGCTCCCTTATGTTTATTGTACGTCTGAATAATGCTATAATTTAATCTCCTTGATGCACACATTGTTGAAATACATTTTGCACACTAGTTCCACACGACAAGCAAGTCAGATATAGTAGACTTTCGTATCGTGGATTTGATATTCATTCAATGTATGACACTGCTATGAAGTTAAGTAAAGGTAAAAATTATAAGATGCCGAACAGATAATACGTAGTTAAGTGTTGGTAAGGACAGATAACCTATCATGGAATAAGAAAAACGTGTTTCGGGTTGCAAACTTTACGAGTAGGATGATAAGTAAGGAGAAAAACAAAACACTTGAATTCTAATAAACTTCGGACATTAGAACTTTTTTAAATGATTGAACACGAATTAGAGGGAAAACACAGTAGTTTAGGGTAGTTTGAGCTTTTGTGATTGATCATAGGTGATGAGCATCCACAGGTTAAGTGAGTTATCTGTCCACTTGAAATAGGAGCTAAAAAGGACATGGAGCATCATGGAATAAGTTACGCAACTTTAAACATTTAAGAAATTCCGAACTTGAGTTTGGGGTGTAGGAGCATAAGGACGTAGCTAAGTAGCAAGAGAAGAAAATCATCATGTTTTATCATTTGGCCTTCCAAGCTTGACTGAAGTTTAGGAGGTCTCTGAGTACCAAAATATGAGAGTTATTATTCAAGCGTGTGTATAAGCTGACGAATCTTTTATGACAACATCGAGAGGGGACTCCAATTTCTTGGTGTCGAAATCTGGTTTTTAGTGGCTCCAACAAGATAGCATCACCGTAAACATTCAGAAATACCGAGTCAGAAATAATTCTCTTGACTTTTTCATGTGTACCATCGATCCTCATAATATTTGCCCCATAGAAAACAAAGGGAAGGCTGTTATATATAAGTAAAGAAAATTTACTGTAAGGCACATTTGCCGGAAAGAATCGTGCTATCGTACTGAGAAATGATACGAATACTCTTTCTTTCCTCAAACCGACCAGTCAACTTTACCACTTCACGACATCATTATCTAGATTACGGTGCAGCCCCTGATAACAGAGTGATTGTAAAAAATTTTATGGTATCGGATAGGGGTGAAAAGTCAACACACCATCGTAGAATTGTTAGGTCGACGTAGCACTTAGTAGATTATTGTATGTATACTAAACTATGCATCTCTTCCGCTCTCGTTTTTTAAGTCCTATAGATGGTTAGTTGCACTTTAAAATTTTTATTGAGTCAAAGATGAAAAACCATCGGTATGATTTATACGAGGATGTATACCAATATTAATCTGTACAGTTTGCGTTCCTTAAGCACAATCCTATTAAACACTTGTTTTCAATTTTCCTTCTCATCTTCACAGGACAGCTGGAAATAAGGGCGAAAGTGAAGACGAACTTTAAAAGTCCGGTTATTTTTTCGTTATTATTAATAAAGTCACAGCTTTTATGAACATGAAGTGCTGTAGAATCATGGTCTACTATTAGTGCTGCTCTAATAATGGACGTAATCCAAAAATGTGGATTCGTCATGATGTACCTGCCTAATCTATAAGATCATACGTGGAAGTCACACCATCGTCTACTCTAACTCATCGTATCTTGACAATCATCAATATGTGATGAAGAACACGTTTAAGCTGGAGATAGAACAATCTATTCAATATGGACAAAAAAATGGCATAAGTACGACCACGCATGCAAGGCCAAGCCATGCCATACGATCAATTCGAACTGATTGAATTAATTGGGTTCATTCTTCTCGCCTTCTTCATCGTTGGGTCTTCTCTATGTTAAATATTGAATATCTATTTTCCCAATTTTCTCGTGTTAAGCTTTATAGTTTGTGTGGTTAGGGCCCAAAGTCACTACAGTGCGTTTACCAACAGCATGATCGTTAGGTTTAAACTCTTGGTTTCTTCTTGTTTCATCTTCGGGTTCTCACCGCTCCACTAGGAGTAGTGGTAAATAAATTTGAGTTACAAATAGCTCTGTAGGTCTTTAACATTGATGCTGACTAAATATACCACAGTCAAAAGACTTTCAGTCACAGTCGCATCAGTTCACGGTTAAGACTCGTCGTTCGGTGCATCTGCTACACTAACTGGACAGCCTACATTTTGTACATAACCGGCCATTGATCTTCATCTGCGTTCCTTATTCTCAACTCCTTGTTTTATTACTTTTGGAATCATTTCGGTGTATTCTTGCCGAATCCTGCGTATCTAGCACTTATTCACTAATGAGCCTTGATGTGATTTGATACTCAAATAGTTAAGTTGTGAGTTTGTTTCTTGTGATTATGTTCTATGTATTTTTTTCATATATTGCAATGCTCTTTGTTTCCTTGAATTTGTTTGTAATATTTCTGATAAGTTCATTTCAGATATTCATTTATGCAGACTGAACTCAGGAGTTTCAGTTTGAAAAGAGCCTTACATTCTACCTGAAATATTACTAATTACAATAGGCAATGTACCTCGAGGTATACATTGCATAGTACTAGAAAGAAGGCAATTATTTGAAAAGATAATTAATGTACAGGCACACATACTAACGCAAAAATAATCATACTTGGAGAACTGCGATGATGTGTTTACTGAGGGCCACAGTTCCTTATGAAGAGAATATAGTTATTGGAAAGGTGGGAACTACTTAATAGTGACATACTGTCTAGGTTAGTAAAGTATGTCCAGAAGCTAAGGCAAATCACGTTGGCGTGTAATAATAGTTGATACATTTTGCAAAGCTGGAACTTTATCCAGCACATGATTATGCTACATGATGTCATTATACAGAAGAAAATAGTTCTGTTATTGAGATTCACTTTGATAATCATATCAAGACCTTGTAAGCCTCTTTTCGATCGTACGTGGTACTATTGAATATTGTATTTGCACAAAGAGGTTATTTAAACTGTGGCGGTTGTGAAATTAGTAACACGGTAAGACAGATATGGCGTTTGGTTGAGAATGATTCATTTATTGATTGGTTTGGTCTATGCCTTTAATTGGACAGTTGTAGTCTGTTAGAATCCTAGGTTCCTGCCTGGAGGATTTGGTGATCCCCTGCTACTAGACACGGAAGCCTGTTAAGCGAAAGCTTCTATTCCGTCCCCAACCATTTGAAGCTGATTGGGCTCTAACGGCAATTCCAGACAACTGGTTGATCGACACAACTCGAGTTGTGTAGTAATTACTACACAGTTTGCCTCGGGTGATCTGCTGTTAATTAGTCATTTCAATTTAGTTGTTAACGCATATAATGCGTTTATTTACTCGTATTGAGTAATTTTTAGTTGAAAGAGCTTGTATAGAGTTAATAGTCACCTGTGGGCACATGTACCCATAGAAACTGCGAACCCCGTTTGTAAAAGACCGTGCTTACTGTTTCCGAACTTATTTTGTTGTTGAAACAATTGAAACTTTGGACTTTTAATTGTCAGTCTGGAGTATTTTGCAACCTTGGTGTTTGGTTTAATACTTGGATATCTCAATTGTTTCTATTCAGTCAATATTTGTTCCTATTCATATAGCGACTTTTCAGGCTGCTAGGGAGAATCGGTAATCGGTTTGATTCTTGGGATCCGTATTTTTGTTACAATTGTCGTGCAGTTTATGCTGTTCAGTGCCACAGTCACATGATTGTTAGCAAATGTTTCGGAGTTATCTTTCTCAGAAGTAATTCCCCTAAATTATTTAAATTTCTAAAGTTAAATTAAAGAACTAGGTTTCCTTCTGTATACAATCTTTTCACAAAGCTTCCCTTGTATGACGTAACAATAGTTTGTATTAGTCAATATGCAGTAACCGAGTCTTAAAAGCTTTAACGAGGTGACTTGCACTCAGTTGGAACTTTAAGTGATATAGCCCCGTAATTTTGTGGAGATGCTGAGAAATATTCGTATTGTCGAAGTGCTACAAACCTGGTACAATAGCAAGTTTGAATTTCTGGAATTCAATATTCCATATGTAGACTAAAGGTTAGAGTATGAGTCGCTCATCCGGTCATCACCGTTTCCAATTTTAAATACGGTGATTACGATGTGTATTCGTCATGCCTTCGATAGGAGTTCACGGTTAGAGTAGGGCACAACGTATGAGATTCCTTTGGCAAGACTAGATCTTAGCAGGAACTACTCTGCAAAATCAAAAATGGCTGGGGAAGTTCCAAGGAACAGTAGGTTCCTTGTATCCTGTGAAAAAGTAGCCTATTAATACCATCTGTTCTAGATTTCTGCAAGACTATTGGCGCGCTTTGTAAGGTAACTTTAGTGTATAATATATTTGAATTATCTCTTCCTGTTGTCCAGTTAAAAACATTGATTAACTCTAAAGTTGTGAAATATGTGCTTATTGCCTCCAGTTCAACAAAATTGAAGTTTGGTGAAAACCCAGTGTAGTCTAACTAATGGTAGAAGCCTTTAATGCGCTATATAAACAGAGCTTTGCAGAAACATTGGGATACAAGCAATTCTGAAGTTCCTTAAGGATAATGGTCCTGTTTCAGCAGTAAGACTTATTAGTATATTGACCGTAATCTGGGAAGTAGGAGCTATTCTGTTTGACCGGTCTCGATCTTCGATCGTTCCAGTTTATGAGAAAAGACAAGTAATTTTATGACAATCACAACGAAGTCAGCTTGACTAATATAATATCAAAAGTGCTAATCGTTGCTTAACTGCAGCTTGAAAAGAGTAAACTCGGAAAAACTAAGCTAGTTCCAGACGTACGTATGTGTACCAAGTGTATACTATTTGTCAAATCTTAAACATAAGCATGCTTATAGATTCTCGGTTACAATGGTGTTCCTTGACCTTGGGATAGGACTCGACTAAGTCGAGGTTTTGTGACGTTATTAAAAGGTTTACTAAGGAATTTCGAACCCTGGTCAAGTTAAAGCACGTGGCGAACTCATTAGGATTTTCAACCTCAAGTAGTGTTCGTCAGGGCTGTCCACCTTAGGCAACAATCCAAGCATGTTTGGGATGCGATTTTGTCTCTAAATACAAAATGGACTAGTCTACACTAGTACCCGAACTAGTAATAGGAAACGAAGTGTTCAAGTGCATTGACCACTTAACTTATTTGAGAAGTCTCATCAGCCCGGGTTTATTGGTTTTTGATGAAATCTCGACGCGGATTCAGTATTCTGGGTTCGCGTTTACTGAGTTGTGTCCATACACGAGTTTTATGTTCAGTAGTTCACTCTTTTTCGTAGGTGTGAACCATGGCCTTTAAGACTAGAAAATACTCATGGGCTACTAGTATAGAACCACAGAAGTCTTCGAATCTGCTAGTGTATTTTGGGACTATCAAGTAAGCTAAAGTCAGGCACAAATCAATAATTAAATATATCAAGTCGGTTGATAAGTTGGTAAACCATCATTAACTCAGGTAGTTAGAACATGCTACATATACCCAACTACTGTCTACCTAGGTGCCAATGTTTGATCAAGGAGTAAGCTGAGAGCTAGCAATGATTAAGTCGATCATTGATGTTAGTCTGTGGAATCACTGACTGTTGGACTGAGTCATGCTACGTATTTGGCACCTACCCATTTGGTAGATTTGATGTTTATCTTCCCTTGGTCCCTGAATCCCAAACGTACATCTTTTAGTCTTTTTTCTACTACTATCATTAATTCTACACCATGGTATTTTTTTTGATAATTTTATCGCGTGTTAAATTGGTGTGGCTATTCGAACCGAAACACATATTTTAGGTTCTACGTTGCTTATGACTGATCAACTAAATGTCTTCAAGAGACTACATTACTGAAGGAAGGAACAAACAAGACTAAAAAACATTGTGATTGACTGTTTGTTTATTATTAAATGCAATGCATTCGTCCAGTTTGAATTTTATCGAGGGGATTGATGTTACACATTTGGTTTGCATCATTTTGTATCAGACATTTCGTTCACTTGTGTGATTTATTTTTCAGACTCAGTTCCCTAAACTGGTGGTGGAAATTTATTTGGATCAATTTCCGGCGTTCACATATGCGATTACTTTGATTTTCGATCGGATTACTGGGAAACGGCATTCTTACTAGTCATCAAGTCCTTTCTTAATGCCTAGAATATGCACACTAAACTATATTATTCTCTGTTCAGGAGTTGTCATAACGTGAGATTCATGTTTTAATATAAAAGTTTAGCATTGCGCTGATATTCCTTGTTAGGTCGAACCAGTTGGATGAGAAAATTTTTCCTTACTCAAAGAGGTCTAATGGTTCAGTTTGTGTAACGAAGGTTAGCCACCAAACTTTTGATGCCTGTTCCTATTTTTACTTTTCATTTTCCGACATTACAAGTTGATTTATAAGTATATCCGGAGTGTGATGGTAATCTAAGGGTCATTAGAAGTGAAATAAATTTATAAGTTGCAAAAATCTTTGTTCGTTTTTAGTAAAACTATCAGGTCAACAGTGCTAAAATTCGACTTCGATTGTAGACAAATCGGATGACTAGGTTATGGACGTTATGCCAGAAGAGATAGGTGAGTCATTATATAATGTTGTCTTACGTATGATAAAGTGGAGTTTGAAGGTAGCCAGATACTACGTAATGTCATGAAGTCGGTAATTGCCAGTACTTGTTTTAAACACAGGTGAAATTTTCGAGAACGTTGACTAAAATTGTTCAACCACAATGACAAGAAGTGAATGCACCCCTAATGTTCATGGGATATTTTACCAATTTTCGACTCATTGATTATTTGAATGCTTTACTATCTTCACACCTTTTAGTAAAATCCCAGTTCGCCGCATTTTTCTTTCTAGATTTGAAACGTAATGAAAATCTAGTTGCTTATGCTTCTGGCATTTGATTTAGTTCATATAAATTTTCCACTGTAATCGTGAATACATGAAAAGACATCTACAATTTTCTATGAATTAAGTTTTGAGACTCAGTGGGTTCGGTACACAACTTTGGATGGGTTGATCAAATGTTTACTCAGCAATGTTTCCTCCATTTCCCAGTCAGTCATAAACATCGTAAGACCTGACGCAAGTATGTATCGACCGGTATCACTTTATCACACCAACATAGTGTAAGGAGATTGTCGTACTGTATAGCAAAAGGTTCTGAATAGTGGTATGATCAATAGTTTAATTCATACAATATAATCTTAACGTACGTATTTCTTATTATTTGACTGTTTTGACAATTTTTTCTAACAGGATGGAGAAGTAACATGTACAGAAAGCACACATCAAAGCTTGTCAGACTCATTTCGTCGCTTTATGATTTTTAAATGTTCACTAATTCTATTGGCACTATGCAGTCTTGCTATAATTTGTCACAGGCATAAACGTTTAGACCAGAAACTAATGCAGAAAGTCAACTTTCAGATTGCAGCTGGTGTTTAGTATCTTCTCATGAATCGTATCTGAATTTCTCAATGTGATAGTCCTTTTTGTTGATCTTGTGATTTAAATCAATACTGTAACAATGTACATTTTAGAATATTATTTTTTCTTAAGCATCTAGTGAGACATACTTTCTGTTGTTTGTTTATTTAGGTGCCTTGGTCATCACGCAGTGTACACTATATTCACGGATAACTCTCATGTTTATAGGGTGACCTAGTAATAATCTGATTGGTTAATGTCATTATAGCGTTTCAAAATTCTCATATTTAGAACACAAATCGTGGTGCAATAATTATATTCTAAAACATTTGACAGTGTCTCATCTATTAACCAAACCATTCATGTATACACGTCCTACTTTATATAACGTCAAATTACTTAAAATAAAACTTGACATTAAACTATATGAGGAATAGTTTATACTTCATATCTTTCTTTCTACGAACCAATTCTTTCTTCTTGTACTATATCTCTATAGGCAATCTTTCTCTTATATATTACCACCTTTGACCTAACCACTGCTGTGAATCCGGTGTTCATCTTGTTGTGCTGATGCGGTATGGCAACCTGAACCGATGCACATATGTGCCTGGTCCTACGTTGTAGCTGACTGACTATACTTTGGGTATTTAAGATAAATTTCGTTAACGTTGCAATAGGTAAACAACCCTGTGAAGATATTTCCCACGGCAGCATTTAAGATAGTCATTTGAAGATGTCTCAACCATATGAGGTCACATACTTGATTAAATTATAAAAAAAGTACATTAGATATCCGTAAATAAGATTCTCTTGTGTCGAGCTGTGTCCACTAGGACTGTGTCATGTAAAATGAGGTTTCTGATGTTCACACTTTTGCAGTCGACTAGTTTTAATCACCTTGTAGTATTATATACCAGTTTAATAATGGAAAAATCAAATCTATTACATTTTGCCGGAACTAATTGAGTAGTTTAGCTTGCATGTAATGTAGCAGTAGTTCCTCGTGTCAGATTTAGCTTCATTGCAATTCCCCTAAAAATGTATACATCTTAAAAACAACAAAGAGCAGTAGGTAGAGACTGTCTCAATCATGTCAGTCAGTTGACTTTATGGAGAAATGTATCTATAAAGAAAACAAAATTACAATATTCCTTATCACTTGCGATAACAGGCATTTGTTAAGATAGGTGATTTCGTCACAATTTTTACTAAGAAAACAACTATATAATAGCTTTCATACGTGGTAAAGGGTGATTATCATGTTTTGAGACGGGATAATTTTCGAAGGGCATGGAATTTATTTTCATAGGCGCCATTTACCTGTACCCTTCTCCCTCCAGTTAAAGGCATCACTTTAGCTGGTCAATTGTATGCCTATCGTAGGACCCACAAACTAATAAATTAGCTTTGTCAATACCAGTTTTAGTCAGCGTTGTTTCGTGCTGTCACGTCTATTTCAAATAGTAAAGCTGATATCATTTTCAGATAAGTGTTCGTTGGCGAAGGATTTCTAAAAGAAGTAGAACTGAGGCAACCAAGAGCTTATAATGGGACTTACTGTCATTTCATAATACGAGATATCGCAATTCAATCGACTTTTATGTAGAGTACGTATACAAAATGAAGGGTCACACTCAGCTACCGACAGTTCAAGCGATACCCGCTCCGTAGGAAGCTTGTCAACCGTTAATGGTATAGGTTACATAAATTTTCAGTCTGTAAAGTTGGTTTTGGCTAATTCCATATCTCGGAGAAAGCTTTTGTGTTTGAGAGGACTAAAACGAGCTGTTCAGCAGTATGGAAAGCTCTCATAAGGTTGACGAAAGACTAGGTACAAACGTAAGTTTTACGCATCACAATTACCTGCAATTTTCAAAAACACTTCTAGAAAAAGGGTAATCAATTAGCAACTCTGTTGTGCAAGGATAGTGGGTATTTGTAGAGGAGTAGATGAAGCAGAATTCGAACATCTCCCTACTACTCATCTTCAACTCAACAGATATACTCATTAATGGGATGATAGGGTTCTAAACTTCACTTAGTACAAACAGAATTATACTGAGACTTTTTACTGACCTTAGCTAATGATCACACAATAGAGGACAATTAGTATAGAAGTGAGATAAACCAGATTGTATGCAACACTCAAGAGCGTGTCAGCTTTGTAGACCATGAAGTGATCTTTCACCTCTTGAAAGATCAATAGACAACTTAATTTCGTCCCTTAGTATCCGTTAAGCTGTGCCAAGTCCGTTGCTATTGGCAGGTTAGAAATCTCATACTCCACCTTAATTAACTGGGTGATTCTTGCCGCATAGAGGAATTGATTAATCGAGTTGGTTTGGATGTAAAAGTTATGCGACACAATACGCATACTCAGTCAGTTGCCACAGTTTCAGCACGTTGTAGTCATAACAATTGTAATCAACATCTGCACATGAATAAATAGATTTGTAGTGCAAAGTTGTTGTTACTCTATATATCTCTAACTGCTTTTTTATATAAGCTCAGACTGGACGACCATGCAAGACGTCGAGACTACTCAGTTTCGATCGCTGGAATCCCAACTAAGTTAATTTGTTTGACAAACTTCATCTGTCGAACTGTGTCCGAATCTTGGCGAAACTGTTTATAAATAATGGGAAGAAACAAAAGTACCAAGACGTTTCATTCCCAAGTTACTAGTAATATGTAATATATGTTGGAGGAAGGGGTGTGCTGGAAGAGGAACTTTTTCCGCTCGATCCTGATTGAGACAGGCAAACTCTGATAATTGTTGCGAATTGGATAATAAGAGCACCCGCAAAACTGGCTGCAACATTTGAAGATGTTACTGATGCTCTGGCTGTTCAGTGGTATGAGTATTGTAGAGATATATGCGCAGTGAAAATGACAAGCTTACACAAGCCGTCTGGGGCAGTCAGGCGAATTGTTGAAATAGGCCAAACAGTTGTCGGAAAACGAAAATTCAATAGAAGACGTAGTGTTAAAGAAGAGTGGGTAAGTAGCACTTCCATAAATATACCTCACAGGTCCTTGGAATATACGACAGGTCATCAAAAAAGAGACACTTCTGACGGGTTAAAAATCAACAGACTTCAACGATAATGCCAATTATACGGGAATATCCGCAGCTGGGTACTACAATATGTACGGATGATTGGAGTATACCAGTGCTTATATAGATTTGGTTATGTGCACCGTGTCGTTATCCACAAGGTAGACATACAATGGAGTAACATTATTGAAGTCAAAGGTGATAGTTGACTGGATTTTATTCTTAAATATATCAAATACTTGTACACAGCTCGAAACGATCATGGCAAGAAAATCCTAAACCAACAGGTTTAAATTTTAATATCTTGACCAAGGATAAGTATTCCAATCAGCATCAAAACGATTGCAGTTTGGCTGCTTAAGAGTTCCATCGGGGTTTCTTCTAGACTCAAGTGAATGAGTTATTGCTTTGTCTAGTCGCGAAAGACCACTATAACGATATTCATTTCCATCTTGATTAAGTTTGTATTTGTAGTGTGAAGTGAAAAACTCCTTGAAGAAGTCATGATTGGCCCATCTTTTGTTGTGCCACCTTCTTAGGTATGCACTGCTTAGATATCTGAGATTTTCTTCATTAGAATGTAATAAAGCCTATAGAGGAAAAAAGTGTTTAGCAAAACAAAGTGCAATAAATTTATGAAATGTGGATCACAGTTTAAAGTTTTTGACATTTTCCTAAGCATCTTTGAATCAAACGGAGAATATGCCAACCTTTCAATTAAGTCTGATCATACAACTGGGGTTCTTATAACTAAAATTAGGTTCTTTTTGTTGTTTAGTAACAATTTCTACAGGATTTTCTTAAGTGAGATAAACCTGATTAAGTGCAATTTTAGCGACTTTGTCTTTTATAGACAACTTACGTTGGTAAGAAAAACCCACTGTTTATGAGGCATATATACCGTATGATGAATTGTGGACTTAAAATAGTACATCCATTAAAAGTGAAATGTCACTGGGGCTTAGAAGTTAGAGCCGATATTTTTCATGTATAAGTATGATGATGAGGTATATCAAATCAGACTGCTGCAAAAATCGCTGATGGGTCAATATATACTGGGAAAGATATCTCCAGTGTTTGATAACCAGGAAATCTATCCGAGTATGTATGAGAACCTACAAAAATTTCACGTCTAACATAAAACCCAACCATTTTTAAAAATGTCTATATATACCAACCTGAAAATTTCGAATAAAAGTTAAGCTTACTTCATTAACTTCTTTTCAAATAGGGACTACATAGGTCTCAGTATCATACTTCAATTGCTTGATGTACTGGAAAATGTAACTTCAAACTACTATCTATCAAAGTGAATATTATTCTTATATCCTGATGGCCCCCAAATGCCCTGGTACGGCCGAGAGTGGGGAGAGTCCGTTCTCCCTCTCGAAATGCTCTCATATGGCCACACGTATATAGTCTCTGCCAGGGAAGTCCTACTCACTGCCTTCTTGTGGCGGGGGTGTTGTTTACGAAAAGCGAATGTCCGGTGCTTTAACCGGATTCCAAATCAACGGTGCACATGGGCTCCAGTATCCTGAGGGAACGAATGGCGTATGATCCAATTGTTGGTCACCAGCATCCATGGGACTGCATCTCCTTACGATGCTCCACTGCCTTGCAGATCAGACCTTCAGGTCGAAGGCTCGGGAGTGACCCCCTAAGAAAAGCACCTGCCTCGGTTTGGGCACCCGGTCAGTATCACAGCCCCCACACATGTCGAATGAGATTTGTGTGGCGCATATGTATTTGGTGCCTCCTTGTACCAATATTTATGTGTTAAAATAAATAAATATCCTGATATAAGCATTTAGTCAACAAATAGGTTTAGTAGTTAAAGAATTTAGTTTTCCACTTCTGAAATGGAGATTCAAATACGCTCCACAGCATTTCGGGCTGCTGTGTATTATTATTAGTTCACATAATACAGATGTGGCTCAAGACTGAGTACACAAACCCGTCATAGGCAAACGAGTATACGTTAATTTTTCAAAGCGTAAGACATACTTCGTTATACGTCCTTCGCGTAACTAGATCACTCTTCAAACAGCTTTGCATTTCGAAGATGTAGAGTTAAGTGATAAATACTTACTGTACCACTGAGTGAACTAAGGAGGAAACAATTGACGAAACTAACTTTTAAATCATAAGGTCGATTAGGATTGTATAACGATAGGTTTGTTTGGTTCGGTTCTGAAGAATCCAATAACTGAGAATCAACAGAAAGACCCCGATGTCTGGAAAATCTGCCATCTGGAAGCAGTCTACAGGCAAGTAAATCAGATTCAGTTGGTAACCCGTTCTCGAAAATAACAGGCTGTATCCGAATAAGATGTTTTATCTCGTATAAATCTCGGTTGACTGATGGAGTATTTTTAACGACTACCCAGTTGTGATTCTAAAAACATATGAAATAATGTATTACATTACTTTTGTGTCCTTTCCAAGACCATATTTTTCAAGGATGGCTCTCTGGTAGTGAATGACTCCCTTCATAGGCTTTAGCCGACAGATCATATGCAGTAAAGGAGGTTCCTTCGATTGGTTGAGCAATTGTTGAGATTCTTGCATTCGAAATAGACGTTTAGCCCATCCCAGTGGATTTTTTTTGTCATCACTCCAAGGGAGTGGTCTCGGTTCCTTCGTATATGACATGGCGTTGTGAGGTAAAGAAACATGAAGTGATCGACAACCGGTCACCAAATTATAAGCCCAAAGTCGGGTCATTATAAGAAGGTAGGTTTATTCTGAATGTGTAGTCGTCTGAGTAGTACGATCTGAGGTGAAAAAGTACCATACATAATGACCCAGTAGAAATATGTCTAATTCAGAATACTTAGAGTACAAGGTCGAAGTATCTTGAATAACCGAAGTACCAGCTTATTCTAAGACGCAGGTCTTGGAGAGTATGGGAAAGGCACTATCTTTTTGTGAACTTCGTGAAGGTCAGATTCAATAAAGTCCTCATCAACAATAAATCCTGTCCACCAAATAAGTTGACCGAGTGGAGAAACTAAACACGGAGTAATCGGTACCATATATATTCACAGATAATAAACATGGACTTTTGTTCTAGTTTCCACAATGGATGCCACTACAAAGAAAATACGTTGGGAAGTCTAGGGACAGCGTGGAGACAATGATGCTAAATGCACGACAAAAATTAGGTTAAAACTGAGAACGGAACCGGATGGCGTATATGATTCAACAGGAGATGAAAGTACGTGGACACTTCTACGACCCGTTTTGAGTCGTCACAAAAATGCCAACAATGATTTGCAAATTTCACGTGGATTACGACTGGGGAGCCAACATTTCCATAGATAAATTCCGCCATTATAGGTTGGTCGAATGACTTTGACTAGTGCACTATTTCTCATACTACCACTGTATCAGTTAATATTTCTAGCTGAGTTAATCCAGTGAAACACGCCGCACGTATCTTTACTTTTACTGTCTGTCAAAAAGGCTTACAGAAATATACGAACTCTAAAGGTTTGTAACTGTTTGAGAAGTGACTACAATCCCTAGGATGATTAAGGTATCAAGATCTAGTAAGATCACATTCTCTTAATTAACGGTGTGATTACGGCTACTCTGGAGAAAAATCTCAGAGAATGTTTGATCGGGCTAAAGATTTTGGCCACGAGGGTAAACTATATATAGTTTATCCCATATATGGGATAAATTATTAAAACTCATTATTTTGCACATTATTTCCCACGTGAATAAATGCAGACAATACTGGCCTTAACCGTCCTAATAAAAATATGGGGAAATACATTATAAATTTACGGTTATTAGAGGGGACTTGTAGTTTTTGAGAAAGCTGTTTTCACTATAGTGGAACAGACTTGATAAACTCATAAAGACGGTAGTAGTATTAGTGACCCATCACAAAAACTTATCTCTACAGTTATCAGCTACTAAGTTCAGTTGTGCAAGTGTGTCTTTAGAATACCTTATATAATACCTTGTGAAGTCTGGTACTATCCCTTTAGTTGACCATGAGCGCTTTAAATTGAGGCTGAATGTTTCAATGGCACCAATATATTAGTGATGAGCTAGTATAGACCAGCAGATTTAATAACACTCACTAGTTGATATTATGGTGTTTTATTGTGGTAAACTGTAATGCTCGATATGCTGCACGTCGTTGTTGGGTTTACTCTTATCTTTCTGTCATATAGCGGCTACAATTTTAAATGGCGAAGTTGGTCATCGTACGGTTTGTCTCTGAATCCCATGATTCTCTTAGTGGCCCACTGAAGTAGTTGTTCCAATAGCTTCATATTCCTTTTGTGAAAGACGGTGCAGAACTGTTGTTGATATTTAGATTTAGATGAGTGTATGTCTTGAATAGTGGCAGCAAGAGCCTCGGAACCAACATTCCTGGTTACCTCCAGGTAAAGTGGGTAGTACCCATGTATCAGAAAGGAGTATTTCTTGACTCTCCTATCTGGGCCATAGGTCTATGTATTTTCGTTGTACAATATTGATCTACGGTGGCACGTGGTGGGTTTGTGAAGAGGTTGTGGTTTAGGTGATTTTTGTCGATTTTGTGAGAGCTCTTCGATGCAAGTTTTCCCGGGTACGGCAGGTCCAGTTGGCAAGGATTTACTCTCGATGCCCTTGGTCATGCGCTGTTTAACAAGGCCAACTGACGCGGTAGTATATTCTGTTTGACTGCACAGCTTTTGCCCTAGTCCGCTCGAGTCATGGCCTCTGTGGGCACAATTTGGACTGCCTCTGTGCAAGCTTTATTGACAAATGTGGACATGGGTGTCTTTTAGATACATGAGGTCGTGTACTTCAATCTCATCCAGAATACTGGGGAATAGTTTCTGAAATACAAGCATAAATGCCATAGCCGCGGACTTGAGTGACCTAGGACCAACTATAATCCTCACTGCTTAATAAGGTAGGCCTTTGTGTGTTGTGATCAGTATTTCTGTGAGACAGTGTAAACCACGTAATTTCTCCATCACCACGTTTCATTGCTTTAGTATCCAACCCTTGTCAAAAAGAAATCTAGAAAAGATTTCGATAAACAGATTCGGAGAAGCTAAATTTTTTCCTATTTCAACGGACAATATGTTTTCGAACTAATAATAAGAGTTCAGTTCGAACACAGCAGTTATATGTCGACTAATAATGTCTAACAGCGTTTTACAAATAAAGTACAATGCTAGTGTATTTATTAAGATTACATTGTTTAAGTAAGATAATTTTGAGATTAAATGTTCATGGAGATTTATTATCTAGGCATTGAGTAGACTTGGGTTTTAGTGTGGCGTCAAGTCGCGGTTGATTATGACTACAGGAAGGCTACGTGCCAGTCACCAGGTTAGATCCCTCCGTAGGCCAAATATCAAAAGGCAATTGAACGTTGTACTATGATTTATTTGTTGGCAATCTCGTGGTATCGAAACAATACCGAGATCGTACCAAAGTTTACGAGCAAGACTACTGAGCGTACACGAGTTCGTGCAATGTCACAGACAACAAAAGGATGTGTGTTTTTAGTACATTCAAACAAGCAGATACAGTAAAACAATCACTGGTACAAATGGTCATAATAATAATTGTTTCCATTATACCAATCACGTTCTCTTCATAAAAGTAGGTAACTACAGAGTAATGGGATTATTTATTGGGCTCATAATTGTTATTCGTTACCAAGTCATGGCTATAACAATTGAGTATGTCAGGGGCATGGACAAGGTTGAGGCAGAAGATCCACGGCTCCGTGCACCTCAATGTAGCCGAAAAATAAGGAAAAGACTAGCAGCGGGGGGAACAAACAAGGGTTTGTAGGTATCGTTACCAAGTTCTGACTTGCTAATTTCAAATCGATTGGGCATTGGGTAGATTGTTATAAATGAATAATATATTCGTATTATCCTAATGAGTAGAAAAATGGATTTTCTGACGTTACGTGGCTCAGTATAAGCGACTTCCCTGAACAGGTGACTTACACTGGATCAGGAAATCTATTTTTTTATTCTTTAGGATATTACAAATACATTATTAATTTAAAACAAGGGTTTGTCTAATCAGTAGATATAGCTTGTGCTAGTTCTTGTCACTAAAACTGTGCGTAGCTAAGGAACAATTATTATTACTTCTTCCCACAAATAACAATGTGTTTTAAAGTATGACAAAGTGAAGTGTGTCCGAATATGAGAGGGCAAGCTAAAGCAAAGTATCGAAAAGATGTTCGATGAATTTGGGGGTGTAATAAATGAAGGTATATTGGTTCGAAATGCTTTATCATTCTATTACCCTTTGTAAAAGCCCGTACTGGCCTATTATGGGTTACCTCGAGAGGATAGCGAAGCAAATATAAGATCGAAAATATGATTCCTAGAAGCAACAATCTATGGAAAACGACCTCAGTATCACTGAAATGTCTTCCTATCTTCACTCATGAACAGCCTGAGACAAGCAAATCGTTCAGCTCTACAAACATGGGTGAACTGAAATGGTAGTCCTCACGACCGGTGTTTGCTGATTAGTAGCTTCAACCTCCCTTTTTATGATGTTAGGCTCTTTTGAGGTAAATGTTGGATTGAATAATATGTTTTACTCGACGTTCCACGTTTCCTATCTCATATCACTTTTTAACGCAAAAGGAGTGAATATTTTTTAAAAGATCTGTGTATTTTATTGTCCGAAAAATTTGGAAGTTAACGTATCCGTAAAGAGCGAAAGTTGAGGGATACTTTATGCTTGTATACTGTAAAAATTAGGCCTAAGGACTAGCTGATCATATAATGTGACATTGACAACGCTATCACATCGTCTAGGTCACAACAAATTACATTTACCTTCATTAAACTTCATTTCCCAGATGTGGTGTTAGTTCTTCATCTGATTGATGTCAACTTTAGACTCTTCCGTGAAATTAATGGCATTATTAGAAGGAGGGAATACAGCCTTGGGGTCATTGGCGTAAAAGAAGGGTTTTATAGCATTTTCTACGGTCGGGCACATCGTTAAAAATTTTTAGGAAGTAATGGAATAAGTACCCCACCTTGATTGATTCTGATGGTAACAGATATAGATTCATTAATAGGTGAGCTAACTTTTGCCACTTCGGTTTATCTACTTAAGAGAGAATCAAGCTAACATATCATCGACATTTTTCTACCATAATATTTCAGTTTAATTTTCCGCAGTCCATGGGGGACAGTGTCAGATGTCGAATTAACACTAATTATCCCCCTTTCTGCACCGTCAAACTTTCCTGAACAGAATTGACGTTTGAGCATACCCTTATCTGTGTTTTGTCTTTAGGCTAAGTTTCTTAGCTACAGAGAAGTGTGACTGCATCTTTGGCTATTCGGCAATCTCACAGGTTTGTATATTATCGAATTATAAAAGATCCGATCGTTTTCCTCCTTTTTCCCTAGTGTTAGACCAAAACCCAGTGTCCAGTTTTCTCTTGTACGTTCAACATGACTTGCCATCAGCGTTTCTTCATGGATTGGGGTCAGCAGCCTACTGTCTCGAAAAACTGGTAGGCTGAAGCTTGACGTTGTGCACAAAAGTGACGACCTCTTTAGTGACATGAGCAGTAAGATATATCTGTAAATGAAGATGAATGTTACAGCCATTGTTGTCTGTCTGGACGAGTGAAGTTTTCGTTGCTTTCGTGTTAAGATGTTGGTTTTTTATTCCCATCCAATTCAAGCAGCCCCAACACCAACCAATCACCAAAACTGGAGTAGCCATTCAATGAATCATTTTTCTTTCATTTGAGTTCTTTGTGCAGCTGCCTTTTGATTGAACTTTTTGGATGTGATAACAAACTATTGTGTGTTGACGCTAATATGCGGTTTGTAATTGACTGATCAGATTGTGTCACAAATTTTGTAAGCCTTATGTTCAATCCTTTTCTCCAGTATTGTTGATCATGTTGATCGGAAGGCTATGCCTGACAATGCTGTAGTAATATCCCCCAGTCTTTCTGTACCAAGAGTTGAGGCCTTTATTTTCAGGAGCGTTGCAAATATATTTCCATCTGCTCTCCCTTACACTGGCACCAATATAAAGAACTTGTGGCGGAGAGATATGATATAACTTTTACAAACCACGTTTCAAGGATGCACTGAAAACATATCAATTCATGACATTTGAGACTGCTGATATTATTGAAATCAATTGTTATTGGAGTGTTTATTTTATCACTCTTTTTATGTTCAGCCAGAGGGTAACTTGCTCTTTAGGACTCTTGGTTGGTGTTCATGAAACTAAGTATAAGTAAACGGAATCAAAATAGCTGCCTGAATTTTATAAACAATAGAAATTCACAATACTTTGGCCAGTGTGGGCTTCAAAGCCTGATTTTTTAAGCATGACAAAGGAGTTCTGATCATTCATTTTACCTTGTCAGATGTTGTTTTATCGTGATAAGGTTATACAGAAACTCATATTTGTTCTCCATACACTTTACAATATAAGCATGTTATTTTGCTTTCTTATTTGCTTTCTAACGTTAGCTTACCGTTGGGTGTTTTATAAGGCGACCAGTCAGTCGCAACATTCCGAAGACTATATATACTTGGGTGCGCGCTCGCAAAAGGCTATTTTGTTAATTTTACTTAAACAAAAGGAAGTCCTTGTGCTTTCGTCAATCGACAAGAAGAGAATGACATAGAAACATAAGTTGAAGGAGGGTATCATTAAATAAACTTCTTCATCTGTCTATATTGGTGAAGTTGTGTTTACTAGATAATAAAAACTTGTTCGAATTCAAACTTTACAAAATTATGGCCATTTCTACAGTGTTTTCCGTATGAAGTCCATAGCACTTTAGGTTGATTGGTGATGCGTTGTATGACACATAGGATTGATAGGATAGATTATAAAATTACAGTGCTTGGCTGGTGCCGAAAATGCAATTTCAGGCCGGAAAATATAAAGGATCATTTGTGCAATGACACAGATTTCCATTACCATATTGTAAGAAACCATAACTGATAGGAGTTAACCATTATTTGGTTACCATTAAAAGACAATTTACATCTACTAATGAGAATTGAATAAACTG